TATCCATTTTTAATTTAAACATTTCCTCTAGGCACGTACATAAAAATATAATAATATATACTTATCAATATTTAAAAGACTATCTTCCAAAAAAATAAATTTTAATTATAAAAATTTTTAAACATTATTAACTCCTAAAATCATAAATTTACAATCGAAATAATAATATTAGGTGTAATTTTTTTGATAATGCCAATTGCGCGTGTTCTTTTGTAACATTTTAAATAAAACACTGTAAAGATAACCGACTACTCATGTGCATATCACACAACATACTTGTCATACAGCGGTCACCATGGTGCACATATTGCGATGAACATATTTTACCACAGTAAGTCGGTTTACTCATCAAAACAAAATCACAATAAATACCGAATTACGAAATTACAAATGTGTTAGTTATAATAATATATATTTTTGTAATAATTTACAATATCGATGTTTTTACCAGAACTCGACATGGGTCCTGACAGTGATGGAGTACTAACAATTCCTTTATTCAATTTGTAACCGGTTCCAGCTGGCCCACCGCCAAAACTAGTAGCAAGATAGTTTTACTGGACACTTCCTATTGATGTAATTAACTTTTCATTATTAATGTCTTATTGAACATATATAGTTACGTCTACATGGATATGTAGATATTTATATAAAGATATACGATATATTTATTTAACAAAGTATGTTTGAATAAGCACAGAATTTATCACTGATTCCTACACTAGGCTGAGCCTGACCTGTAGGAAACAGGATTTGTATTATCATATACATGTATACAGAGATTAACATAGGCTTTTTAGTAGTACTGATAATTGTTTATTTACTGATTTATATAATGCAATTATTTTTATTTAGATCTCACCACTAATACACATGTATGGATAAGTATTATGTAAGTGCGTGCGTGCGTGCGTGTGTGTATGTATGAATGTGTGTTTGTGTCTCTCTCTGTGTGTGTTTATATGTATATGAACAATATTTTGATTTATATGACTAACAGGATCATATTTTCAATATCGTTAAAATTCATAAATCTGATGTTCGCTTACTTTTGATTTTGTTTCTTTTTTTTTATACAATTTAGAATGGAAAGTGGTAACCGCCGCCTATAGACATGAGCAGTACCATGGACATAATAGAGTATACTGTTTCGCCCATGATACCCCCCATGCGTTGCCATTCCTGAGGACTCAGGTGTTATTCCTCTGTACCCAGTAAATTCACGCTATATCCCACCCTTCAAACCGAAATACAGCCATGCAAACACAAATGCTTCACGGTTGAAACACGAATGGGACAGAGGTACCCAAGCAATCGACTTTTGTACAAAGTCCTCTGGTTATGTTATACTCGTATGTAAAAAAAGAAGATAAAAAAGAAGTAGGTTCCCTATCCATCTGTTTTTTTGTTATTCGATTATATGGCGAATTCTGAATTGATTGTGATAATTAATCTTGCAATCGGTATGTTTCACTAACGTGTTTGTCCCGTATTAATTGTATGACGATTGAAGTACCTATTCTTCTTCATAAAACTATAAAACGTGATTGTTTCAAAATGAAAATATAATTATAGACTGTTATTAATTTTACTAATAAAAAAAAAAAAAATCAGTCTAATCTACTTTCTACGTCTAAGAAACATATCGTCATAGTCGTAGAATACTGACGGATCTATATATGTAATATTTGTCAGATCCGTCAGTATTCTACGACTATGACGATATGGTAGTTCGTAGGTATGTTTTACGCATTTACGCACAACGGCCCAAATGAGAGGCTAAGTGCGGAAAACAGAGTCTTTCTTACATAATGCATTCTTATTTTGCATGTGTAAAACATTTCTGAATCGGTGATACTTATTTTAACTGTATTTTTGTATGTCATATTATAGGCAATATTTCACCGATTATAAACAGTTTTAAATAATTAGCTAAAGGAAAGGAAGATAATATTCTAATGAAATATGAATGAAAATGAGTGTCTTCAATTGGCATCAATAGCGATTTACAATTTGACAGTAATTTTCATGTGTCACGCAACACCTAAGATTGACTCAAGACCGATTTTAATGATTTTTTTTTGTGATCATCAGGCTTTACTCCCATGTTAATCCCACACAAATTTTACTACAAATGAAGTAAGGTTTTCTGTTAATGAGAGTTATTTCCTATTTGCATAATTTTAGTCATTATTGCATAAGTCATATAATACTAGACTAGAATTTTATCATGCCGACATACCTAATGGAATATTACATCATCCTAATAACTAGCATACATTTACTCAAGTTGAGCCTTCCTCCATCTGTAATTTTTAGATCAAAATACCTATAGTCTACTAATGGGCATAAAGCATTTTACAGTAATTAGCACTATACAAGGTTGAAGTAGTAAACAGTTTGTACTATTAAGAACTTATTCTATAGAAATTTGAGATAATGCTAAAGAGTCCTCTGATGTTATGAGATCTAAACCATTCACTCAATAGTAGATAATATATAGTAAATATTTGATACAGGTATATCAAATACTTACTAATATAAACTTAACAAGTCAAATTAGTGATAAATACACAAATACAACAATAAAACTATAAAGACCTTACATGTACTTATCTAAATCTATCTTGCTAGTATATAATTCACTTCTAATCAGAACAATAACTTGTTACTTTATATAGCAGATAGGAATAAAACAAAATTTGCTGAAAGAGAACTCTTATATAGTTAAGCATGCCTGTTAATTTTGTTTAATATAAATTATAACAATGTATATTTTGTGTACAATAAAGTATAAATAAATAAATAAACAAGACACTAATTCCTAGCAATTTATTTTAATTTTCCATTCACCATCATATGAAAATGATGCAATATTTATCATGTTACTATAATAGAGCACAGGTAGGAAACATATTTCATAGTAAACTTATTTAAGCTTGTTTTATTTCTTTTAATCTAAACTGAAAATTATATGACTATTTTGACATATTTTATCATAATGAAGTGTGATAATTATGCAAATGAAGACAATGAAATAATTGTCAGTTAACTAGGTATGTATGTAAAATAATAAATTAAGAAAATAAAAATATCACTTGCATGAGTACATAATTATGAATAAATAATACCTGTAGGAAGCCAAGGAGTCAAGTCAAAATAAAAACAAGTGATGATCTATAGTTTCTACCTACTCCAAAGAGAAAATATTGTGTGAATGTTGAATTATAACTATCATAAGTCATAATGTGAGTAAACATGACATAATTGATTAAAAAATGTAATAATTAATAATAATAATAAGTTATAGTGATCTGTTCTGGCTTTACATAAGTAGATAAAATTTTCAAAAATAATATAGAGCCTATGTTACTTAGTGATAATGTAGCTTCCCATATGTTGAAGAATTTTTAAAATTAGTTAAGTAGTTTTTGAGTTTATCAATTATAAACAATCAAATTTTTCCTCTTTATAATATTAGTACAGATAAGATTATAAAATATATTTTGTAATGAAAAATGGACAGTATGGGAAATTATATTAATATTGTGGCTAGTTACAATTCTGTGTAAGGTATTTTTAAGACAAAATATCTACATAACTGATAAACATAGGTAAATAAGATAATACATCTCTAATTCACAAGATGTACCTATATATAAAATTAGCAAGTTTAAGGTAAGACACAGTTCAAATTAATGTGATAACAATCCACATACTAAATCTTACAAGGTGGGTCAATTTATATTTTACCTACATAATTCTAATTATAGGAATATCAGCAAACTATGACTAAAATAAGGTAGTAGATATTGAAATTACACCATCAATCATATCATGTTAATGGGGCATTTTGATTATATTTTTAAGTATCATTGAATATATAAAAAATAAGGTTTAATATTAAACAAACCCTACATAAAGGCAAGCATTTGTGTCCTAATAGAGTCTTTATCTATAGATAATTATGGTCTATTTTTATTTTTCATTTAATAATATATATCTAATTATAGTCATTATATAATAAAATTTGTCTTGAGCATTTTGTACTCAGAATTCAAATTTTATGAGTAATAAAATAAAATGGAGAAAGAATAAAGCAACATGGGCAAAAATGTTCTTTAATAGTTAATGTGTTCTTATAAAGAAAAAGAAGAACAACCATGGCTATAAACCATAAATAGTATATGAAAAGGTGCATAAGATAGATTAAGTTTATGTGATATCTACAAAATAATCTTGTATATTTCTATTCATATTTTTCCCTGTATAAAATATGAAAATAGCCATTTTAATGTTTTCCCTAATTAATTCAATTCAACATTTATTTTAATTTATAAAAGTTACTAATTTTTTGTTTTAATGTCATGTTTAAAAGAAATCTTCATAGTACTTTTTCTTTCTAATCATATCGAACAATTTTCGCCCTTTGCAGGGATAGAGGGGCTACTCATTTAAAACATCCCTTATGTTGTATAAATATAATTTTTATAATAATTATTGATTACCAAAATATAATGCTGAAAAATATAACTAATATGATATTATTATTATTTACATATAAAAATATTAGGGTTAACTTATAAGAAAAAAAACTTGTAGGTAGTTAAATAATATACACACTACTTATATATACAAAATATATAAACAATATACACTCTTTAATTAGAATACAATCAATACACTTAACTTAAATTTAGGTTGCTAATTCTTAAATTATTATTCGAAATAAATGGCAGATTCAAGATAATTAGTTTAAAACTTTGTTAGCGACCTACAACCAGATGTTGCATATAAAATTGTAAGCCATTAGGTTTGTATTCTATTTAATAGCAAAGTCTATAAATTCAATTACATTCAAAATATTCTGTATTTGCTTAAAAGAAAATTGCAATATCTTTATACTAAGTGCATTTGTTTCGGATAAGTCTGTATTCCATCAGTTTATATCTGCAATTTGAGTTTGTTGACTATTCTGGAATTCAAATTATTATAATTACCTCTTCCAAAGCACTGATGGTCTGCCGGCATTGTGGCATACGCGACACGAATGTGGAAGTTGTCGGTGAACTATAGTCGTCTCGAGTTTCCTCAATAAATTCGCCAATACCAATAAGACCCGGCATTGTGATCACTATCACCGAAAATGGTACACTCAAATAAAATTATTTTTTTATTCGTTTATCATATCACTCAATACTGTAAACGAACGATAAAAGAGTAATAAAACACATTGTCACGTATAAAACACTTCTGCGCAAATAAAAACAATATCGCATATAATTCAAAACCATCAGTTCAAAAACGACCATCAAATACGAATACAATGCATGTACTAAAATTGATTGATTAAATTGAATGAAACAAAATATCAGTCCGTGAAGAAGAACGAAAAAGGGAATGAATGAATTTAGAAATGAATGCCAACGACATATTAACATTTTTTTAAATTTATTATGGCATTGGCAAGAAGGAAATATTTGGCAATCACAAAATAGATATTAAACACTATAGTGATTTTCTACAACAGCAAATATGGGGATCGATTTTGAGGCGTTATTTCTCTAAATTTATTTCTTCACTTAATATTTTAATACATTTACGAAATTCCTGTTTAATGAATCACCTAAATTAAATTTGAAGTAAGTTTAATTACAATCTATAAAAAATTTAGTTCACATTAATGTTTAGAATAAACATTTCGCTGTAATATGAAATTTAAAGATAGGATAAATCTATCTCTAATCTTATTAGATACAGAATTGATATCATTGCTTGAAAAGTTTAGGAACCATTAGTAATTGTTTAAAAAATTATATTACGAACCATAAATATTTCCTAATAGCTAAATGGGTTAAATTCTAATGGCAAAGATTTTACTTATTCGTAAAAGTTATTTTATTTTCTAAATTGTTCTACAAATAGAGCGTCAACAACAATTATTCGCGAATTGCTCAAACAGTATAAAATGTTGTTTTGTAGGTTTGCATCACTATATGATGATTAGATTAAAAATATGAATCTCTGTTAACACTGGGAATCAATGATAATGACGGAACTATAGAAAAAACACGAGGTGATATTCATACAGATCAAATTATTTTTTCTATTTTAATTTCATAATATACAAATTGCCAAAAATATTTATAATCAATATAATTAGTGTCGTGTAATCACTATCAAGTAATAAATAATATTCTATAAATTAATTATATGAATAGAATATATGATAATATGATTTTCATTTCAGCATTCCTATTTATCATTGTTCAAGTATCTGAACAATAATCGGGAATTTAAGATTTACTTATGCGATTTAAAATTTAAGATTTACTTCCTGCGTCTATATATTATAATACTTTTTTAGAGATCGGAGAAATTTGGTCCAGGTTATTCGATCATCGACCATTTTTGAATGGAGAAATAAAATTTATGGTGAAAGAATTTGAGGTATGTTTCTTATTAGACATCAAACTACCTCGCATCTTCCGTCTACACTCTTGCATCTGCCGATAAAATATACCTTCATGTTCTCGTTTCGTGACCTCATTTCATTGCTTTCATATTTGTTACTTCTTTTTTATGCCCTCATATTTGTGTTATAATGTTGAAATTTCGCCTGCGCTATCGGTATACGCTGACGGGGCACCAGTGATTGGTGAGGATGAGAGCAGACCAGTTGGCCCATTGGGAAGAATTCAACAAAAATTAACCACTATTGTTTCCAGGAGGAATGGCATGAAGGTCGGCCTGATAGGATATATTGCTAGCAATGGGATTAGAACCCATTACTAACAATCCCTTTCCCCCATATGGTTAATTGTTAGGGCCTTATGTGTGCTGAATTGAAAATACCATACTAGATATGATTAATTTACCTTAGTAATTTGTGAATTTTTAATCAATGGGTTTAATTCAATGCAATACTTTATAATACCAAGATTAAAATGTTAATATTGCAGTACAAAATCATTAATAACTATTACATTGTATTAATACTTATACATTTCATTATTTTTGTTATTGATTCTTTGTTAATTGTAAATAAAAATATAAAAAAAATTGTAGGAGAAAAGAGGTGATCGTGAAGTGGAAAACTTGTTCTCAATCCTTGAAAAGTTAACAGACATTAAAGATAGTCAAGCAGATAGAATAAGAAGAAATGGTGAAACAACCTTGCCTGTTTTAAATGAAAAATTAGAACAGGCACTACAGCTGTGTGAAGAAGTGGAAAAAGATTATCTTCACATTAAGAAGGTAAATGAATTTTTACTAATATGTACTTCTTGGTTGTTTATTAGCTCAACCATTTGTCATAAATTGTGATGCATGATGTTACTTGTGATGATATATAAAAGTACATATTGTTATGTAATTATTGTTGGGTGGATCTTGCATAGGATGAGTGGCCCATCCTGGCCATTTGGTTGTTGAATGAATGTTTGCATGTTGTAAGAAGCAACTGTAGTTGCCAATTTGTTTACTAAGTGTGGCAACTATTGGCAAAACCCCTAATAGAGAGAGGCTTATGTTAAGCAGTGGCCAATTAATACCTAATATGATTATGATTATTATCTTGGCTATATGCATAAGTTATGTGTAAACTAATATCATATACAATTTTTTTTATGTGCTTTAGATTGATGAATAAACTGATGGCCTACTTCATTAAAATTTACAACCATTGCTTATAGAAACAAACAGTATCATGGACTTTACATGTTACTTCATATGTTATCTTTTAGATTATACATTAATAACTGTTAATATATTAACTGTTATATTGAGAGTTACCAACTCAAAACAAAAGACATACCACTTCTATTCTGTTATAGTTCATCATGCTGAATTTATTCCAAATTAAAGCAGTATTGTTGAATCCATAAACTTACTATAATATACTATATATTGACAGATTTGCAATATCATTACAAAAACATGACAAGAAAAGAGTTACACTAGAGTGCATGTTTTGCAAATGTATACATGTTCTGAATTAATATGGAATTGAAGTAGCAAAAATTTTAATATTGTTTATATCTATTATATTTGTGGTTATTCTGAAGTTTTTAAATTAATAACTATTGGTTTAACATTTTAACTACATGTAAGTTAAACCAAACTTACATGTAATTAGATTGAAAGAAGCTTAACTAGCTTATTAAATTGAAATATAATGTGAACTTATGAAACTTTTAATAATAAATCTTGCACAAAATACTTCTGATTTTTCTATAATTTTGCATTTAATATAATTATTGTTTAAAGCATAATTACATGAAAAGTGCACAAATTTTGTTTTTTTTTTCTAATTTGTGCTAGCATGCTTAATTATAGCTAACTCTATTCACTTACAACTAATTCTACTTTAAAATTAATTTTATCCATATTCTTAACAAATCAGCTTCAAGCTTATATTATATTGATGAATGTCTTATCTGTCTTGCTCTAACATATAAGTTACTAGGTTTTACTTGTAGCTTCACTCACATTAATATTGATTTTTGTTCAATAGAACAAAAATCAATATTAACGTAAGTGATCTCTATCTATACCAACAACCAGAATACTGGTTGTTGGTATAGATAGAGCTAAAGTAGTTACAAATAGAAATAAAAATGTAAACAACATAAAAACAATTACAATATTATTAACATAAAACTAAATACAGATGATCAATCTATACTAAGTTTTTTTTTTTCTTTAATATTGCCAATTTATATACTTTATAATTTAAGGACAGATTGTCATCCTATCTTAAATAAGCAATTTTGTGTAAACTGCCAATGTTTTGAAATTTTCTTTTTAATAAATAATACTTTTTAGTTTTTTTTTAAACAATGATAAGCCTGTTCTATGATTGTTTTGATTAGAAAATCTTTAACATATATACTTATTTATTAATAATAAATATTCATTTGAGTTACCACAGTCTCAGAGTAATAAACCAAAATACAAACACTAGAACTGCCAAAACTTGTTCAAGTACAATTACAAATTTAAACTAAATAAGAATAAAGAAATTAATTATAAGTAATAAATATCTAATTTGTATTCTTCTACAAATTTAATATATCTCCCTTTTTCAGGAAAGTGAGCAAAAACGAATTGAAAATCGTGATATATATATATATATATATATATATATATATATATACATATATATATATATAGCCTCTCTTTACTGTCTAGCTGTCAAACGGCAAAAAGAGTTTTAGCTACTGAAATTTTATTTATATAATGACTTCAGATCCAAACAAACTTACTTTTAGTTAGCATCATGATTTTTTTTGAGAAATAATAAACCATTTGTAAATTATGGGATCAGTTTGTTGATGATATGAACTTTAAATGTAAACGGATTGACAATACTTTTGAAGAGAAAGAAGAAGAACTAAGAGACTTGTATGCTGATTTAAATCATAAACTGAATATAGCAAACAAATAAACATGGACCTTAAGGGCTCTCTAGTAGATACAAAATTAAAAATCTACCCCTCAAAAAAATTGCTTAATTTTTTACAAAATATAGAATTTTCAGATAATATTCCAGTTAATATTGCAAAATTAGTGAAAGGTGAAGATTTTACATATAAAAATAATAATGGATATGATGTAAAGCAAATTAATTTTACTTTAAATAATAAGGATCTTGAAATCATAAAAAAAGTCAAAGAAAAATTTAAAAATATTGAATTGTCTGACACTGATACATGTGGAAGTCACAATGATGTCATCATTAAAAATGTATGTACCAAAGATGCAGAAATCAAAAGCAGAGAAAATAGTTTAGATATCAATGGTGTAAATAAGAAAGATTTGGATGTCAAAGATACCCAAAATAAAGATTTAGACTATATAGATAAAGAAAAGTCTGATTTGAAAAAGGAAGGTCCATATCTCATTAGCTCAGATATGGATTGGTTGTATACTCATCTTCAGGAAAGAAGAAGTAATGGCGAAAAGAATGTACCCTACTTGCATGCACTTCTAGAAGGTTCACATATTGAATTGCCTGAGAATACTGTAATAAAACGGAATCCTATACTAGAGGAAAGATGTGTAAAATTGAGGGCTCAACAGGAGGCTAGAGAATACAGAAAAATGACAAAAAGTGTTGACAATGTTCGCATGAGATTTCCTGAAGACAGTATATCATATCAATGTAAGTAAAAATAATAGAACAATAGTAGTAATATATATATTATATATATATATATATATATATATATATATATATATATATATATATATATAATATATATATATATATATATATATATATATATATATATATATATATATATATATATATATATATATATATATAGGGCTCTGAATGTTTTATAAGTGAAAAAGAAAAGGAGATATTTGTATGAAAGAAAGTTTGTGTTTGTTAAAATTTAATAAACAAAAGTTTTACTTGAAATTTTATTTAAATACTTATCTATATTTGTTTTATGACCTAAAACATTAATATAGATAAATAAAGTATACATTTATTTATTTTAATAACACTTACCTACTGCTATTATTCTCACATATAATTGTAATATATACACATAATTTAGGATAAAAGTAATATAAGTAATGCATACTTGCTAAATTTCATTATGATTGATTGAGCTATTAGATGTCAGAGCCAAACAAACTTATTTTAAATGTATAACATGAATGTGGATTACTCATGATTTTGATATAACTCAGTCATGAGAAATAATAAATCCATTTATGTGTAAGTATAGAGTACCTAATTTTTATTTAGCATGGTATTAGTCACACTGCTTACCTGTTAAAATGTGACGCAATTTTAATGAGTTGCATTTTTACTTTTACAGTGAAACAAGTAAATCGCCAGCTAATTGCAGTTGGTCAATTCATTCTTTCGATATTCGCCGGATTCTTATTTGGATTTAAAGGTGTAGAATGGATGTTGGGCAATTTGGACTTTGGATTTAGATTACTCTTGGGCGTCATGTGTGCGTTGATTATTGCACTTGCTGAAATATACTTTCTGGCTAAAAAGCTAAATGAAGAGCTAAATGTACCTGAAACTATACAATTAGGTGGACCACCTAAATTTGCTCAAGAACCAACATGTCATGGGCATAAAATAAGTTTTATTGATAAGGAACATAAGGATTGATAACTATAATTTACATAAACCATTCATTTCTAATATTTTATACATAATTATCAGTTGTAAAATATATATAATAATGTATTGTGACTGTAATAATGTTATGTTAATAAATATTTGTAGCTGTTATTGTTTTAATTTTTATATTATTTACCTACTAAAACGAATGCCTATTACTTTGATTTTGCATATTATAAAAGAACCCTTTGTCACAGAATACACCCAGAAGGAAAGCTCTTTTTATGTGCCGATCTTATATTATATAGGTAGAGCATCGAGCCTTAAAAACGGGTCAACTTTTAGTTAGCTAATTGTCAAATTAGCTTTTTAAGCCGCAAAAATTATAAAACAAATATAAAAGTTATAAAGGAAACTCCCTTGTCTGGGGTACAGCCAACATTAGTCAATTTAATCAGCAACATGTTGTCCACGACATAAACGCCTTCCGAAAATCAAAATAAGCAGCATCCACCTGCCGCCCTCCACCCACGATCGCTATCAGGCGAGTCATGTAATTAAGCAAATTGCTTGTTGTGCTGTGTTGCGGCTGGAAACCGTGTTATGCCTCTGACAGCTGTGCCCATACATGACTGTACATGTTCACTTGTAATAACTCGAAATAAAAAACCTTGGCAAGAGTTGATAACATTCTGAACGGTTTTGTCAATGCTCGTTTTATATATTTTTACGCCAGCTTAGATTTAACCAACTATTAGATTTTTCTCGTGGTCATCCTGACGGTAGTACTTCTATCGTATTTTGTCCCTATATCATATTGGTAAATCTCGATTCCTACCGGATAAACAATTATATCAGTAAATGATACGAATTATGATAGGTACTGATGTTATCTCTGGTTTTCTTTTTTTAGGAAGCCCTTTTCGAATACATCAATAAAACAGTTATGGTATGTCACCTGATCGACTCACACACTAAGTACTTTTGCAAAGTAATCAATCATTTTTAAACATTTTCCAAAATTTTGATTTTTTTAACAATAAATTTACATGGTGTAAATCCTAAAAAAATTGAAAATTTTAATTGTGTCGTCTTTTATTTTTCAATAAACAAATTTTTTTACATCCAAATACAGTTAGGAAAGACGAATAATTATGCAGCATTAGTTTTTTCAATATGAAACACAAAAAATTGGAAACCAACTAAAACATAGAATGTATATAAAAATATTCTTCGAAACCCCCAGTCTCCTAACTACTTAAGGAGTAAATTCCATTATCTTTTTGAAACTCTTTATATTATTGCCAAATTCGTGTATAATATAGTATATATCATATATGTGTAAGTATATTTGTTATTCATATATATTTATTCGTTTATATATGTAATTTTAGTATGTATGTATATTAATAATTAGTAGTACCGCATTCGAGTATTCTAACACTTCCCTAAGTTAAGTTTTGTTAGATATAGATAAAAAAAAACTTATTATCCTTAATCTATGCTACTGAAACAAAATATTTCTGAATTACATATATAAACAAAATAAAATTAAAGAATTTCGATATGTCATCATGTTGTCATTATGACGTTATGACAGATGTGGTAGTTCATCGACATTTTATTATCTGTGACTTTATTTTTGACTTGTAATAAAACGTAAACTAATTCTGCTTATTGCACAACCGGCAATATTTTCTTTTCCAACCTTCTATCTGATGATTCATTATTTACCGACCATATTTAATGTTCTACACCGTTTAATAACAAACAGTACCTAATACACTGCTGTACAAATCAGTTAACTTTGTATCGTTCTTTGTTTCTTTTTACTAGTGGAAGTGACGATTACTAATCTTAAAGTAAGTTTATCAACAGTGAGTTTATTGCGTAGTTGCTGTTTATCTTGCATTTTAAGTTTACCAAAAGAGATTATGTTCATTAGTCTATTTGTGATGAAACTTTTATATAAACATTAATACTCATATTTGAATAAGGCTTTAAAATTGTACCATAAGTAATTAATCACTTTTATAATCACTTAATTATAAAGCAATTTTTATTATATCAATTTAAAAAATAGACTAAATTTGCTATATATATAGGAATTTGTCCATGATGCATACACCTCATGCTTTTTCATTAGACCTATTTCAAGTAATATTTTAAAACAATTGCTTGAAATTACATTTTTAATAATTTTAATATATTTGTTTATAAATATAAAAGATTTTTTATGGAAAGATTGCATAAACAATTATCAAAATTGGTTCAGAATTGGTGAAATTACCACATAAAAATCACAAAAAATACTGGTGAATTGAGAACCTCCATTTTGAAGTTGCTTAAAATAAGATTTAAAACCACCCCTAAGCATGATATTGACCAAATTTGGTTCATTAAAAAAAAAAACACAAAAAAGAGCATATATATTATTAATAGAACCAATATAAATAATAGATTATATTTATGGAATCTATTTATGACTATTTAATGTTGTATAATTAAATGTTAATTAAGTGGCTACACTTTATAGTAACCACTTACCATCAAATGAAGCTTTTTTTTAAATGTAGGTACATCAATATTATTATTACTTATATAGATTATTTTGATGGTAAACTATTGAGTATGTAAGTAATTTGTATTTTATTAAATTTTTGACTATTAGTATGTATGTGGGTACATTGAAATATATTATTCTTTATTTATCTGTCTTAATAAAAGGTCAGCTTAATCATGCTTTGTTTTATTAGTGACATATAGCTTCATAAAATTATGTACCTATATATTATCTTTAGATAAATATCCTGACACAGCTAAATGAATTCATTAACTAATTGTAATTTGCTTTATTAACTTAAATATTGCATATTAAGTAAATATGTTCCATAAATACATGACCTAGATATAAATAAGACCACTACTTATAATAGTTTTTACAGATCAAATTCAATAAGTATTAAAATAAATGACAATGATGATTTCCATTTTAATCTTAAGTTGGCTGGAAGACAATGTTGTCATATGTGGCCAATGAAGCTTTTCTTAGTAATATTATGAATTTTAAAGTATTTTTATTGGTTTGTTTGTTTCTTTTTGGTGCATTTAACAGCAAAATTTTATGCTCAACCAATCATGAAGTATGGTACATACATAATATATGGGATGAAGAATGATATACTTAGGCAATATTTTATCCCAATCACATGGAAGAAGTAATGGATTAAAACTAATAAATAAATACAAATATCCTTTATTCCTGAATTACAGATTCTTTTTTAAATTGTAAATATGTATAAATAAATAATGTTGACATCAGCAACATCTTATTTTTCAGGTTGTTCTAGAACATAGGCCTCCTCCATATTTCTCCATTGGTAACGATTCCTTGCAGCTTGTCTCCAGCCTTTGGGCAAATCATCCTCCCATCTTCTTATTGGCCTACCTCAGTTTCTTTTTCCATCATGTGGATACCACTCAATTAAATCTTGGGTCCATTTATTTTTGATGACCTCATGATGTGCCCAGTCCATCGCCATTTGAGCTTTTTTATTTTATGAGTCACATCTGTAATCTGGATTAAAACTAGTTGTAAACAAATGACAAATCTGTTTTATGTACTAACTACAGATAAAATCGAGGTTATTAATATTTGCAAATCATTACAGCATGGATGAATATGTACAATACAAAGTTTACACCTTTTGGAGTGAAGATGCTAAGCCTGAAGTGAGGAGGTTTGGTATTGAGAAGAGTGTCATCACTAGTTTTCAATATTTGAATGCTAAACTACAAGATGTTTTTCCTGGACTGAAAGAGAAGAGTTATATTGTGACTTGGAAAGGTAAAATTATATTCATTTGAAATAAATAATTAATTATTTTGCTTCAATAACAGAAAGTGTTTATAATACTTTGTGTTATATTTTTTCACTTTGCACAATTAGTAAATCCTACTAATAATAAATACCTACTCAGGTATATTTTTATCCAAATAAATTAATACAGATAAATAATAGAGCTTATACAAGAAGGCAAATTTGTTCTATTTATTTATATTCTTCAAAATTTTTCTATTAATTGGTACTTATAAATCATTAATATTCTAAATTATTACTTTTTCTTTTAAATTATAAAATTAGATAAAGGCATTGTAAGGTTGTATACTTTTTTATTTATTATTTTATTGAGATTACTCTAATAATTAATAACAATAGTAACAAATGTAAAGTTTTTTTTCTATTAATACTTAATGTAACTCTTTGTTGTTGGCAATCAATGTTTTCTTTCTTTCTAATATGCTTCTGATTACAACTAGTAATTACAACATTGAAATATTGAGCAATGAAGATATTTTATGTACCACTAAATAATTGGTGAAAGGACTACAAATGACCTGATAATATGGAAGTAGTGATTTGTGACTTTTCTTTAAACTACAAGATCTCAAAACTAGAAACTTTGAGCTTTAAAATCCTTTTTTTTTTTTAAATTCCAGTATGACCATTTGTAAGAAAAAAAAACAGCTACTTGAAAAACCTCAAAAAATTTGGCATTTTTTGATCCCTTAATTTTTTCCTCTAGTGTATTTGTAAAGTCTAATTTGATAAACAATTATTGTTAATTAATATATTGATTTATATATCTTATTCTTTTTTATTTATTTAAATTATACATCTGTTTGAATGAAACTACTATTTTATTCTATAAAAATACCAATCTACTTGTACTCATATTGGTCAATAAAGAGTATATAAATTTGTAAAAACTTCTAATCAGATGAAGAAGAAGATGATATCACCATTTCCTCAGATGAAGAAATGATGGCTGCTCTAACAGCTATGTTTGAAATTAATAAGCCAATAAAATTGTATGTTTATTGCAAAGAAGCAGCACCCAAGGACGACGATTGTGATATTATAATCTCAGCTATAACTGATACTGCTAATGGTGAGAACATTTTATTTATCTCTAGGAATATTCTTTACACTACTAGAAGTATTATTAGTTAATAATCTCTACTAGGGAGGAAAGGGATTATCAGTAATGGAGACTAAGATTCCTATTGTTAGCTATATACCCTACCAGGTTGATCTCCTTGTAGTTCCCCCTGGAAACTATCATGGTTAATTCCTGATGAATTCATCATGATGGGCTAACTGGCCTGTTTTCATTATCATCACTCATCCTTCACTGGCGCACCGCCAGCGTATCCCGTTATCGCAGGTGGGGTTGCCATTCCATTTTCACCCATCAAAAAAAAATCTCCACTACTAAAATGATATATTGTTATAGTTCTTAATTCATATCCAGCAAAGAAATATTCTTAGTATAATTAAGAAATAAATATTAATATTTCTTAATGTTTTCAATTATAAATCTGTTATTTATTTATTAAAACAATATCTTGAATATTTTTATAATATTATGGCATAAGTATATACATACAATGCATTGTATGTATTGGATTTTTGTAAAATTTAAATAATAAACTGACATAAAATAGCGTTATAGCGATACAGTTGCATCACGTTATGTTTAAGAGTGCCAATTGTGTTTGTTAAACCAAGTGTATCCAATAATCTACATAAGCACCTATGTAAATATTGTTCATGAAAAGATAATTCCAGCAGCGAGAACTTATTGTAGAATTATTTACTGTGCCATCATTAAAAATAAATTAAGAACTCTTCAGTGAATATCATCATAATTATTTCAGCAGTTAATTATCCACTGTTGAAAATAGGCATCCCTCATAGAAAACCATAAAGAATGGTACTGATTCACCTCTTTCCATTGACTGCAATGAATCTATAACAAAGTTAAAGGACTAAATAATTATAATGGTCACACAGTCTATATTTATATATAGGATTTTATATTAGTTACCCACTGTTGAATTACAGTGCAAAAAAGCAGAGATATTTTATACGAATGTTAGAAAACAAATAGGTATATACCATAAACATAAAAAAATCTATGCTTTTTAGTGAGAACATCTAGAAAGTAAAAATCTAGAAACTATTAGTAATAGTAGTAATATATTCGAGATTTGTTATTAACATGTACTATGAGGTATAAATAAATAATGTCTGTATGTATGTATATCCTTCGGACTGGTACATAACATGCACTGCATGGATGAAGGTCATATACTCATACAACATTATTTGGCTCATGCAGACTTAAAAAAAATGTTTGTATGAAGTGTATGCAACCAGATCATTGAAAATACCTTGCTTCTTTATTATGTAATAATAAAGAATCAAGGTCTTCCATTTTACCTCTCAGTATTATTATTTTAGATAAAGCCACGTCATGATTATTCATTTATTTTGTGTTTTGAATTTTAGGTGGTTGCATAGATTCATTTTCCAGTTTCCTCAAGGGCAGCACCAATTTTTAAACATATACTGATTATAAATTTACAGTTGCAAGCACCAGTGGACAACATTACGGCGTAACTTGTGATGGATGTGAAGGACCCGTTATTGGTTTTCGCTACAAGTGCATCTCTTGCGACGATTTTGATCTTTGCTCACGTTGCGAAACATCAGGCCTGCATCGTGAACATTGCATGTTGCGTGTGCCTATGCCAACATTGCCGGTATACCTTAGATATATTTTGTTAGTTACTTAGAATTATTTTTGGTATTTAAAGCACGCGCCACAAGTTAGAAAAAAATGAATATTTTCACCTTTGTACTATGAACGGTAACAGTATTATTCGCAATTAGTAAGTTACATTTGTGATTGTTTTTTATTAGCTATTATAAAAAGTAATGTTTTTGTTATACACTTAATGAAGAAAAAATAGATGGTAAAAAAATTTTGAGACATGGTTTTTTTAATACCAAGTAGTAGGCAAGTTTATAACTGATTTGTATTCCATAATGGTCACAATGAATGTTATACATTTTTTTACCTATGTTTTTGTATATTAAAAATGTATGTTGTTAATTATGTGGCATAGATTTCGATTAAGTCTTATGAAGTAGTTAAGTCATTATAATAGACAATATTATTTTAGCGTACACTCATTAAAGCTGCCATTAAGAGGTCTCGCCACTTCTTGAAGTCTGTGGTAGGCCCTGCTGCTGAAGAATGTTCCCGTAAGCGGCACCGACACGATAAAAATGATGATAGGAAACATCGCAGTGGTGAACATCAGGACCAAGAGCATGGGGACAATCATCACCATGGTGATTATCATCGCCGCGGAGAGCGTCACCGCCGTTCACGATCAGGCTGGCTGGACACTTTCGCGACATATATGAATGAGTTCGTAAATTTAGCCGGCGATGTTGGTGATTTGCATGCTGATAGTAATACTTCAGCCAATCAACCTTCTCAGACGAATAATCAGGCGCAATCGCATGGACAAGAACAGGCTAAAACTGCCAGTGAAAACTCTGAGACTCCCAGGCAACCAGAGGCAAGCACATCAGAAAATTCGGGTGCCTTTGTGCCACCACAGTGCCCTTTCTTACCAGGCAATTTCAATGCTGAAAATATATCTAAATTTATAGAAATGTGTTTGACTGGTCAATTAAATTTGCAAGATTTTCTGATGAATCCGCCATACGCTGCAAATTCTAATGACGTTGAGATGAGAACGACAACTGATGACAAGAAATGTTCAAAGCCTGATAGACTTGACAGTACTAATGACTCACAGGCATCTACCGCTTCAGGCGAATCTAATAGGGATGCTTCCCCGGATAAGGTTGATGGCTGGACAGTGATTAATAAAGAAAAAGGTGATTACAGTCTCTTTTTTAGTCACTGATTTACATTTTAAATATTAAATTAATATTAAGAAAATTTTTAAAATTATAGATTTATTAGATGAAGCAACTGCTCCAGCTGAACCTGCTGCTCCAATTGGATTTAACTTGCCTGCAGAATTCCAGGAACATGTCAAAATATCCGAGGGTGGAAATCTATACCCACCATTAAACACTGCGACTGCTGGTAATTTGATAATTTAATTCTTTATATATATCTAAATCTATTTTTTATTAAAAATTATTTTTAATTACTTATTTCATATTACCAAATTGCGTTGCAGTAAGTATATAATTTTTCGTATAAATAAAATTAAATAATTTCGGTATTTGTTTATCATCAGCATGTTCATGATGTTATGGTGCACTTGATCATGTAATTTCATTTTTTAATATTAGTGTTGAATCCCCAAGAGCCAGAAGTCCGGGTTGTGCAACCATCGGTGCCTACCGCTCCACAGGCAACCCCGATTGCCACGCCGCCGCAGACTCCACCCCAGCCTGCTCCAGTAACTCCACCACCTGCACCAGCACCGAAACCACGTCAGCCCCACCCTAGTAAGTTCCTTAATTTCCTTTGTTATTTTTTATGTTGGGTATTATTAATTTATTTTGGAAAATAGGATGTAACCTTATTATCGGAAATTGTCCCTTCAAGGTAGTGGTTTCATTTCCAGATTTCAATCTCGACATATTACATTTCTATTGCGTTAGGTATTGCTAGACAAAAGTCTAAATTGCCCAGAAATATCTCTCATTAATCTAAACTTTTTTTACCACGATGTTGAATCTAAATATTGTTTTGGTCTCTTAATAAAAACCGAATTGCTTTTATGCTTAAATGTTTAAAGTTTTTTGAACATACCATACTCTCTATATTCTAAATATTGTTTTGGTCTCTTAATAATACTGTAAAGAAAAAATATTTCACAATACATTTGGATATGGTTAATGTAACAATCAAATGCAACGAAAGTGAAACTTTTATCAAATCATAAATACTGGTACATAATTCTTCGTTCTTCTTGGTACTGCCATATCGAATTTATTTAGTTATATAAATACATTTTTATTTCCTATTCAGAACTTCACATTGAAGCTGCTATTCAATATATGGTTGCTATGGGATTCCCGGAAGAAGCCTGGTTGATTCAGCTCATTGAGAGCAAGGATGGCAACATTTCTGCTGTTTTGGATCTGATTACACCAAATTCAAAGTAAACATAATTTCAAACATCTGCATATGATTGTGGTTTAGTGTATATCATATATATCTTGTATCAATCACTAGAACAGTGATGCTTCTTCTGAATTAATTAGAATTAAAGATTGATTTATATTGCTATTCCATGCAGATTGTTTCTTATCGTAATTGAAAGTATGTTACGGGAATACTTATTCATAATTATAATAATCATTATCATCGTAGCATACGTCTATGGGTTGATTCACATAGTGAACTAACAACATAAAAGGCATTTATATATATATTGTGTACACGGAATAATTTTCATGAGCATTTATATATTTCGGCTGTTATGTGACACAACCTAATATTAGAAACACACAGTGATGGAATTTAAGGAGCGTACATTATGGATATATAATTGCTTTATTTAGTCATAAGTACCTATACTGAAGTATGGTTTGTTTAGGTTATTGCAATGTTTTTAAATAATTCTAATAGATATATTTTGGCTATTAATACGGCCTAATAATAGAAATCAACAGTGGTGGAAATTAACTCTATTTTAAGAAGAATTCATTATAAACTAATCGGGCCATTAGTAATCGGGTACATGTAATAATTTTTCCAATTCAGAATTTGTACCACAGATAAAATAATATTTCTTTGAAATTTAAACATCATATCAGCCATTAACTATCCATGTTGAACATAAGCTTCCCCCTTACGAACGCCTATGTTCAATAGTGGACACTTATATAAGTACATAGAATTTATATCTACTGTCTAAATTTCGATAGAATTATTTTCTATATGAAAGATGGGGGATAAAAAAAGAGGTACTGAGAGCCTACTATATTTTTGGTTTACACATGTTTTGTATGAATTACTTTGAGCTTCAGATATATTTAGATAAAACATTACTTATTCTATATTGATATAATATATTTGTATCCAGGTTGATTGGTGACAGTGAAAATGTGATATTTGAATATGTGAGAAAAGTAAAATGTACCTAGTTTTATTTTTATAGTTAATAGTATTCGATTATGATTCTTAGTATTTCATTAAAGGTTATTGGGATTAAAAGGGTTTTCATTAGTTTTATTTCAGAAAGCCATATGAATGTTTTTTGAAACTAATATTTTCTTGTCTCTCCCGTAAAAGTGCTTGTCCCAAGGCTTTGTCTAAGGATTTTGCCGCTTCTCTGAAAATGACAAAACAATGGTTTTTTAAACATGTAAGAATCATTATTATTTGCGAAAAAAAAAGTCAAATATTATTGTTTTAGATAAAAAAAGCAAAGTAAAAAATGCATAGTTGCAGAGCAAAATCTTTATGTACATACAAAACTGTAAAATGTCATTGTAGGAAATATGGTAGGTTCATAGATATGAAACATTTAAAATATTGAGTCATTTATCAGTGAAATGTGTTTACAATTGCAGTTGCTTTTTCATAGAGCAATATGTTGTTGTTTTATTAGCTGTTAATTGTCCACTGCTTGTTTAATTAAGACCATATTTTTTGTAACTCCCTTATGGAAGAGGCCTATATTCAGCAGTGGACAGTTAAAGGCTGATGGTATATGTATAATTTTTAGTGAAATGCTAAAACATGCAAACAGAAACATTCCAGTAATCTATCCTTTTGTTTCTTTTTCATGTACTACATAACATATCCATGAACATACATTTCCAAGAATATTTACCCAATGTACAGTTTTGACTCTTTACAATATATTATTAAATATTTTAATTATTTTTTAATGTGAATCTGCAAAATTTGTTGTTTATGTCTCTAAAAGTAATTACATAATAACTTACAAGCCTTGCTGTATAGCATCCTTCAATGTTTTCGGCGCGACACTGCCAGCTCCGTTCATACCAATTGTGCTGCATTTAGATTCAACATTTGGGAGTTTTTTAGCTTCCTCTTGACTACAGTAGAACTTAGAATTACCTGTGGTTCCAACTACTAACGATATTACACTACAGCTCTCTTCTTCTGCTGATGGATCAACAACGCATTTGTCACCAATTTTACATAATGTTACCTGCAATTAATGATAGCTATAGATATATATTTCCTATCTATGATAATGATTGGATATTTTTATTTGTGAATATAAGTAACATTAGACTAAGAGGATTTGAAATAGAATTAGAGATCCTCATCTTATTGGACAGAGTTATTTATTATTGAACTCTTTATTGCACCAGAAACATAAAAATATACAATGTGGGTTAAAACACACATATATACATAAAAGATTAGGATTATAAACATAAAAGAAAACAGTAGCTACAGTGAAGAAAAATGCGATTTCATTTGTCCTTTAAACAAGTCTAAGGAATGGGCACCCCATATATAGGGTGGTAGCGAGTTCCATAGGCACACAGCCTGAACGGAGAAGGATTTGGTATAGTACATGGAGGTATGTATGTGAAAGGGTTTTTAAATGAAGACATTCATGAAGAAACATGACAGCATTTCACTGAGAAATATAAATTACTCTTTGAGATAGTATGATGTGAAAGGATTGAACAAAGTATATGTTAATCACAGCATCACGTAATGGTATAAAAATATTACAAAAAATCTTACTAATAGAGGAGCTGATCCAACATTTAGTAGTTTACTATCATATGGGTCATCTGACAGTTGCAAGTCTATATTACCACCATCCATGAGTGCCGCCTTCACAAATGGTATCCTTGTGTTGAATAATGCTGCTTTGACAGCCAATGACACAGCATCACAGAGGTTACCTCCACATTCTAATATCTGAAATTATTAAAATAATGTAATTTGTATGATGATTTTTTAAATTAATCATCATGTTAATAATAATATATATTTCAATTCTACTAAAAAAGAAATTAACAAACACATAACTGATAAATACATCATCCTTCATTGTATTGTGCAATCCAGTAAAAAATAAAGTTTTTATTTAAAATAATAGTATTTATTAATCCAAAATAGTTTGGATGAATTTGAACATATTACAAATCAACATAAGTGTAAAAGAACTCCAGTACCAATATTATCAAATTGTAACATATCTAAAATTATATTCATAAATTGAAAATTATTTTTACTTCCTAAATGTACATTTTATATTTTTATTTCATTATCTCAAACAGAAACTTTGGACAGATTTTCCAAAATATATAATTTTACAATGTTTACAGAAATTTTATAACTTTTTATTAAAACTTTTTGTCATATACTATATGTAAGGTATTACTTACTAAAATATCAATATACAACTTCCAGCATTGTTTCCCTTCAAATATACAAAGTTGTTTTAAATCAAAAGCTTGGGAAGAGTGATATGCTCTCTGCATCATGTTGGATATGCTGTTAGCTAATTGTTCCCCTCCTCTGCCCTCAAATTCAGGAGTTGCATTTGCTGAACTTTAAATAATTAAAAATATTAAATCAAACATAATTTTGTTTTCTATTATTAAAATAGAATAAATTAGGTAAATAGATATTGGAATGAATGTAGATCATTTAAAAAAAAATTCAAGTTATGATTTATTCCTAAGTTATTTTCGTGAAGTAAAGTGTGAGTCTACAGTAGAGTAGTAGTATACTCCTGATATATATTTTGATACTTTAATGGTACAATAAATTATCTTGAAATGTGGGCATCATTGTATATAGGATAAAGAAAGACAGGTTATTTTTATTATGGTTAATGGATATATTTTGGTTGTATTGACAAAGTTAAGGATGTAGATAGTAACTATAACTTACCAATCTACAAAAAATTCAAGTTTCCCTAAACCTGGTTTATCAGGATTTGGTGTGTCTATCTCTGTTTTGACTCCAACAAGTATATCTGTGTTAGCTAGCCGCAATCTTGCTGAACCACTAGCATGGCTGACCACATCAGTTTCAAGTTCCATAGGTCTATAATCAATGTTTGATCTTCCATCAGAACGAAAGTCATCCTGTGAAATATAGGTTGTAAGTGCATTATTTTTGTTTTTGTATTTATTATCATAAACTAAATATACTATGGCACAAGCAGTCAATTTGAATAATGGTATAGAGTTTGTGTATTATAATATTACTAACTACATTTCGTTGATTAAAAAACATAGAAAAGCTTTTTTAAAAAATTTGTTTTACTAACTTATTCTAATCTTTACATTATACAGATAGGGTATCAAGCACCAAAAACATGTCAAACTCATTGTTGAAAAGCATACATGCCCTCTTAAATATTATACCTATAAATAATATACATGTACATCATGTATATATTCATTTCAGCCATTAACTATCCACTACTGAACATATGCCTTCTCTATAAGGGGAGTTTTAGTAGTTGCCATGCTTGGCAGGCAAGTTGACACTGGCAATTAGACTTTTAGAGGTGTTTTAAGAGGGATGCTGCAGCCCATCCCTCTACCATTAAGTTCCTTCAGCCGCTTCTTATGACACTCACAGGAAAGAAAGAGGTGGCCTATTCTGTGCTGGGACCACGCCGACTTGTGTGTGTGTATACATACGCCTTATGTAGCACATTTTATTAGTTAATAAAGTATAAAGAAATATGCGAATATAGTTTCCACACGACATATTCGAGTGTACATATCCAATAAATTTTAAATAAAGTGTACAAAAAAAAATACTATAATGCCCCTAACCTACGGTTTTGTTCAAATGAATGTAAAGAAATACCTTAGTAGGCATAGTATTAGTATAGTAGTTTATAAACACACAGTTAATAAATTTTATCTGTTCCAAATATATATCAAATTCATTCATTGTGTAGTTGATCGAGTAACAAAATTGATGATTTTTGAAAACTAAATTTATAACATTAACTTACTTGCACACCTTGAAGAATGAAATTTTTTTCAGTTGGACTTAATAATAATCCAGCCATAATATGTCAATTAAAATGTAATGTAGAAACTATGTATAGTTACTATTATTAAATCTGTTTAAATATTTAATAGAATATATTTTGTTTAATTTATTTAAAATTAAATATGACAGATTAATAGATTAGAGATACTAAGATTGTCTCTCTAATCTGTGGATTGTTCAAAACGTCAGCAGGATAGACAAATTTTATATTACTAGATTATATATTCGACACAGTTTATGTAGAAATTATACAACTAGGTTGTATCTGAATTTGTTAGGATTATACGGCCGTATAACATTTTCTATGAAAAATAGCAACTGATGATGTATCTTTCGTCCACTTTTTACTAATTATATTTGCATAAGAAGAAAGGAGCAACCATATTATTTACAGTTTTTGTTTTATCATTCCTTCTATGTAATTCTTTGTTCTTAGGCTATGAATGGTGAAAAATAGCAACTGATGAATATCTTTGGTCCTCTTTTTACTTATTATATTTGCATAAAAAGAAAGGAGACAACTATATGATTTACAGTTTTTACTTTATCATTCCTTCTTTGTTTTCCATGTTCTTAGGGATTATATTAGTCGCGCGCCAAATTTAAATAGAAACAATAAAAATTGTGTATTACATTTGTATTTTTTGTAAATAATTTAAATATAAATGAAATGAGACAAAATTATGTAGATAGGTAAATACTTAAGTAGATTATAAAAATATAACTTAACAAACATACTCAGCATACGTAATGTTTGCGATGTAGTGGTTATAATTATACTTTGAAAAGAGGTTTTTGGTGTAGAATTTTTTATATTAACAATAAGATAAATTGATATTTGGGCAAATTAAGAAGAGGGAGACTTTGTACAAAAGTCGTTTGCTTGGGCACATCTGTCCCATTCATGTCATTACGGTTGGTAAAGCAGCTGTGTTTCCATGGGTGTGTTTCGGGTTGAAGGGTGGGATATGGCATGAATTTACAGAGTACAGAGGAATAACACCTGAGTCTTCAGGAATGGTAACGCTTGGGAGGTATCATGGGCGTAGCTCTGTTTTGTCCATGGTACTGCTCATGTCTATATGTGGTATGTTCTATTTATGGTATGGGTTCAAGAGAGTCATTGCGTCAGTGCTTTAAAGACTCAAATATCCTCACAGTTACTTCACAATACATTTATGAAAATATTATGTATACACGGAAGAACTTAGAGAGTTTTAAAAAACTCAAAGACTGTACAAGTAGAAACTTACGCAATATAAATAAGCTTATTTTACCTAAATGCCGTCTGCACAAAATCAGTAATTCATTCTATGGTAATTGCATAAGATTTTATAATAAACTGCCAGAATCTGCATTAAATCTGACAGAGAGGCAATTCAAATCTTATATTAAACAATTTTTATGTAAGTGTGTCATAGATGACAACATATCAAGTAAATAATTAGTTTATTAGCATACAACGTTATAATTTTATTTTCTCATTGCTTTCTTGATTTAATTGATTGATTTTAGAAATATGAAAGTGTAGCGGTTTTTGTATTTTGCCGCATGCATTCTTATGTAAAATGTGAATACTATAACTATCAGATGGCAATTGTGAGTAGCTTTGACGTGGTCTAGTGTTTTGAGTAGTCATGCTCACTAAAATGTCCAGACTTGTGGCGGCGTGGTGGGCCGGGTCATTGGGCTCCCTAAAATATGGTCGAGCGCAGTGATGGCTGGCTCATCCGTCATACTCGTGAACGGGTGCTGCTTGTAGGGACTGGTCTGCTCTAATCACTATGACTGATTTCCTCTTATTAATTGTTTAACCAGTTGGTTATGTATTCAATATTTTTTCTTTTTGAGTATTTAATTGAATTAGTGCTAATTGGTGGTTTGTATTCACACACTTAAACTTAAAAATGTAAAGTAATAATAAAATTATTTAAAAGAGCAACACGCAAGTTTCTTGCTCGTTCTTCTTGTGATGAGACAGCTTTCCGAACGAGCGGTAGATTAAAAAAAATGTAATGACTATTCAAAAGTGCTTCAATGTAAGTTTATTTGAATAAATGATTTTCTATTCTATTCTATTCTATAGGCGACGGTTATTACTTTCCATCAGGTGGGCTGTCAGCTTGTTTGCCATTCTAAGTTGTATAAAAAAAATTAAGAACGAATTTAAATTGTTATTGTTTTAAAGGAAACATTTTTTGATGGTGTGTTCCATGTCTACCCATACTAATTTTGTCAAGATGTAGTATTTTTTTGATTGTTAAACAAGATTAAACATTATAAAAGATACCGATCAACACATAGCTGATTATTTATTTATTTATTTACAAAACAGTGTCATTTCGCCAATTCGCATGACGAGGCTTTATACTAATTACTTCACAAATATACAATACATTTTATACTATTTGATATTAATTAACACCAGAGATGAACCCCGTTGCCACCCTGTGAGACTATTGCTACGTATGCCTGTTTTATTATAAAGCAGAGTACATTTTATTTGTGTATAACTGTATCATATCTCTTGAGCGTTATGATATTTTAGTAAACTAACAAAAATAGAATTAAACTGAAATAGTTTTAGAGGTTTTATAGTTTTTATCACATTTTTTTAGTGACCTCTTTTTTCATCGTAATCAACACAAAAAACAATCTATCGGAAATATCTTCCACTCGCATTAATATAATTGAAAATGAGAAATATTTTTTTTTATTAAATTTTGTGCCAATTTTACTATTTACGAGTTTTTTTTATGCAACATAGAATGGCAAACAAGCTAACGGCCCACCTATCACCAAAGTGGTAACCATCGCCTATAGAAATGAGCAGTACCATGGACATAAAAGAGTATACTGTTTCGCCTATGATACCTCCCATGCGTTGTAACACCTGAGGAATCAGTTGTTATTCCTCTGTAAACGAGTGTTTGAAATTGAGTTACTACAAAAATTAACAAATTTTTACAAAAAAATACTTTGAGGAGTAAGAGCATGGCCTTTGTATGTCGTAGAAGGAGTGGGTTCAAACTCTGCCCGCTTCAAAGTTTTTCAATCAAACTATAATTGTTATATTTATGATTTTCATAATATTGCTTAATTTACGTACTATGAAATCGTAAATAAATATAGATAATCATTTATTTGTACGCACGATAGTTGAGGCTGCATGAGTCGGGGTAGGTACTCGTAGTTTTTTACAGCTTTATGTTTACATTATTATATATATTTTTATGTATCTCATTGTTGGGTAAAGACTTTCCCTTTAAACTTTTTTATTTATGATTAGGCATTTGGTAATTTACTTACATATTTGCGAATTAATATAAAATATTATTAAAATATGAAAAACATCGACGGTAGCCATAACAGCAATGCGAAGGAATGGAATGCGAAGAAACCCTGGATGAGATAGAAATATCTGGCGAAATAAAATCTTGGCCTTAGGCCACGTTAGTCTAATGCCATTTTTTATTGAAAATGACATGGTAACCTTGTTTGTGCAATCGGTATACGTTGGAGGGTGGTAAGTGATGATAGGGGAGAATGAAAGCAGGTCAGTTGGCTTATCGTGATGAATTTGACAATAATTAACTACGATGGAGTCCTGATAGAGTATACCACAAGCAGATGAGGTTGACTTGAGTTTTGATTGTAGGATATAGAGCTCAAACTAATATCTTTTATACGAGGAAAAGGTGTTAGAGCTTTATATACTTTGGGATAAATCATATAATATAATCTGTTATTCTATACTTCCCAAAATTAGTAAACAGTGTTAGCATATCTTTTTATCGAGTTTAGTTATTTTTTTAAATAGATAAAATTAGATAAATCAATTATGTCATCAAAAACTTTTAAAATTTAGCTGTATATTTTATTTATTATTTAGGTACTCTTATTTCGTTAAAAAATCATGCTTAGATTGCTGATTAATTATATTAAGCTTAGAAAAATAGACCAAAATATATGAATTTCAAAAAATATACCATACTGTTAACTTAAAAGCAATTAATGTGAACCTTATGTGAATTTTCCAATTACTGGTTGTTGTTTACTAGCCTAGAGTTTTCAAGCATTCAAGTATTAGTCAGTTCTCGATTCGTAGCTTCTATTGAGGGGGATCTCGCAACATCCTCTTTTAAATTGCGAGTTATCGTAATTGTTTCATTGTAACAGATTGAGTTGACGTCGTGGGCTATGTGCCATTTGAATACTGGTTGCCTTAGGAGATCACTTCAGTTATGATATCAGATACATTTGAATAAGATCGAACAATGGGGGCGACAGGGGAGGTCAATGAGATGGTGCATCATATGCAGAAGTTTTCGTGGGTGGACTATGTCGTGTTTGTGTTTATGTTGGCGATTAGTGCCGTTGTGGGCGTGTATTGGGGTTTCATGAAAAAGCAGACAACTCAAAATGATTACTTGCTCGGTGGTAGAAACATGAAAGTAATTCCTGTGGCTATGTCTCTTGTTGCTAGGTGAGTAATCTAAAAAGCAGAAATTTACACAACTAATTTATATCCTTAATTATCCTGCGTAATCAGAAAGTGTAAATTATGAAAAAAAGTGATAATAAAAAAAGTTGCCTATGTCCGTTCCAATCTAAAAGTACTATCAAATATTCATGCAGAGTTGTTGAATAGTTTATTCGCTAAGAGGAAAATAAAGTAAATGATTTGTATATAAATTTTTTATATTAATAATTAGGATTTAAGTTAAACTTCTATCTAAATATCTTAAGTATATATATTTTTAATCATTGTTATATCTATATATCTATCTAGGTATACTAGAATAAGTTGAAATAATTGTTTCTATTCAGATTTATCGTAAAATTTAGAGAGCTAGAAAAAGCAACGAAATCCAAAAGTTCTAGTATCGTTGTACCTGTGTATGTAACGTCCCTGACTCATTTAAATTGACTGAATGGATTTTAATGAAATAAATTTTATAATTTAAATGTTGTAATGGCTTTATCAGAAAGAAAGAAAGAAAAAAGAATTATCAGAATCAATCAAACGAATCGTAGCAGTTATATAACTTGAATTCTCATTTACATGCAATCATAAAGAACATGGAGGACTTTATTAAATACTCATATTACGCAATTTGGAGCAATACATTTTATAATTTTGTTTTCTTAGTTTCGTCTCAGGAATAACTTTGTTGGGATCGCCGACAGAAGTCTACATGCATGGGACACAGTATGCTTACATTATGGGCGGAATATTTCTAATGTCGATAGTAATGACCCAGGTTTATTTACCAGTGTTTCATGAGCTTAAGATCACCTCTAATTATGAGGTAATATATAGAATAATATAGTATGTTTCAATAGAAGTTAATGAAAAAGTAATCAAGTTTCTTTGAAGGGAACAATAAAGAGAACAAAAAAAAAAAACATTTAATTATTCATCCAAATTTTGTTGAAGTTATCACAGACTCTTTAAATGATATTAGTAACAAATGAATTTAATTTATTCTATTCAGTAGATTAATCGATTTTCGAATTGTACTATTAATGAATATTAATAATCTATCTTATTGTTAGGTTAAATATTCATTTGTTCAAATTTTCATTAACTTCTATTGAAGTAACCTCTAAAATTAGATTTTCATTCTAAATAGTAGCTAAACTCTTCTTGTAAAAGGCTAAAAAATGAATTTGATTAATAGCTTGTATCTACCTTATATAAACCAATAAATATTAGTCTGATTATGTTGTAAATGTCTAATACTTTATTGCAGTACTTATCGATGAGATTTGATAACAGAGTCCGACTGTTTGGATCGGTTTTATTTGCATTTACATTGGTGAGTACAAAAATATAAATATAGTATTGACATTATTTTTTTCATTATGTATATTTTGAATTAAGATAGGTACGCAGAAACATGATATAATATTTTTTATTTAATACTAGCTGACTCGACAAGCATTGTGTCGGTCCTTCTAAATCAAACCTGGAACAAAGAGTACATATTTACAAGATTTCATTAAAATCTTTTTAGCGGTTTTGAAGTATAGCGTACCTAAGTAATGCATATTGTAAAATGAAATTTATATATACAAGTAATAAGATTTAATATGGATATTTAAATAAAGATTTCTTATTTTATTATTCTAAAATTTAGTTTACTCTTATGAATGGTAAGCCTATAGCGCACTTGATGAAAAATGGTACCTGAAATCTATGCGATGGTGGAGGTTCCAACTTGAAAACGTTGAAGGTTTTTGTTTTGAATAGGTAACTTTTGACGGTATTTAAATAAGAGAATACGACACGTTAACGTTAATATATAAGTTTCATATATATATATATATATATATATATATATATATATATAGTTAAAAAATATTCGAAAGTGTTTGGTAGTCAAAATTGGAAGAATATTATAGAATCTTACAAATTTGATATTAATGCCTAATTATTTTCCAGATAGGTTGGTTACCAATTGTTATTTACGTACCGGCACTGGCTTTTAATCAAGGTAATCATATTTATATCTATAAATATCAAAGAATCAACATTCCTTACAGACTGAAATCAAAATGATTAGCATCTATTTAAAGGACTTTTTTAACAAAGAAAATAAATATTTTTTCCAAAGAAACATGATAAAGTAACATAATAGCTTATAGAGCAATTTGTGTGAAAAACATTAAAGTACGCTTCTAGAACACTCTAACATTTATATAAAAATATATATATTAGGAAGGAGGAAGTTCTTTACCATTATTAATTTTAATGTACTATTGTTTCAGTAACTGGCGTCGATATACATATAATAACACCAATCGTGTGTTTAGTGTGCATTTTTTATACTAGCGCGGTGAGTATGGAATTTTGTTATATATAATATACACTACATGTAACTTCATTTTTAAAGTTAAATAATATTTCAGGGAGGACTTCAAGCGGTGGTGTGGACAGATGTGATACAAATCACGGCTATGTTTGGGGCGATGGCTTTGGTTGCAATAAAGGGAACACTCGATGTTGGCGGCATAGCTGTTGTATGGCAACGTAATATGGACAGTGGCCGTATTGAACTTCCCAAGTATGTTTTTATTTTCACGGGGCGATAAGTTGACGATTCATCTGAAAAAGTGGCAAACGCTTTGTAATTATTGCTAGAATCTGTGCTAAATCAATCAGAACGACTGTTATTCGCTTAAATCAATTATGTACTTCGTCTAAGTATTTAGACAATTGAAATATATTTCAAGTGAAAGACACTATGTTACTATTATTGATTAGTATTGATATGCATTCTGACACAGACGTCAGATAATGCCTCAAGGTCAATTTGCTGACTAGTTGATTAGATAGATTATTATAATAGAGGTTAGCTATGTTATGACAAATAATTTCATTCGGTATAATTTTTTTTGTATAGAAACAATGCTAATAACATTATTCGTGTGCATGATGTACCACAAGTCTTCTAAAAGTCTTGGTGATTAGGGTTACATGCAATTTATATGATAGTCCATGTACACAAGAAGTAAAAAATCTTTTTTCTACGTCTTTATTGAACTTTCAAAGAAAAATATTAATAGTATAGTACTTACCGACTTGGCGACTCTGTACAGACAAATGAAGTGTAAGACGACCCTTATTAGATAGAGACGACTTCAAATGCATTGCAGGGAGTCGGTGGATGTAGTTGGTTCGGGACAGTTTCTTATGGCAGTCTATGGGGAGAGTCTATGTTCTGCAGTAGATAATTAACTGCTGATTATGATGATATGAAGTTAGATACATCACTATGGTGATGGAGTATAGATATACAATAAGATACTACTTCTTTTCTTTCTTAGGATGTCATGAGAGGCGATTAAGGGAACAAAATACCGAACAGTGCAACAGAAGTAATACATGAAAAAAAAAAAAAACTTAAATTAATCTGCCTGGCTACTTTAGTAATAACAAAGTTATCTTATAATTCTGTAATGAGACACCCATGACAAGTAGTCTCTAACCTTTGTGGGTCGTTATTTAATGCGAATGACATAATTTTTTGAATACACGTCATAATTATGACTGTAATTACATACATACCTATACATATACTATATAAATCCACACATACTATATATCCATATTGCCGTGTGATCCCGTGTCGTGTGTGTCGTAAGTGGCGATGATCGAGGGATGGACAACAGCGTTCCTTTTAAAACATTATCAAAGCTAAACTGCGGTTGGCAACTCGCCTACCAAATGTGATAATTATTGACAAAACCTTCTTATAGAGGAAGCCTATATTCAGCAGTGAATAGTTAACGGCCGATATGATGTTGATGATGATGAAACCTACGTTCACGATAAACTTTTTAAAAAATTCCATGATAATGCTGTTTTTGGCGATCTTATAAATGTTTTTTGATTGAAATTAATCTTAAACTCTTTAGGATAAAATTGTCACGTATTACTGTTAGTATTGCTCGAGTGAGGGTGGACCTCTCTATGAAAAGAAAAAAAATTTTTTTAACTGATTTTGCTGTACACGAAGTCACGAAGACTGCGGATTCCCGGGCGTCAGTTCAGCATTATCCGTCTGAGCTGATCATACATGCTGTATAATGTAGTATAATTATATTTTTTCAACAGTTGGGATCCCAGTCCCCTGGCACGGCATACAATATGGAATTTGGTAATTGGAGGATTGATCTATTGGCTGCAAGCAAATTCTGTCAACCAGACTATGGTGCAACGTTATTTAGCGTTACCCACTTTACGTGGAGCGAAATGGTACAGATATAAACTCGTATATTACATGCGTTATGGAACTAGAATAATTGATTTTCTTCAAGTTATTTAAGTTTGCACATATGGATAATCATGCTTTATTATCTTTTTTTATATAACTCGGAATGACAAACAAAAACTCGGACTGGCAGCTCATCTGATGGAGAGTAACGATGATTGCTTACAGCGTTAGTGACCTGTACCAAATTTCATACTATTTAGTAGAGTTGTTAAACCACCAAAGGGCAATCAATACATAAAGAATATTCATCTTTATTATATTATAAAAATTGTAGTTGTTTATTTGAGTTAATCAAAAAAATTATGTTATAGTTTTTCAGTTATATATTTATTTAATATAGGTAAATAACGTAGATACTAGGAGAAAATGAATATACCTACTTAATTGTATTATATTTTTTTGCTAATATCTGTGATTACATATCCAGGGGATATAATATCAAATCTATTTAAATTATACTATATCTGCTAACATAATTTATTACAGGGCAGTTGTACTATTCTGTATAGGTATATCAGTATTATATTGCTTCTGTCTATACTGTGGATTGTTGATTTACGCCCGCTTTCACGACTGTGATCCTCTTCAGACAAAGGTATCTCAATTTTTTACAATAAATTATGATGTATTATTAAAACCAAAATTTTACATTGTCTATTGATAATTTTAGCTAGCAAAAGCCAAAGACCAACTATTACCACTGTTAGTGATGGACGTTTTGGGAAACATACCGGGTTTGCCTGGAGTATTTGTAGCTGGAATTTTTAGTGCTGCTCTGAGGTATGACAATAAAATGACGTGTAAGAAGTAACCAATAAAATTTCATATTTTGTAGTACGGATTTAATTAATTCTAATTTGACATATTATCTAATAATTGTAAGTTGGAAATATCTAACTTATACCTAAATATATACTAGCGATCCGGCCCAGTTTTGCACTGATAGATAGATTTTTTTGGTAATAATATGTAGTCTATGTTATTCGCTTATAATGTAGATTTCAATACGTAAAAGAATTTTGAAAATCCGTCAAGTAGTTTCAAATTTATCCATTAGAAACAAATAAACAAACAATTAACTTTTTCCTCTTTATAGTAATAAGTACAGGTTAGATTATAAAATTTTGTTAAAATAAAAAAAATAATTATTTCTTTTTTTATTTGAAGTTTGAACTTCCCATGCAAACTTTCTTAATTTGTTGCAATCCTTAGAATGTTCCTTTAAGATATAACACATAAGATATCTTTTTTCCAGTTCCTTGTCAACAAGTTTGAACTCTATGTCGGCCGTGGTTCTAGAAGATTTCTATAAGCCGTTTCATAGAAAACAACTATCTGATCGGCAGACTGCTTGGCTAATGAGGGGAGTCGTCGTTCTCCTTGGCGTTGTTTGTGTAGGTAAATAAATATAATTATAATCCTACATATATATTCTATTTTTCATTATAACGATCTAGAATTCCGCACCTTAGTAAATGATTGCATTTTTATACTCGTAAAAGAAGAATAGTATAAATGAGAGAGGAAATATATATCTTCTACCGAGGTTGATTATATTTTTACATATTAGTTTAATTGAAAGTAGGTTGTTTTATCACAAATAGTATTGTTCATTGTTTTATAGTTATTTTGTTTTAGGATTGGTATTTATTGTCGAGAAAATGGGCACAATTCTGCAGTTGACTATGACCTTAGAAGCAATGACCATGGGCCCCCAGCTTGGTGTTTTTTCTATGGGCATTTTAATGCCGTGGGTGGATTCAACGGTTAGAATTTTTTTATTAGCTATATATTTTGGAAATCTGAAAACTATTTTTTCAGTTCTACGAGTAAAATTGAATAGTTAGGAGTCGAAAAACTATAAAATAATTTAAACCTGCCATGTCTAACAAACATTAAATTGAGTTTCACCAAAAAAAAAATGGACTTCAATTGTGGAAAAACCATTTATTTGATTTGATATTTAATTTAGATACTAAACTATTGAATCGATTTTGATAAAATTTCTGTGGGACTAACATATAAGTAGATTCTTTTAAATAAAAAAATCCCAAATCCGTACAACTGATAGATACAACTGGCAGAGTTATGTGGTAATAAACATTAAAGGAAACATACATAGAAAAAGTAGTATGGAAGTAAACTTTTTTATTCATTTTTCACTAGAAAATAACATGCAACTACAATTTAAGTACAAACTATAATTTGAGTGCTTTGTAGGTATTCGAGTCAATACTCTTAGACATTTAAACGTTTAAGATAACGGAACGCTCACAAAATACCTTTTATTTTATGAATCCCCATATGAAACGAATATAAATCAAAAACACTGTAATTTAAATAAAAACAAAAGTTTTATTAGAAATATTTTAAAAGTATAGTACTTTATACCTTTAATTTTTAGTGTGAAGAATGCAATTGTTGGACTGTAATAACAACAACAATAAAAACAATTTCGCGGAACCCTGATGACTTTTTACGGAGCCCCTGTGTTATGCGGAACCCACTTTAGGAATCACTGCTCTAAGCAAAACAAACACTGGCTGTGTTTCGGTTTGAAGGGTGGGATATGGCGTGAATTTACAGGGTACAGAAGCATAACATCTTAGTCCTCAGCAACGGCAACACATGGGGGGTATTATGGGCGAAACAGTATACTCTGTTATGTCCATAGTACTGCTCATGTCTATAGGTGACGGTTACCACTTTCCATCAGGTGGGCCGTCAACTTGTTTGCCATTCTAAGTTATATAAAAAAAAGAATACCTAAGTAAGAAACTCATGAGATGACCCGAGTGTTCGCAACAAGAAACTACACTGTGGGCGATAATTTAGCTGAAGGTTATGATGAAGTACGTATTATTATTCGTCAGGGCGCGCTAGTGGGCGGCATAACCGGACTAGCAATGATGTCTTGGTGGTGCCTCACCGCTCAGATGGCAATTGCTCGCGGTTATATCTCGCATCCTCACAAATTGCTGACTACCGTAGGCTGTACATACAATTATACTATTTCCGATGACAAAACCGGATACTCAGAGTAAGTTGAATTATAAAATATTTTATTGTGTAATGTAATATGTTGTTAGAAATATTTATGTCCTGGTAACAACTATTTTATTGTACAACTAGCAAAGAGTCCGCTAAGTAGTACATATGGATTTCAAAAGTAAGAAAACTTATGAAATAGACTATTTCTACATGCTGTATCAGGATAAAGTATCGTCATCATTATTTAACTACTATCCGTTCACTATTGGACATCATCATCATCATCACCTTCCTCATACTGCCATAAGGAACTCTCCTGAGCCTCCTGTATCTTGCACTGGCTGACTCCCTGCAATGCATTTGAGATCGTCGCTCCATCTAGTGGGGGGTGGTCCTACACTGTGTTTACCCGTACGGGGTCGCCACTCAAGAAAGTAGTTTTTGCGTGATGCCGGATGAAATGTACTTTAAATTACTCATGCAGAACATCTACGAGTAAGTTCTCAGTAATAACAACGTATGAATGATACTATATGTATCGCAGTGTATTCTGAGGGGCACATACTACTTTTCATGTTTATAAGACGTAATTATCATTGTTAATCAGTTGAACTAATTGTATTTCAATATTTTGTTAGTTGTCTGAATTATCGCTTCAATCATCGTCAAACTAAGGTTAGCTGACTAACTAATTATCCTCATATCTCATTCATACCTCTTAAATAATGTATCCTCTATCCATCCTCAACATCGACAGCAACTAATGCGTAGACTAGAGACATCCATTAGATTTTGGGAGCGTATTTGAGAGAAGTCAGTTCGTAGTAGGTGGTAGGGAGTGGCCATACTGTACTTTAGTACTATTACTTATACTGTATTAAAACCTTGATATTGTAATTTCAGACAGGGACGATTAATTATAGTAGTAGTATTATCAGATAACAATTTTACATGTAATTCAATATAATTGCATGTAATAATGTCTTTATCATATCTGATATATTCTATTACAACGTAATCACATTTTCCTTATACATACAACTCACGTCCCATTGCTGGGCTTCACCACATTTCGTAGACCAAGCAGTTGAGTATGAGACCTGTAGTTCCCAGTTGCACATCCAGAGGATTAAAACAATGTAGATATATGATTAAAGCTTACCTTAATTTTTAATATGTGATACTGAATAATGATCATTTAATGATCTTACTGTGCTTATAGTTTCTAATATTTGTTTCGACTTCATTCGGAAGTCTTCTTCAGAGTGAGTAAGGTGCCTTACGTCGCAGCGTTTCGCCTCTGATAATTATCGAAAACAATAGATACGGCACGTTCATTAAATATATTTATATCTTTTGAGGCACGCCACTGAGTACGAATGAATTTATTCAAAGTTGAAGGAGGCTTCTTGTGAAATTAAATGATTATTAAGATATCTTACTATTAAATCCAATAAAACGAATTTATTCTTCTTTTGACAGCGAGGAAGTGAACCCGATGCTCCATGTGTCATATATGTGGTACACGCTAGCTGGAGCATTAGTGACCATTTGTATAGGCATGGTAGTGTCACAAATAAACCGTGCTCGTGGAAAACCATATGTCCCTCCTGCCCCCAAATTACTTGCACCGCAACTAAGACGATTGTATCGAGAACCGCCGCATCCCACTGAAGAACTCTATATAAGGGCTTACGGAAATAATAAGGTTGTAAAATTTTGAATGGATTAGAGCTAAAATTACGTAACAGGCGGTCTCCGCCATTGGAGTCGATTCTGAAGCATGATTTTATTTCTATTTATAAAATTTAATATTTTATTAGAGTGATATTGTTATTCTAAGGATCAAAATTGTGTATAATACCGTAATAGTTTTCTAAACTATCAAGTTAAAATTGCAAATTTATATATAAGCTTAGAGAATGGTACTTCAGAATTAATTCCACTGTGATGTTATGCATTTTACTATGCAACTTTCTTTCTTTGACACGCTTTTAAATTCACAGTTTTTATTTTAAATTTACCTTTGTGTGCATATTACACATTATAATCGTTATGTGCGATTGAATGTCGAATTTGGTTTTTTTAATATTTGTTAATACTTATTTTATTTTGTCTTAAATCGGAATATATTATTTATTTATTGTATTTATTACAAAATTTTTATATGGCAATTTTTAATAGAAACATTAATTATATTCAGTTTTTTAAATTTTCGACATAATGTTCATAATTATTCCTGTTTAATATAATTTTGGTACTTATTATAGGTAACACATACCGCTAATTGCAAAATATTCTCATTTCAGGGTACCTGTCAAACGAATTCCACCTCAATAATCATGAAACCTACAAATGAAACAGAAGAAATTAGTTGATTAATATTGATTTTGTTTATTTAATAAAGTGCTTGCAGGTCATTTAAAGCTATTTTTTTCTAACTAACGAGACATTGTTCAAAAATAAAAAAAAAAAATATATATATATATATATATATATATATATATATATATATATATATATATATATATATATATATATATATATATATATATAAACCTGCAATCAGGTTTCTGATACAATAAAGATACAACAAAGATATAATAAAGGTAACTCTCATCATCATCATTACCAGATTTTTTGGGTACCTCTGTCTTACTCGTGTTGCTATCGCGAAGCAGATGTATTTGCATGACTGTATTTCAGTTTGAAGGGTAGGATATGGCAGTGAATTTACAGGGTACAGATGATTAACATCTTTGTCCTTAGGAATGGCAACTCATCGGGGTATCATGAGTGAAACAGTACACTCTGTTATGTCTATGGTGCTGCTCATGTCTATAGGCGACAGTTACCACTTTCCATCAAGTGGACTGTCACCTTGTTTGCCATTCTAAGTTGCATAAAAAATATTTCTGCCATTAAGTGTCCACCGCTAATCAAGCCTTCCACATAAAGGGAGTTTTGCCGGTAGTTGCCACGCTTGGCAGGTGGGTTAGTAACTGCGGTTAGGCTTTTAGAGATATTTTAAAAGGGATGTTTTAAAGAATTAAAAGACTCCGTTTGTCGTATCTCCTTAGTTTCGAATCACTGCCTTTGACATTAAATTGAGTTTAGCGATTCTTGACGTTTATATATCCAGCAACGTTCAGTTTTGCGGTTGTTTGAAAGAAAAAGTTAAGATAGTTCTCAAAAAGTTAGAAGAGCTCAGTAAGGTAAAATGGTATTTAACCTTCAAGAATAGAGCATATTTCTTTTTAAAAGTCCGGCAGCATACCTGTAATTCTTTGTGTTGTGTTGCTGGTGGTAATAAGTGGCGATAGTTGCTTACCATAAGGTAAGACGATTGTTCGTTTGCCCTTAGAGTTATAAAAAAGTAATTTAAAAGAAAATATTTGGTATACATATTGATATTATTAGAAAATACTTGTATTATTTCATAAAAAGGTATTATATAATAATAAATTTATGATCATGTTTAAGACATTGGAAAAGGGTCTACATAAATAAACCAGCAGTTGCCGATGAGTAGAGACAAAAATTTCATGTACATTAAGTAAACCTTACGTCTCGGCTAATTCTGCTCTCTTAGAGAAAATAATCTGTCGACAGAGAGATATTTGCGTATGTGTCTAAAATAAAATGATACAATAATAGTTTTTTTCTAGAGTGAGTAACGAAAGCATCTCTACCGAAGAAATTTACTCGTCATTTATAGGATGATGGTATTATATGATGTTTTATAAAATTTTAATAAATATATGCATGTATTATTTGCTTTAAAGGTGTCGTGCAACTATCGAAATCGTATCTTATCATTCTTTATTTTTATAGTAGCAAAAATAAATTATCGAAAGATAAAATGTACAAATACAAATTATAATTCGTAACATACTCAGGTAACGACAAAGATAAAAAAAAAAATAAGTAATAATCCAGATGTTAAGATTTAAAGGGAAAACCATGTAACAAAGTACAAAAGTATACTCATGATTTGTATTTTTTTTATAAACAATTAACATATTTAATATCATTTAGTTATATTTGTGCATATGAAAAGGTAAAAAGAAAAGGAAGAGAAAAAAAGCTTTAGTACTTACTGAAAACACTATTTTATTTTGATTTAATTAATATTCAGTCTGACTATACTATTCAAATTCACTTACATGAAAAGTATTTATTAGTTAATGACACATAAAGATTAGGTTATATAAAAATAAAATTACCAAAATATAAAATATAAAAACAAGATTTTATATGTTTAAAAACTCACCCGTAGCAAACACGAAAAGGATTTGGTTATGGTTATGATACAAATGTTTCATTAAGAATTTTTACATATATCTACTTATTCTTGATACTAATATTAATCGTTTAATCCAAGTAAATCATACAGCTTAATCTTCAAAAATTTATAATGGGATTTACATCGCTCCACGTCGATTTAGATAATTTGTTACCAAATATATACTTGGTTAAGATTAATTTATTTTGTAAGTAGGTACCTAATCTCATCAATTTCATGTAACTTGATCGTGATATTAAAATTATATTAATAACATTATCGATTTTACCTATCTAGCACCAAGCTAAGCGGCAGAAGTACTTTTACCATTAAGCGAATATACGAATACAATTTTCATTGCAAGTGTTATCTATTTTGGTATTTATTTTCGCTGTCATTGAAAATAAAAATATACGCAGTTTTATTAAATGGTCGCTTCATACCATCTATATAATGGATGGCTGATACCCAAAATACGAGCACAATGATGTAAATGAATTTAAAAATTTAAGAGGTTTCGCATTAATGTTTCCAAGGTTGTTACCGCGTATTGTAAGTCTGTTAAATATAGTTTAGTAGGGTAGTTGATTCTATCTACTGCTAAATCGTCCTACACTAATGTGCTTCTTCGCAACCTTGCACTACTTAGGGTAGTTTCTATCCTTATAAAGAGCAATATCGAAATTCATAATGCACTTGGAGCTCTTAACCAAAACATATACCAGTTACAATTTAGCGACGCATTTGCAGACTTGGTTATACCGGGAAAAGATGATTGAAAAGTAATAGGATATGTCTGTTCTTTGTGATGTCTAACGCAAGTCTAATCGATTTATAATACATACCTAAATATAACACTTTGCTGACTACGTAAGAGGATGTTGGATTATGTTTTGATATATTGACTGATTGATTAATAAATTCCATTTTGTTATTATAGCATATCTAAAAATATGTTTTGCTTCCACATGCTACCATTATTGATCAGTAATACCATGTACAGTAGTAGATTCTATGTATCTTACTATCTTTATAACTATTAGAATGAGACAGATAAATATACTTTATTGTTTCTTCCAGAATATCACAATAGTAAATTTATTAAAGATACAAAGAATTACAATAAAGAAGAATTACATTGAGAAAACAATTGGCGGGTTATCGTTACTTTATATATATATATATATATATATATATATATATATATATATATATATATATATATATATATATATATACGTGGGACACTCAGAAAACTTTTGCGACATGAAAAAAATTTTTCTATAGATAAATATATATTTTATTACTCTCCTACTCTCCACCAGCCTCTATACAAAGTTTTATGCGTCTGAACCAGTTTTCGAAACACTTTTCCCAGTTCGCCGCAGACACTTCGTTTACAGTCTGCTCGAACGCTGAGAGCGCATCATCCGGCGACAATTGTATTTCTTTGAGCTGATTTTTTATTTTTGGGAATAAGAAGAAGTCACACGGTGCTAGGTCAGGGCTGTAAGAAGGGTGACCCAGAAGTTTGACCGGTGTGCTGTCTAGGAAGTCCCTCGTTTTGATTGCGGCGTGAGCGGGCGCAATATCGTGGTGGAGCAGTAGCCCGTGGAGCCCTGTTTTTGGTAACTTGTTGTTCATAATAGAGAAAACTTCTGCCAAGCATTTGGTAGTATACCATTCGGCGTTAATGCTTCTTTGGTTTCGTAAAGGAAATAACACCAAATAGCCAGTCAAATTAAAAAAGCTCGCGATCAAAATCTTCCCCCGCTTCTAGGTCGCTTTACTTTAGGTAGGCGTTGATTCGTTTTGAAACACCTAAACCGTCGACTGGCGCTTTGTTTCTGGATCGTAAAGATAAATCCAAAATTCATCACCTGTAACGACATCGTAAACACACCGAGACGAGCCTGCTTCAAACTTGTCTATTATATCATGGCACCATTCCATCCTTGCCTGCTTTTGATCATCAGTGAGGTTGTGCAGCACCCAGCGTGAAACTATCCTCCGCACCCATAGATGCACGTGTAGGCTTCCTGATCCAATCTGCAGTATATGCTGAATCTCTTAGTATGTAACTCGTCTAGTGTCTTGGATCAAATTTTTCACTGCTAGCACGTTTTCTTCCGTAACAGCCGTCAAAGGGCGACCACTTCTTTCTTCATTCCCCAAAGTTAGTCGACCGCGCTTTAATTCATTATACCAACGATACACGGTTGCCTTAGAAGGGCCTTCATTCATGAATGCCATTTGAAGTCTATTGTACGATTTGTCCAGTTTTAGGCGACATTTAAAATCATAAATAATCATAGCGCGAAAATGTTCTCGACGCAAATCCATTTTTCACGGTAATTTTAATTAGCTCGCAAAAAAATGTGGAGGGAAGTTTTGAATTTAGAACGTACCTATTTTTACATATAAGTAATCATGCTTTTAAATAAATCATAACTGGCCAGTCTCACATACATAAAAACTTTTTCTTGGAATACTTTCTGAGTATATATGAGTGATATGAGTCAATACATTTAAAACTCTATGAAAAACAGGTTTTATTTTAATGTTACACAAATTTTGAAATAAAAAAAATACTTGAAGTCTTGACGAATACAATGTTTAAAAAAAAATACACCCAAGAGAGTTTAAAAAGATTTTTCATCAAAATATATTGGCGTGCGAGCAATTAATTTGTTTATAGTCTCTTGCGAGATATTCCTCCAGCTTTCTTCTAATGCATTCCATATGGCCTGTAGCCATTCCATTCCATAAATCCTTGGCCGATTTACTTTAGTCCGGAGGGAGTATATTTCTCCAAAATTACTTACCAATGCTTCCTTTTCATAATTTCTTTAATTTAAACCAGATTTTGAGTTCTATAGCCTGAGAAACAACCCCAGACCATAATAGAGCTGCCATCATGCTTGACAGTCGAGACTACACACCGTGGCATTATCTTTTTTTTTGGCGGAATATCGAATGAAAATTTTTCTTTTTGAACCGAATATTTCAAATTTAGTTTTATTAATACTTAGCACTTTTTTAAAATCTTCGGTCTATTGTAACAGTTTTTTCTTATTCTGCCGTTTTAGAAGAGGTTTCCGAACAGCAACGTGACCAAACAACTTGGCGTCTCGCAATCGTCTTTGCACTGTAGACACTGACACTGGTTTTTCTCGAGACTTGTTGACTTTAACACTTGGTGTCTATTTTGCTTGCTGGTTACCACAATAAATTTATTTTCACTAGAAGTCGTAGCTCTTGGTATCCCGGAGCGTGGACGATCTTTAGTGCGATGAACACAAGTCTTCGATAATTTAAGTTGAGATGCAATCTCACGTTCAGATTTGCTTTAATTATGGAGAACAACGATAGCAGATTGCATTTTAATACTAATTTCACGAATTTTTTCAATTTTAGAAACGTCTTGCCTGTATGAATCACGAAATCAAACTAACTGCGGATATTCGTAGATCATCATCATCTTCCTACCCTTATCCCAATCATTTGGGGTCGGCGTAATATGATTTTATCCATATTACAAAAAGATTTGGTTTTTAGTTTTACGACCGGCCACCTGCCTGACGTCAACCCTCTTTGGTATTCTGGATCGTAAAGATAAATCCAAAATTCATCACCTGTAACGACATCGTATATTCGTAGATAATCCTGAAAATACTGAGTTTATAGAATAGAGTTAGTAGAATAAACATTAAAAATATTTTAAGAATTTAGAATTAAAAGTTGATGTAAAATAAAAAAAAGTGTCAGCTGCGGTAATGCGGTATACCTGCTACATTGATCTCACCGAAGTCCAGCTTAATAAACATGAGCGTCTCCAAAACCTGTGTATTAGATTTATATTTGGACTTCGTAAATACGACCACATCTCTAATTTTCGCGCTCAGCTCAAGTGGCTCCCATTATGTGGACGCCGAGATTGGTATATATTATCTCTTCTTTATTCCATTCTATTCAATCTTCTTACACCTTACTATCTTAAAGAGCGATTTATATTTCTAGGTGAAGTGCAGTCACGCTTCGCGTACCTCAAATAGTCTCCGTTTAAAAACCCCTGCACATATCTCCGTGTACTACACCAAATCCTTTTCCGTTTAGGCAGTGCGCCTATGGAACTCGCTGCCACCGTCTATACGGAGTGCTCAATCCTTGGCTTCGTTTAAAGGTCAAGTCAAATCACATTTTCTTTCACTGTAGTTACTCTTTTCCATTCCTTTGTAATTTTTGGACTAGATTTGTCATATTTCCTTGTGTGTGCTATGTATGTATTTATATGTGTATGTTTATGTATTTTGTATGTATGTTCTATATATATTGTTATAGTAAGTAGTTTAATAAATTATATGTATTTGATATTTTTGTACATTACAGATTTTTGTATTTTATGCACGAAAAATTATTGATTCATTCTTGCGCCACCTGCCCATTTCTATCTGTTCTCCTTTAACCAAAGGTTGTCTGTAAGAGATTGCCCTAGCGAGAAGACCGCCTTTTGTACCTTTATGTGTATATTTCAATCTGTATTTATGTGACTGTATTTCACTTGAATTATTCACTTGTCATTGTATATTTTTATTTATAGTGCAATAAAGAGTTAAATAAATAAATAATAAAATTTTTACAATCGGTTATAGAACTAGCTCTTCCTCGGCTCACATTGGAAAGTTTGGAAAAAATATTTGTTTATTGCCCTTTTTTGGCTTATATACAAAAGAATAAACTATTAGGCAGTAAATAGTAGAATATGCAGGTGTGTAGATTATATACTTTTTATCACCAATATTTTGGAAATAATATTTAGAGTATAATATTATAGTGTGTAGGCATCGAATGGAAACACTATGAATTTCACAACATATCTTTGCTATTGAAACGGAGTTACATTTGAATAATCGGCGTAAGCACGCGAGCCAGTGCGTCGTGTATAGATGCTTTAAGAGCCAGTTTGTAACTGTCTTAGCGGCGACGGCGCCGCTAAGCTAACGATAATGCACGGGAGGGCAACGTGGGCGGGGAGGACGATCGGAAAGGGGAATTACTCGCGGCCGTTGCGCGGTGGCGGTTTTGGTGCCCGCGTTACAATACTAATAATACTCGTAAATTTTTTTATTAGTGGTCTCAAATTTTTGATCGGCAGTGTATATATATCATTACATGAATTACATCTCCATAGGTATTAAAAAATAACAGATTTCAATATATACCTACCTATATACATTCATAAAATACAAGGTTACAAAATAAGGCATGTAAAGAAATAAGTAAATAAACAAACTTATAGAAACAATCTACAGCTACCTATAGCTTGAACAGTAAACGAATGTCCTAAAAACTTTTTTTTTTTTTTTTTTTTATGCAACTTAGAATGACAAACAAGCTGACGGCCCACCTGATGGAAAGTGGTAACCGTCGCCTATAGACATGAGCAGTACCATGGACATAGCAGACTATACTGTTTCACCCATGATACTCCCCATGCGTTGCCATTCCTGAGGACTCAGGTGTTATTCCTCTGTACCCAGTAAATTCACGCAATATCCCACCCTTCAAACCGAAACACAGTCATGCAAACACAACTGCTTACGACCTTAGATAAAAGGAATTGATTGGAATAGTGATAGAGCGCAGCTCGAGAAAGATGAAATATAAGGAAGGTATTAATATATCTTAAAATTTCACGTATGCGCAGTAAGTGCAGTTGTTTAGTCATTTTGTAATTAATTACCTATATCAGTGCCCACCTACACTGTAAAAATTTTCCTTTAAAAATTTTCAGCGGAAATACCTACATCTATCTGTTTTTAATACTTCAATTTGCCTGCTATCTGATGGATTAAACGTACTTAGAAGGAAGTAATAAATGATAAATCGATTTTATATAAAATTCGTAAAGTTGGAATTGATAGTTATTTTATTTTAATCGTCAACATGCGCGCTCTGTTGAAATTATCTGTTATTGTTTGTGTCGCAACTGCAGGTTTGTGTTAAATGTTATTTTAGAAAAGTGGTTTAGTTGATGTGAGTTATAAAAAAATAATTAGGATATGAGTTACTTGTGTACTGAATTTAATTCAAATCTGTTTAACTTAGGCAATCTGTTTATGAAATATATATAAATAAATTTTGAAAATATGTACTATGAGTTGTATATAACAATTAAACTTCAAACCTTTTTAATGTTTGTAATACTTTCATAGATTTCACAATTTAACATAAAATAATTCTAATTTCAGCCTTTGGCTTCAGTTTGTCACCCACAGATGTCGTTTTTCATTTCTTCAGCAGGTTAGTAAAATATCATGCTACACAATTCAGAGATTGTTTATTAGTATATTTTTTAAACTCTTAAATTTGTATTAAACAAACATAAAACATGTGAATTATGGCAATATTAATATTTCTTTATTCACAGTGAAGTTAGGTGGTATATCGTTAAAATTGTAAAAATTTTACATTACATCTACCGGATGAGGTTTACAGTCTTCCAATACGCTCACCCAGGAAATCATCAGTACAATAACATATATAAGAAAGAAATAATACATATAAATAAATTTAATTTCTAAATTTCTGTACACAATCACCTTGTGGTCATTCGACGAAACTCCCGTAAGTTGGAGGCAAATACATCTAATTGCGGATAACGGTTCTTTTTTTTTTTATACAACTTAGAATGGCAAACAAGCTGACATCTCACCTGATGGAAAGTGGTAACCGTCGCCTATAGACATGAGCGGTACCATGGACATAACAGAGTATACTGTTTCGCCCATGATACCCCCCATGCTTTGCCGTTTCTGAGGACTCAGGTGTTATTCCTCTGTACCCTGTAAATTCACGCCATATCCCACCCTTCAAACCGAAACACAGCCACAGTTTCGATAATATTTTGAACATATGTACTATTTCGGTCATAAAGTAATAACGTGACCATTATATTTTAGTTTTATGTATTTAGATAGCTGGTGAGGGTGGGACATAGTTTGTTTAAGTAACTAAAGTAATAGATGGCAATGGTAGCAGTAAATGATAGTGGCTATAGAGGAGTAATATGCGCTAAAATACATACAATTTTAGTTTGAAGGATTTAAATAACTAGTAAGGGTAGAGTAATAAAGTTCATATAGATATTGGCACCTGATTACCATCCATTACATACCATCATTTTACCTATTTTATGTCATATAGTGAGTATAAATGTTGTGTTTGGTTTAAGAAATTTGATAGTGACAAGATTACCTTTATTAAATTCTAAGTGGGAGCAGTTTTATATTTTCGACAACAAATTTGTCTTAGAATTTACTATTTATTCTGTGATATTAATATCATGAAGTAATTGAGGTCTTTCTATCAGGCTCATTCCCAACTGGATTTGATATTCTCTATACTATAAAATATATTTATTTATGTTTTAAAATTAAATTTATTTTCAGGTCTAATCCTACAGTAAGCCAGCCGTTGTTGCCCAACATAAATTCAATTATGACATCTGATATCGACATAAATAAACCAGTCGTTATTACTATACATAACTATGTAGAAAATTCGGCGGTAAATTTTAATGCATTCGTTGTTTCAGGTAATTTTTTTTAATATAATAAAGTGGCTTTTACCCGTGACTTCGTCCATCTCATATAATTTTATAGTATCACTATAAAATTTGATATACGTGTATATCAAATTTTATAGTGATCGATTAAACTGTTAAGGCGCTGAGTGGTAACAAACAAACTCACTTTCACATTTGTGATATTAGTAAGGATTATGTATTTAAAAATTTAAATAAGTGATTGTTATGTAAAATTTTTATTAATATCAGAAACATTAAAAAATACCAGAAGTGGACATTAATTTCATCATTAAAAATCATAACATTAAAATAATAACTAGCCTGGCCATAAATACTGTTACATAAAAATTTATCTTTTTGTCAATTTTGTAAATATTTTGGATTTGGAGCACGTTAATTATTTTAAAAACTTCTTTTGATTTTGCGCTATTTCACTTATTTTTTCGTGTTCATTTCATCATTATCAAATTAAAATATGGAATGGGGTGTTAAACAAAAATAGGATTGCAGTGATCGCCTTGCACAAAGTGTCTATGAAGCCGTCGGTCATATTCCAGACACTTGAAAAGCTTGGTATCAGCCGTATGTTCGTATATCGTACTACCAATAGATACAACAACACTTCCTCTGTCGAAGACCAGAAAAGATCGGGGCGGCCGCGTGCTGTTAGAACTACAAAGGCTATTAATGCTGTTAAAGCCAGAATTCGTCGAAACCCCATTAGGACACAAAAAATCTTATTGTGAGAAATAAAGATTCCCGCTAGGACTTTGTCGCGTATTATAAAACATGATCTGAAGCTCGATGCTTATCGTCGATATACAGGACATGCCCCAAACTAATTTTTACAATTAAAGAGTGTGGATTGATCAAATCGCCTTCTGTCGCGATACGCAAGTAGAAAGGCACAGAAATATCCTTTTTACCCATAAAAAAAGTTTCACGATTGAAGAACATTAGAATACGCAAAATGATAAAGTATACACTCACAGTTCTAAAGAAGCTATTCAAGTGGTCGGAAAGGTATAACGTAGTCATCATCTTGCGTTAGTAATGGTTTGGTGGGGTGTGTTTTGTGAAGAAGTCACAAAACTACATTTTTGTGAAAAAGGAGTGAAAACTTCATCCAAAGTGTATCATAATACAGTCTTGAATCGTATTGTGAAACTTCTCAGCAATACACTTTTAAAAAAAATACCGTGGACTTTCTAGCAGGACTTTGCACCTGGTCACAAAGCATGAACTACCCATGCTTGGCATGAAGCCAATGTTCCGGACTATATAAGAGTTGAAGACTGGTCCTCATTTAACATAGACCTTTTAGAAAAACAAAGAAATCTTTGAAAATCTCTTAAAAAATCTTTGAAGCAAGCAGTGGTGAAATTTGCTATGGAGACAGATTACAGGCCTATATAAAAGCCAAAGGTGGTTCGAATAGAATATTTTTTTATTTTTTGCTGAGACTTTAATAAATATGTAGGTATAAATTTTAGTAATATTACATTACTTCATAAAAAATGCGTTTTCATTTTTAACAGAACTTATAGCTGGGCTAGGTATATTATTTTTAAAAATTCTATCTATCCGTATGAAGTCGGGCCGGATCGCTGGTATACAATGAACAGCTAATGAAAATTTCATATTAGTTTTTTAATTTCATCTAATTTTACAGAGTAAATATAGTACATAAAGAAATAAATTTTTATCACATCTTTTGAATTGTGTGTTATAGCTCACTTGAATACTAGTGATGAAAACATTATCGCGGTCGATTGGAGTGCTGGCGCTCAATTGTATACCCAAGGCCTTGGCAACGCTCCTCAGTGTGGTGCGGTAGTGGCATCCTTCGTGAACATCTTGATCCAGGATTTGGGATTCAATACTGCACTTTTGCGTATTATTGGCGTGGGCCTTGGTGCTCATGTAGCGGGTATAGCTGCAAGAAAAATTAACGGGCCTGTACCCCATATTACAGGTGAGATTCGTTACTCTTCTAATAAGGCTTACAAGCGGTATCGAACCCTTTAGTCTTAGGAGAGGTTTTACTTCATTCTGCGTGTTCTACCGCTTGTACAATGGATTGTGCTCAGAGGAATTGTTCAATATGATGCCCAGATTACTTTTTACCATCGTACGGCTCGCCATCGACAGGGAGTTCACCCTCATACCCTACAGCCTAAATGGTCGCGTACAACGCGGTTTCAGAGATGTTTTCTCCCACGAACACACAGGTTATGGAATGAGCTCCCTGCCGAGGTTTTCCCAAGAAACTACTACAACATGGGGTTCTACAAAGGAGAGTAAAGAGATTTCTTCAGGGTCGGTAACGCGCGCGTAATACCCCTAGTATTACAGACGTTCATACCGCTTCATCTTCATCAGGTGGGCCGTAGGCTTGTTTGTCACCTCAATGTTATAAAAAAAATAAGAATAGCATCATAAGTTCCACTTCACTGTAAACTTTCAACTTTTACCACTAAATTTCGGCTAATCCTGTTTATATTATGTAAACACGTTTTGCTCTTTTCCATTTTCAGCTTTGGATCCGTCCTTCTTTGGCTGGTCTCATCACCCCGATATTCTGAATCCTGATGACGCCGAAGTTGTTGAGGTTCTGCACACAACGTCCGGCAACTACGGTTATGACTTGCCGTTAGGTGACATCGACTTCTACCCCAACGGTGGTGCTCACCAGGCCGGTTGCGGTAGCGATCTATCTTGCTCCCATCAACTCTCTTACGTCTTTTACGCTGAGTCAATCACAAGTGAAGTGTCTAACGGTAACGAGTTCGTTGGCACAGCTTGCGAAGATTACGAAAGCGCTGTCGCTTCGTCTTGTGAGGGCGAGAGAAACGCCATTTTTGGTGGAAGAAGAGATAAAGCGGGGTAAGTATTCATGGTATGATAATTTACTAAGATCATAAATATGACTTTGTTGTTTTTTTTTATTAACATTTGTTAGTCATTCATTCATTTGTAACAAAGTTCAATTGGGCTGAATAGATTTGAATATAGTGATTGCATAAAATATTGTCGTATTTTCCATGTGGTCACTGCATAGAATGGACCACTCTCTTTTTCTCGTAGGCACTGTAAAAGGCGACTAAAGGAACTTAATGGACGAGGCAGTAGCGTCCCTCTTAAAACATTACCAAAGCCTAATTGCAGTTACCAACCCGCCTATTAAGCGGCGTTTACTGGAAAACCCCCCTTTTGGAGGAGAACTATATACAGCAGTGGATAGTTAACGGCTGTTATGATGATGATATTGATAAACTATTGCAGAAAAATACTTAATGTGGAAAGCTGTAGTGTAGTGTAGTGTACAGTAGTACACTGTTGTAACAAGTAATAGACTGCTATGAGTTAATGGTGATGATGATTAAGATTTTCTTTATTATATTAATCGTAGTTGACAATAAAAGTCAAAATTATATTCATTATAATTTGTTTCTGTATAGCTAAATCCTTCCATTAATTTTATATTTATTTTATCCTTTCTATCGATGTTATATCCTCTTGCCCGAATCAACCTATCATTGCAGTATGCCTATTTTCATTTTCTATCAATACTGACATTTCAAAGAAACTCGCTATATCATTATTATATTTCAATATAGATAATTTTGGCCGTGTGGTCCCGATATAGAATAGGCCACCCCTTCCTTTCCCGTGGGTGTCTAAGGGCCAACTAAGGGAAGGCGAGGGATGAGTAGCAGCGTTCCTCTTAATACATCTCTAAAGCCTGACTGCGGTTTCCAATCCACCTGTCAAGCGTGGCAACTACTGGCAAAATCCCTCCAGTAGGAGGTTTATGCCCAGCAGTAGACAGTAAAGGGCTAATATGACGATGATGATAATTATAGATAATTTTGTTCGCTTCATTTATGGGTTGCGTAAATACGAATATATTTCATTCCACCGTTCTCAGCTTAAATGGTTACCCATTAGATAACGTAGAAAAGTTCGTCTGCTTTATACCCAAACCATAAAATATCAAATACGATCCAAATTCTTCGAATACCTTAAGTCTAAATTTAAATTTTACAGATATATTAGTAACCGTTGTCTCCGATGTTTTAGAAATCGAACATTGCAATGCTTTACTCTTTGAATTTAGATCTACCCCAAGCAAATTAGTATTCAATATATGTAAAATATATTATGTATAATGTAGGTAATATAAGTATTATATATATACATATATATATATATTTAATTGAATAAATAAATAAAATAATAGTTTTTTTAATTTTTATTGTATATTTTCAAGAATTTGTTATGTATAAGTAGTTTAAATTATAGGCCGAAGATTGACTTTCGTTGGACCTTAAAGCTGAGGCAAACGACATATAAAATAAATTTTTCCCACAAACAAAAAATGTCTCTGTCTGCTCTCTTATTCGTCCGCGCAGGTCATTAAGGATATGATGTATATTTATATGCCGCTATGTAACATAGAGGTATATATACATACATCATATGTATATTTGTTTATTATATAAATTTTTGTTTCAGTGTATCCGGCGTTTACAACTTCCTTACAAATCCTACCGCGCCTTTTGCCAGAGGTTAAATAGCATTGCGTCCAGCATTATTTAAAAATTTTGATGTGTCTAATAAAAATGTATATTTATAATAAGTATAGATTAAATAAATTATAAGATTATTATTATTAAAACATATTTAAACATTTTAAACTGATTATTATTTTCTTTCAAATGTATTTATAGAACATAACTACATTTTATGTGAGGCCAGACTATAGAGGGAATATTATATCTTGAATAGATTAAAAATAGTCGAAGTACAGATTTTTACGTAACATAAAATGGAAAACAAACTAACGGCTTACCTGATGGAAAGTTGTAACCACTGCTTATAGACATGAACAATATCATGGACATGACACTGTATACTTTGTCGTCCATGATATTTGTTATTATTCTTGAGATTTGTTAAACAGTTTTATGGTTTTGGAAATGGCTGTAAGTATTTTTAAATGGATATGAATAAGAAAGTAACCAACCTGTCTACGAAATTAGTTTACGCTAATTTTCTTTCTGTTTTTCTTTCTAATGGGGTATCACTAGGAATTAACTACAATCGTGTTTAAACTGCAGTGATCGACCTGACAGGATATGTTAATTATATAAGATTTATGGGAATACAAACAAAATGAAATCTAGCTACAGTATTTGTAGAATAGAGCAATTTTTGTGATGAATCGTTGATCAAAATGTAAGTTTTTAAATTTATATTTACATTTGGTGGAAAATGAGCATATGGTTCACTTGATGATAGTATCAATAAAATGAAGTGATCCAGTAAACAATAGGACTATTTCCATTCTTCCCGCATTGAGTAAAATCTTATATATCGTAGTTTTTTGGCTTTACGTTGTCATAGATAATAATACCTTTAATCAGAAGTTAAAAAACAAAATGCATAAATTTTTATCTTTCTAAATGTCATAATTCTATTTTAAATTTAAATAACGAACCCTTGGTTTTATAGAGCCCACTGTCTTTCTTGGAATCACCTTTGATAATGAAACTCAGTGGGGTCCTCACATTCAAAACCATGCAAGTAATAGAATTGCAGAATATAATTTGCGGCGTATGCCGTATGTAGGGATAAACAGTATACTAATATTGAGACTGCCAAATTAGATTATTTTAGTTTTTTTTTTTTCATAGTATACTGTCTTATGGAATATTATTATGGGATAAAGCAGCCGACATCCACAGCATATTTGTATTAAAAATGTGTGAGAAATTTAAAGAAGCAAATATTCTCACCATATCTTCACAATACATATACGCAAACGTTTTGAAAATATACGCAAGAATCTTCAACTGTTTCTTAAAACTAGGGATCTCAAAAATCTTTACACTAGATACAAATTCAAACTTGCTATTCCGAAGTATCGTTTAGAAAAAGTTATATGGGAATGGACATTAAATGTTATAATAAAATATACATATATTGAATATACGATATTTTTGGTCCATCATTTGATTTCTTTGTCTTGTATATAATTTTACAGAAAATAAATATATATTTTTTCTCTTTGTTTTCACTATATTGGGGTTTCAGTATCTTTGAATGCAGTGACATGCATTAGACTGTTATATTATTGATACTATTCGAGTATTCTTTAAAGACAAATTGAATAAGTCCATATCTGGCTATGTATCCTGAAAACTATTAACGATCAGAGCGTATCTCAATAGTATCAATCTTGAATACAGTTTAGGTTAATAGTGATACACTTTTCGCCATTAGATCCTATGTTACGTGATGGATCTACCATATCGTCGTATTAAATTCGACGTTGGTATTTTGGACTATGCATCTCCTCTGGCTATTTTTCGTCGTTTACAGGTGCATTTAAAGACGCCCAGGAGTAGCAGATAGGTCAAGGTCGGCATTACATATTGTTATAGTATCCTTAATGTCTAGAGGATTTCAAGATAGTTTATATTGATAATTTGTATTGAAATTTAATTTTATCTGCGTCCCTTATTAATCGTTTAAAAATAGCAGATTTTCGTACAAATTTATCGACGTAATCGCTAAAGCAGTGTCTTCGCTTGAGATGGTATTGTCACTTGTCATGTTATTTAAAAAAGTACAATAACCCAGATCTATACACAATTGACAAGTTTCATAATGATACATAAAATAGAAATGTATGAAAATCAGTTCAATTCTTTGACATAGTAACAAATTGATATATTATTGCTTTTATAAATTCTGCATTCGCGGATATTATTTGATGAAATCTTATCTTACTAATATAATAAAATTGTTACTGGACGATGTCTGTTCATAGGAGATATTTAAGAATGATTAGTATGCGGGGTCTTAATAACAGCAATAAATGACAAAACAATATTTTAAAGAAATTTTGTGATTCTGTTTGTCTATATGTTTGTTCCAGCATTACGTAAAAATTACTAAATTGAATGTAGTTTTCACAGTAGTATTTCTGAAGGTCTTACTTAAAAGTTGGTGTATGTTTTACCTTGATACGCCACCTAGAAGTGGTTCACTTCATTAGTTTTCCTTTTTCTGAAATGCAGGCGTACGAAGTAGCGGGCAAAAAGCTAGTTAGAAATACATATAATATTATTTTTAATCCGACAAGAGATATAATCAATTGTGGCGTGAGGATGAGGTGATCATATTTCGTAATGAAAGTGATAAAAGTATGTTCGTATTATGGATTGTTCTAGATATTATATATTTCCTGGTTATTCACTGGTCAAGTACTGGGATTACTAAATTATGTTTTAACAAGACAACCTCCAAATTAATTCAGCTAATTATGTGTATATTATAATAAATCGTATGTAAAATAAAAATATTGATTGACAAGAAAAATGTAGTAGACGATAAAGAATATCGATTTTATTGTATATTTAGTTATTTAAATAAGTTTTACTAAGGAATAAACGTTATTGCTCACCAATTAGGTGAGCTTTTTTGTTAGATTTGGATATCCTATCTTCGCCATTTGATACGAGTGGCAGGATGCCTGTTATGATGGGCGTAATATATTTTGTTTGAGATAAGTAGTATAAGGGTAAATAAGATCTGAGACTGTTACTAAAATAAGTGAATGCAATTTAAATATTATCCCAAAAATAAATAACTAATTGGTATTTCTTTTTCGGGATTGGAATGGGCACATCCTAGATTACAAAAAGCAGTTAATCCGGCAAAAAGAAGCAAATATTCCGATAAGTTTATTTACGGATACCGATTATCCGATTAACTCAAAAAATAAGTACGAGATAGCTATATTAATCTGATGAAAAATACTAATTTAGTTATCATGTAAAGGTTTAGATGATCAGGATACGTGATCTATATAGTATTATTTATTTATTAGTTGAGCGTTTTCAAAATGTTTCTATCAGGTTTCTTTTCGGTTTTAGAAAATATGATCATATTTACCTGTTTCTTACTAAGCTCGTGTGGCTTCCCATTCGTTCTCGCCGAAATATTTACATTCTTTCACTGCTTTACAATATTCTTTTTAATCCCTTATGAGAAATGGTTTACTGTGCAAGCTGTTCGATTATGGAATAATCTACCAACCTCTATACAAAATATATAATACCTTCCTAATTTTAAAACAAAAGTTAAGGACTATATGTATTATAAAAACGAACAGTTACGTGCCTAGTGAAACTGTTTATAGTTTTATACAAAACTGTTTATACTTTTCTTCATCCAAAAGGTTGTCTGGAAAAAATCGCTTTTAGCGATAAGGCCACCCATTATTTTCTCAATGTAATATATATAATAAGTTTACTTTTGGAGGAAACAATAAAGAGTCTATCTATCTATATATTTATTTGAGGAACGGTCCTCAGCCATTAGTATCTATTAATTTGCAATATTTTACTGTGTTTATTTGTACGTGAATGACACTTAAAATTTTTTTTTTCGTTGATTCTTTGAGCAATGAGGCAGACTTAATACTGTCCCGGTGGGCAAGAATTGTTGGTAACGTGGAATAGCGTTTTTATTGTTAACACAATAGCATGTCAATCCAGTTTCATGCGGTGCCCCCTAAAAACCATCACGGTCAATTACTGGGTAAATACATTTTGACAAATTATCTGACCTGGCTTCATCTTCACTTATTCACTGCAAATTTGCTAGTATATACTAATGCAGACATAAATACTGTTTTCTTTTTAATCTATAAAAAGATTCTATACAGCGTTATAATATGTTTCATAATTTACATTATCAATGGGACCGCTAGCCCCTTATCTAAGGTAAAAGATATTGTTTGTAGTGGGGTTTAACAGGTATATTGATAGCAGCGTGTCCTATCAGGTTAACCCCCATGTGGTCCCCCTAAATGATATGATTATTTAGATTAATTCTAGGTTTGTCAGGATTTTTCAACTGATCTGACATCATTTTCATCTAAAATTTCTCATTGGTACTTTGGTAGTGTGGACAAAGTTGCTATTCCATTTTAATTTTATAAAAATCTCCCACCTGACAGTCGTTTTGGGTTGACAATAAAACCTTAAATTTAATGTTAATATTTTACAAGATATCTCCCTACTACATTAATTTATCATTACAAGGGATTAATAATGTCATTTAATTGATTATCAATGTATGTTAGATATACTTCAGCAATGGTGGATATAAATAGTTCGTTTATAACTACATAATTAATTCGACCGTCAACTTCAATCATGAAAGTTCTCATAGTTCTTGTAGCCTCCATGGCATGTTGGTGTCTAATTTATTTGTTTTTAATTTGTGTATTAATTTTTATGAAATTAATCTTAAAATGTTAATTAAATAAAATGTTTGTTTCAAGTGTGTGCCAGCAATGCCATTCCCTCGGTTCCCGGTGATAACAGCCACTATGTAGAAGGTGAGAGCCGCTACATCTGGATGCCAGATGGAGAGGGCGTGCCGCATCTAGTAGACCTGGAAGAGCCTGTCGACGAGGCTATACTAAGCTCTCGTAATGGAGCAAACAATCAGTATTGGTTATATACCAGGTTCGTTTTTTATCACAATAATAAATTAGAATATAATTTTAAGGTTTATAATTAAACTATAATAAAAAAATATAACGAGGTATGAAAGTAGATGAAGTAAGAGATATATGTAAAAGTGTTTTCACATTTACTTTTTGTTGCTTATATCAGAAGTGTCTTAACGTGAACATAGATATGTTTTCATTAAAAATATTTCTGTTAAAAATTTATTTTTTAATGAAATATTATATTTTTTTAGGCAAAATCCTAACAATGCTCAAATTTTGGTACACGGTAATGCTAACTCTATTTGGAACTCCAACTATGTCAGTAGCAGACCTTTAAAAGTTGTTGTCCATGGATGGAATGGTGATGGAAATTCAGCTATGAATCCTCTTATCACATCTGCGTTTCTTGCTGTGCAAGATGCTAATGTGATTGTGGTAGACTGGCGTGCTCTGGCTAATTCAAATTATTTGACTGCTGTTAACGGTGTACCTGAAGTAGGCCAATTTCTAGGAAACTTCCTCGTATGGCTTATTAACACAGCTGGTGGAAATTGGAACAACGTGCATTTCGTTGGATTCAGCTTAGGCGCTCACGTAGTAGGAAACGCTGGCCGACAGGCTAGTGGGCGACCGGCTCGTGTTACTGGTTAGTTTCTTTTATACATTTCGTTATTTTCTTTCAAATTATGTACCAAGGTCCGATCAATACCAAAGTAGAAGAAAAATATAATTCATTATGATTTTCTTAACACTCTTATGTTCTTCTATCGAGAGAAACTATTTCAGTAATAAAGATATAATAATATGCTTTTTAGCATTTTATCTTTATTTTTAATGAGTTGAGAATGAAAACAGAATAATGAATATATTTGTAAAGCACTACTATACACAATTTATATCTTTCTTTTTTGTTAGGTTTGGATCCAGCTGGCCCCTCCTGGAATGGAAACCCAAACGCTTTGAACAGAAACGCGGGGCAGTACGTGGAAGCCATTCATACTGATGGTGGTCTTCTCGGTATATTCACGCCTTTAGCAGACGCTGACTTCTACCCCAACGGTGGAAGGAACCCTCAGCCTGGTTGCTGGATTAGTACCTGTTCTCACAGCCGTGCACCGGAACTGTTTGCGTCTAGTGTGCGTACTAATCACTTCCAAGGGAGATTATGTGCCAACATCAACCAGGCAGAAAATGTGCAATGTAGCGGTGGTGTTTTAAATATGGGCAATGGTGTTGTCTCTAAAAGAGGGTAAGAATTCTACTCTAATTTATTTTTAGTATTTACTTAAGTTCGAATGTTTGTAAAATTCTTCATATATAAGTGGAACAAAAATATTAGACATCTTTTCTTATATACGACAATGCTAAATTAATTATTTTCCTGAAGAAATTAGATATACATATTTAGTCAGTTTTGTAATCTTCAGTTGTTGCTGTGAATAAATCTAGTACGTACATTATTCGATAATCGACAAACAATTATACTAAATAAATATTATTTTTGTTTATTGAAATGTTTAGGTTTTACAAACAATCTAAGCTTTCTATACTTCCACTTTCTTCCCATAATATTGCTACAAATACTCGTAATAATATAGATTCTTGCAATATTCATTTCTAGTTCTAACTGTTCGTAATAGTTCTGGGTCTTATTTTTTTTTATATATTTTCTGTAATTATTATATTATTTTCAGATCCGGTCTCTTCGGTCTGTCAACTGGAAGTTCATGGCCTTTCTAATATTAAATTATTAATATAAATATGTTTATTTTTGTTTTATTCTAATAACCTTTGATACTTTTTACCGTAAAAAATCTACTAATCTAATCGTAAACACACACATACACCCATAAAAAAGAAGATATTACATATGCGTTTAGAGTAATTTATGCTACGCCTATGTGTTTTACAATTTAATAATCTTAGTTATTGAATAATGTATTTTGCAAAGACAAATGCCTGTTTCAGCCATCACCAAATTATTATGAGATCAACATGGGAGAAAAGCTGATCGATTACAAAAATAATTAGGATTACAAAATTATTTAACAGATTTTTGATGTAATTTCGTGACAAAAGAAAAAGCTATAATTATGTTTATAATAATTATAAGGTGTCTATCAAAGTTATTAAGCCCTTGTTATATTGATATGTGTATTCATGATTGATTGAAATCGCTTTTATGCGGATCAAAATGAACTTTTTAGTACTTACGATGATTACGATTCTTTTAATTCCATAATTACAGCGTTTATTCTTATTAAACTGCAAATGTAGAAGATCCAAAAACTCCAGGAATATTATATTAATATAAGTATGATAATAATATAATCACAAAAATTAAACCCGATAAAACGGTTGTGATTATTAAAATTAGGCGACTAAATATTTACAATCAAGCAGTAGTAGACAATAAATATTACAAGAATAAGGCTTGCCTATGGGACGATTTCTTAGCGACATACAAAGAAGAGTTTTTCAATTACATATATCGTATTTTAGGATTCATACCTAAATTTTTTTATGCTACTTAGAATGGCAAACAAGCTGACGGCCCACCTGATGGAAAGTGGTAACCGCCGCTATAGACATGAGCAGTACCTTGGCCGTAACAGAGTATACTGTTTCGCCCATGATACTCCTCATGCGTTGCCATTTCTAAGAACACTTAAGTGTATTTCCTTGTACCCTGTAAATTCACTGCCATATCCCACCTTTCAAACTGAAACACAGCCATACATATATAACTGCTTCACGATAGAAATACGAATGGGATAGAAGTGCCTAGGCAAACGACTTTTGTACAAAGTCTCTCTCTGGTAAATGGTACATAGGTACCGTTAAGGTGCGAATTTGACTATCCAAGTATAACAGCGTATATAGCAGCGTATATATATCTCAGCAATAACAAATGCTATTGATTTAAAATTTGGAATAGTTTTACTCAACGTTTTAAATATAAAATAATTAAAAAAGATTTTTATTTTCTTTGCTTATAGTAGTCCAGAGGGAATATTATGTGAAAGAGTTTTATTTGTATATTCTATAACACTTTAACATTTAATTTAACTTTTATATTTAATTTAATACCAGTCATCCTTTATTTTCGATAAGTTTGTGAAGCGCAAAGTCTGAAATTCTAGAAGCCTGAATACAGTTTATAAGGTTATACGTGAATATTATAGAAAAAATAAAACAATGTTTCTAACTAGAGCAGTTCTTGAGGTAGAACAAAAATAGAAATGGCAACGCATAAAGAATATCATGAATATTCCAATATATTATGTGATATTACTGGTACTGTTTACGACTATAAGCGATGATTACCACTTTTCATTCTATCTATTTATCTATTTAAGAGCTGCGCTCTTGTCGGTGGAGCTCTTGCCACTCACTACGATTTTCAGCGAGTCTCTTCACCTCTTGATACGACACGACACCAATTTCTTCTTTGATCTGCCTGATGTAACTATGTCTCGGTCTCCCTCTCCCCCTCCTTCCTTCTATCTTACCTTCTATTATAATGTTATAAGTTCGTCGTGTCGTATCAAGTGTCCCAACATTTTTTCCCCTTCTGTCCTCAATAGTTCTAATAATTTGTCTTTTTTCCTTAACCCTAAGCAGGACCTGCTCATTGCTAATTCGATCCCTCCAGCTAATTTTCTTCATCCTTCTCCAGCACAACATTTCATTAGTTTTCATTATTTGCCATTCTAAATTGAATACAAAAAATCCCTTCAAAAGCTAAGATTTATCAATATTAAGCATATTTAAGTTACAATTATTGTTCAAAATAAGGGATTATAAAATCACTAGTGATTATTTTCATAACCATGTCGATTTCTACTTGTCTGAAATCTACTTGTACAGGAAGGGCAAGGATGGATTAAGCACAAAATAGAAAGACAGAGAACCAATAACCAAGTTTAAAAAATGTAGAAATCATTTCTCAATTTGCTGTTTTTTGTAAAAAAAAAAAGATATTATTGAGATAAATCGATTGATTTGAATTTTTTTTTATTATTATTTATGTATATTTTTGATAGTTTATGATCGATATATTATATATGTACCTACTATTTAATTACTTATATTTTATATGTCAATGAGCGGACGTAGTATAGATCTATGTACAAAATTTCATTCAAAATTATCCAGCCATTTAAGATCGATCGAAAGAAACTTGAAGAAATTTATAAATTACTTTTTGTGTAAATTTGCGTACAAGTGACTATTAGCATATTTTCAATTTGCAAATTCATTAATCAGATAGATTAACATAATTACAAAAGAGATAAAGTTTGATTAAAAATTATTATCAGAAAGTATTAGATTGACAACTATAAGAAGGATATATAAAAATGGATAAAAATCATATACGTAATCAAATCCACGGTCAAGTTCAGTCATGAAGTTCCTTGTAGCTCTCATAGCGTGTATAGCGTGTTAGTATTTGATTAATTATACTCGTATTAAATTATAACCTTACATTAGTCAATTTATTTTTATTTTTCATTATTTATTTATTGCTTCTATTTAATTTAGACTCTTTATTTAATATTAGTATTTATTATTTATTGAAGATTATTTTGTAATAAATAATTCAGTTGAAATTGTATGTTATTGTATTAAAAATTTTTATTGAATTAATTTAATTTTAGACTCACTTTTTATTAAAAAATGTACTCGTATAAATTAATATAATTTTGGTGTTTTAAGTGTGTGCTGGCAATGCTATTCCTCTGGTTCCCGGTGATAATAGTCACTACGTAAAGGGTGAGAGTCGCTACATCTGGATGCAGGATGAGGAGGGCGTGCCGCAACTGGTAGACCTGGAAGAGCAAGTGGATAAGTCTTTGCTGAATTCCCGAAATGGAGCCGATAATCAATATTGGCTTTATACCAGGTTTGTTATTTAAATAAAGTTATGTAAATGTGCGTATTTATACATATATTTGTAAAAATATCGACTTCGTATCATCTTAGTATTTATAGAAATTACGTTAACGAACCACATGCACTAACTTGAAGCTAGGTAAGCTCTTTATTTGATGTTAAAAAATAAAAGAAGTCTAAAGTGACGGGGACTCCATCATCAGACCTGAGTCCTGACTATATGTAGTTGATAGTTTTAGAAAAATGTAGGATTGCAACGATTTGTTAATATCATTTAACTTGAGGCGACTTATAGCGATTTAGCAGTGGACAATTAATTGCTGGGGTGATGATGATACTCATTACGACTAACCTTGTGTTGATTCATAGTTGCTCACACTAATTTAATTCTGAAGTGTCTCAATTCATCTTGTTTTGTTTGAAGTTTACAAAAAAATACAAATAGCTGTTACACACAGGGTTTTAAGGATTTCAAAGTTATTAATATACACAAGGTTAATAATTCAATGGATTTTGAAACAGATATAATAAATTGTGGTGTTTTATTTTTCAGACAAAACCCAAATAATGCTCAAATTTTGGTAGATGGCAATGCTAACTCCGTTTGGAACTCTAACTATGACGGTAGCAGACCTTTAAAAGTTGTTGTCCATGGATGGAACGGCAGTGGAAATTCAGGAGTGAATTCTCTTACTGCGTCGGCATTCCTTGCAGTCCAAGATGTGAACGTCATTGTATTGGACTGGCGTACTGTTGCTAGTTTGAATTATGTACTTGCTGTTAGTGGTGTTCCTGGGGTTGGACGATTCCTAGGCGATTTTATTGAATGGCTCATCAACACGGCTGGTGGTGATTGGAACAATGTGCATTTAATCGGATATAGTTTGGGCGCTCATGTCGTTGGTAATGCGGGCAGACAGACTGGGGGACGACCGGCTCGAGTTACTGGTTAGTTTACATTAACTTATTTTGTTCTAGAAACATAATGGGATATTAAATGGTAATTTTATTATTTACTAGCGGCCCGTCCCGGCTTCGCACAGTTGGACATTTTTACATTTTAAAAAGTGACCATTAAGGTACACACGACGGAAGCTTAAAAATGGAGTAACTTCTACTGTTTTCCCAACATTTTCTTTATTGTTCTGCTCCTATTGATCGTAGCGTGATGAAAAGTATACTATAGCCTGCCCAGGGATATGAAGAATAATTGTACCAAGTTTCGTTAAAATCCGTCGAATAGTTTTTGTTTCTATAACGAACATACAGACAGACAGACAAAAATTTTACTGATTGCATTTTTTATATATTATTTTGATAATATATATAGATTGATAATATATACAGAATTGACCTCTCTACAGATTTATTATAAGTATAGATAGATTATATATTGAGAATGAAAATTATATATAGAAGAAAACTAAATTTCCGCACAGACATTAATAAATATCGAGCATAAAGATAGGAATATATTTTTTTAATTGCTATCTATTGTTTTGATTATGTTTTATGATTATATAAGCTTTATAAGAAAAAGATATGCTATGATTAAAAATATCAAGGTTGTTTTGTTTCTAACTTTAAAAATGCGATTGTTTTTGTAATAATTCAGGGTATATTAGATCTGATATTGAAATGTTATTTAGAAATTCTTGTTGAATATGTTTTACCAAATTACCGTGTATTTATTATATTCGACGATGCCTTCTTTTAATAATATTGAAATATACTTAGATATATACTTCTAATATCCTAATATACTTAGAATACAATAAAACATTTTTTTTAAGGTTTGGATCCTGCCGGTCCACTCTGGATTGGAAATCCCAATGCTTTAAACAGTAATTCTGGACAATACGTTGAGGCCATTCATACTGATGGTGGCCTACAAGGTATATTAATTCCTATCGCGGACGCTGACTTTTATCCCAATGGCGGAAGAAACCCTCAGCCTGGTTGCTCGAGTAGCGCGTGCTCTCATGCTCGTGCGCCCGAATTCTTTGCATCCAGTGTGCGCACGAATCACTTCCAAGGCAGGTTATGTGAAAACTTCAACCAGGCACAGGATGTGCAGTGCAGCGGCAGTATTTTGAATATGGGCAACGGCATCGTGACTAAGCGAGGGTGAGAGTATACAATGACTTTAGATTAATGTTTTCCATATTATTTTTATTAATATTGTAAATAAAAATGTGGATGATCTCATGAGATAGTCTTCTTATGAGATTTAGACTAAGAAAGCATTTTCCGAAATTTCTAAGGAAAGTAATATATCTTACTAATATAATAAAATTGTACATGGGAGATCTTTAAGAGAAATTGGTATGAGGAGTCTTTACAAGAGCCAAAACAATAATTTTTAGAAATTTTGTCTGTCTATCTGTTTGTTCCAGTATTATGCAAGGACTACTGCATCAAATTGGATGCAGTTTTCATAGTTGTGTTTCTGAAAGTCTAACATGAAATCTGGTGTATTTTTCTTAATCTTGATACGCCATCTAAATAAGACCTATTTCATTTGTTTTTCTACATAAGAAATCCACGCGTACGAAGTAGCGGGTAAAATGGTAGTCCATAATATAATGAGTGCGACACAATTCAGAAAAAATATAATATTTTATAAATATTGCTCAACTGATAATTGAATCTTATACAGAGCACTCTGTTGTTACTGTGGAGCATTATACTACGGAGATTATCTCATTACAATATTATCCAGATACTTGAAAATAAAAAGACTTAAATATTTGTTTTCAGCTCCGGCATTTATGGTCTGACCACAGGAAGTTCGTGGCCTTTTTAATAAAATAAATATTCGTTGATGAATCGTAATTGTGTTTAATTGTATATTGTTACTTGATGAAAATATTTTTAATCAATACTTCCTTTTGGAAAAAAAAATTATGCTATTCATTTAGTAAGATAATAGGTAAGTAGTTCGCCGTGTAGGTTCCGGCATAGAATAGGCCATTCCTTCTTTTCCCGTGGGGGTTGTAAAAAGCGACTAAGGGTGCTTATGGTCGTGGGATAGGCATCGTTCCTCTTAAAATATTATCCTTTTACCATTAAATCTCTTGCTAAAGAGCTGCAGTTCACCCTAATTTTTGGGTCAAATGGCATAGTACTATTATCTATACCTCTTGCTCATTTTTACCTCGTACATCTGGGTTGTAGAATGAGCTCCCGTCTTCAATTTTCCTTTTATAATATGGGAAATTTCAAAAAATGTGCCTACAATCATTTAAAAGGCCGGCAACACACAAGCAATTCCTGTCCTGTTGTCAGTGTTCATGGACGACGGTAGCCACTTTCCATCAGGTAGACCGTCTGCTCGTTTGGCTCTAACAATAAAAAAAAATCACCAAAGGCCTTACTGCTGTTGCCAACCCGCTTGCCAACCGTAGCAACTACTGGCAAACTCCCTTTTTCAAATTATGGGGGAGGACTATATTCAGTAGTGGACAATTAATGGCTGATATGGTATGGTAATACGCACTTTTTTGCTCCGCAGTGAACTACGACGGCTTTAGTCATTCCAATTTAATCATTTGAGAGTAAAACCTAATAATTGTGCAAAGAATTATGAAAATTGGCATCATAAATGCGCAAAACGGTGAAAAAATTGGGGACAAATCGAGAAACAAGGCTAAAAAATTATAATGTTTTAGCTTTGTTTCCCTGAACTAGATGGAGCCATGACCACAAATACATTGCAGGAATTCAGTGGATATTGGTGGCTCAGGACCGATTCTTAAGGCAATCTATGGGGGAGGATAAGGGGAATCAATGATGATGCGCAATATTTTTAGTTTATTTAATAAAAGCTAGTTTTTCTTTTCTTATTTATTTTGTTTTTATTTTTTATAAGTATAGTTTATGTAAATAGGCAACCAAAGCTGTTTATCTAATCGCATTTTCTTGTTAAGTGGTCATAGTATACCACGTACGTACGTACCTACATGTAATGAAATATTTGAAGATTATTGTTTGATATTTTGTTTCATTGATATATTATTATCAAATAGATACATAGCTACACTGTTATACGAATTTAGAAAAACTTTAGAAATTCAATACGCTTTTAGAACGATCATGATTACTTCATAGTAAAATTTATAAGTTATGTCAATTAATTCATAAGGTTTCGCAGTCTTTTCTAATGCCATGCCAACTCTGATAAAATTCGACCAATTTGTTACAACTCTTTTGCTGCTGTTTATATTCATCGAAAAGAGCAGCACTTGTTTATACTGGATGATATTTTCGTTTCTAGTGTGCTTACTAATCACTTTAAAGGCAGACTATGCGACAACTTCAGACAGGCACTGAATATACAATGCATCGGCAATGTCTTCAATATGGGCAATACCATCATCCTTAAGAGAGGGTAAGATATTTAATGAAAAACGTTAAGTATATTATTTATAAAAATTAAAATTACAGTCGATGTACATTATTATTGCCAATTTATGTGTGTTACGAGGCTTAGTTATTGTTGACCTTTGCTTTACATATATTTTATAAAAAAATTCTCAGATCGGTACATATACCTGACTACTGGAACTTCGTGACCCTTTTAATAAAATACTTAATTCCATTTAACTTGTTTTTAGTTATGTAGAGTATCTTAATTGCATAGATGGATTAAAAGGAAAGTACTTTATAACTATAATATAAAAAATAATATATAGAACTACAATATATATAATAATAGAAATAAAAATATTGAAAGTACGGCTTGTTTGTTCAGGTTTTTTTACGAATGAGGCGATGTTAATAAAATGTCAGTGATTATATATTATTATACAATTGATAATTTAGTAAGAGATTATTTAAAAAAAGATAAATATTATTTTAATAGAGATTAAACATGATTAATAGTTGTTATCAAAATTTATTTGATTTAATTTCTTAAAAATGTAAGGGACATTATTATATAAAAATTTATTACATTTATCTTCAGTCATGAAGTTTCTTGTAATTCTTATCGCGTCTATAGCGTGTTGGTATTTTAATAATTATATTTTTATTGTTTAATTATTAAATAAAATCTTATTATTCTATTAAAACGGAATTTATTGTTTCGTTTAAATTAGTTTAGTTATATTTAAAAAAATAGTTAAATTTTCTTTTTGTTAATAAATATATATTAATTTTTGTGTTTTGTGTGTTGGCAATGCCATTCCTTTGGTTCCTGGTGATAACAGCCACTACATAGAGGGTGAGAGCCGCTACATCTGGATGTCAGATGGCGAGGGCGTGCCTCATCTAATAGATCTGGAAGAGCCTATGGATGCGGCTTTGCAGAATTCTCGTAATGGAGCCAACAATCAGTACTGGCTTTATACCAGGTTTGTTTAGTTATATAATATGTTCGGTATAAAAACTATTATGCTATTAAACAAAACAAACAAATAAATTGTTTGGAACATCTGATAACTGTAATATAGACAATCTATATCAGACAATAATTACCTTTTTAAGGGGGGTTTTGAATGGATAGTTTTTATCAATTTAATGTATTGTAAATATAAGATCGCTTCAATTAGTAAATTTCAACGTTTTTTTTTTCAGACAAAATCCCAATAATGCTCAAATATTGATAGATGGTAATTCTAACTCTGTTTGGAACTCTAACTATGACGGTAGGAAACCTTTAAAGGTTATGGTCCACGGATGGAACAGTAATGGTAATTCAGGAGAGAATCCTATCATCACATCTGCTTTTCTTGATACCCAAGACGTTAATGTCATCGTAGTGGACTGGCGTGTATTGGCTAGTTCTAATTATTTAAGTGCTGTTCGTGGAGTTCCTGGGGTTGGTCAATATTTAGGCAATTTTATTGAATGGCTCTTCAACACTGCTGGTGGAAATTGGAATAATGTACACTTAATTGGATTTAGCTTGGGCGCTCATGTCGTTGGTAGTGCTGGTCGACAAGCCGGCGGCCGATCGGCCCGCATTACTGGTTAGTATTCAATTGACTTCAAACAAGGGAGAGATTTTATTTTATGTTTGTTACCTCTCAACTCCTTCATTTATAAACCGATTTATTGAAAGGAGTGAAATTATTTTTCATATTATTTTTCATAATTAGTTTCATAGAAATTTTATCAAAATCGGTCTTGTTTTTAAATCAAAATAAGTGATTTTTCTACGACTGATGTCAGTATTTTTAGTGAAACAAAATCTTATGTTATTACTATACATTTTAGGATTTTCTTATAAAAAATTCATTGTGACAAGTTAATTAATTATTTGTATAAAAATATTAATATATTGTTTTTTATATTAATATCAGTAGGTTAATTTATATAACTTATATATTGTTAATTTATATTTATATATTTAATATCTTGGGTACCTCTGTCCCATTCGTGTTTCAACCGTGAAGCAGTTGTGTTGGCATGACTGTGTTTCGGTTTGATATAATTTCAGGATGGCAACGCATGGGGGGTATCATGGGTTAAACATACTCTGTTATGTCTTGCTCTATGTCTATTGGTTACCACTTTCCATCAGGTGGGCCAAAAGCTTGTTTGCCATTCTAAGTGGCATAAAAAAAAAAAAAAAAAAAAAATATAATTTATAGGTTAAACAATTTTCTTGCTCTAGATTGGAAACTTCAAGAAAATATTTTGTAGGTTTGGATCCGGCTGGTCCACTCTGGATTGGAAACTCCAATGCTCTAAATAGTAATGCTGGACAATACGTAGAAGTCATCCACACTGACGGTGGTCTTCTCGGTATATTCACCCCGATTGGAGATGCCGACTTTTATCCCAATGGTGGAAGATACCCTCAGCCTGGTTGTTCGAGTAGTTCGTGCTCTCACAGTCGCTCAATATTACTGTTTGCGTCCAGTGTGCGTACCAATCACTTTCAAGGCAGATTATGTGACGACATCAACCAAGCACAGAATATGCAGTGCACCGGTAGAGTTTTCAATATGGGCAATGGGATTGTCACTAAGAGAGGGTAAGTTTTTAATTTTCAACCTTGGATTCCTATTTTAGGGTAATAACTAGAGTAGCCAAATAATTAATGATATAAATATTAATAAAAATATATTTACGACTGTAATCAAATAAATTAATTAGGTATATAGTGGAATGGTAGGTTGGAAGATGAAACGATGAAGATACGTATGTGTGTAGAATATATAAAATAAAATACGAACGACTTAAGATAACAGACAAGAAATTTTGAAATAAATTACAAGGAATTCTAAAATTACATAATGTATTCATTTATTTCAATCTATGCCGGAAATACACGGCAAATACTATACATTACCTGTGGTAAATCGTATAAAGTTGTATATGTATATTATTTATTTCGAGTGAATGTTTTTTTTTAGTTCTGGCATCTATGGTTTAACTACTGGAAGTTCCTGGCCTTATTAACATGGAATAAAATTAAGCATACTATTTACTGTTTCAAGCTATTGTATATTTAACCAATAATGGTAAGCCAACGATCGTTTGTTTTCGTTTGCTTGCTCCAATGTAATAAAGAAATTAGTTAAGTGAGCATTGTTTCTTGCATAGTGAAAGCTTGTAGTAACAAAGTAAGCTGCAGCAAGTAAGTAAAAAATAAATTATATTAATAGATATCTACGTGTATATAAGAAATAAAATAGAGCTACAGTTGATGTAAGTTTTATTTATTTAATTTCAAAAGTGAGATTGGGGTAATAACCTCATCTGTGAATGATGTGTCATTCATAGATGAGGTTTTAAATATTCATGATCTATTTTATTGAAGTTGAAGAAATTGACATCAACAAAGTTGAGTAGAATTATGCTCTGCAATTTAAAAAAGTCGGTTTCAATTATTTCAAAATGATTATCAGAGTAGTACGACCACATGAGAGTAAACCTTATTGATTGTAAAAATAATTATTAAAATTTATTAAGAATTTCAGGTAACATTCACATCTTTTTTATACAATGAAAGTGACAAATAAGAATACAGTACATCTTTTTGGTAGTCGGTCACTGTAGCCTATAGACATAATTAAAGATTGTGTCCCACAAAAATACTGACCTTATTTGTGAGGAAACCAGTTGTTTTAAAAATTGAACTGCAGAACTGATTTTGATAAAATTTCTATGGGATCAAACTGTAAGTATATCCTTTGAGATAAAAAAGAATTTTCCAAATCCGTTTACAACTGACGGAGTAATGAGGTAACAAATACAAAAAATAATACAACCGAATTGAGAACCTACTTCTTCTTGAAATTGGTTGATAGAAACAAGTGAATTGACTGTATAGACTAAAAATATGTTATGTTGCTTATAATTGAAATTTTATTTTCATTGTTTCATCCGTTTGATATTAGGTTTAGCTAAAAACAATTGCATTAAAAAAATAACGATTACGACATAAAAGTGAGTCATATTCGAACATTATCATTTAAATCCGATTACAGTTATTATCAAAATACATTTGATTGAAACTAGAAAAAGGTCAGCTAAATAATCATTGATAAGAGCTACATAATCAAACTTCGTTCAACTTTAGTCGTGAAGGTCTTTTTAATTCTCACCGTATATATGTACAAATATCGTGTTTGTATTTCTTTTAAATTTTGTCCCATTATATAAAATAAATAGCACGTTTTTGTAATACAAGTTATATATATGGATGTGATATGGATGTCGACTGTTTATCCCATAATAATAATACATAGGACAGTATACTATGAAGTAACTAAAACAAACTAATCTGACAGTCGCAATATTTGCATACTGTTTAACCCTGCGTACAGCATACGCCGCAGAATTTAATTTAGTTGCAAGGTTTTGCAAGTGCAAGTTGCAAGGTAATCTTGAGAATTGGAATTACGATTTATAGAAAGAGAAAATTTTACACATTTAGTTTTTAAAAAAATATTACTTATATTTAAATTAAAATATATAAGAAATATGATGTTGAGATAGATGTGATTTTAGTTTTTATATTATTTAAGATTGAATAAGGTAATATTTTAACATGTGTGTTTTTTTAGATTCGGCCTCTACGCACTGACTACTGGGAATTCATTTATTAATGTAATAAAAGTACAATAGAATAAGAGTAAATATAATTTTTGTTCAAGTAAATTTAAGCATTTTTAATGAGACTACCAAATAATTCCGAATGTAGCTGTTTTGTTATACCAAAAAAGTTTGTTGATTTTTAATTATTAAAAAAGTTTCTGTAAATACATATTATCTACCTACAAGTGCATAGAAAGACTAATATACAAGTGATAATGAACATTATTATATATTCATATATACCTATTTTAATTTAATTTTTACAGTTCGTTAAAAATGCTCGTCAGAAATAAACACAGACAAATAGAAAGCCGTGTATATTATAATTGATGCATTTATTACAGGTGCAGTAAATTTTAATTAAATATAAAAAATTATTACAAATTCATAAAAATTGATTTAAAAACTTTAAGAAAGTAGTGGACTAATTGATTATAAATTTCGATTTTTTATTTATTAGGGGACATAATAGTCAAAGAATGGGCTGCTGCCCATTCGTTCCTTTTAAAACATCACTAAAACTTAACTGCGGTTACCAAACTGCTTAGCAATAACGGTAACTATTGGCAAAACCCCACAAGAGGGGGAGGCCTATGTTCAGCAGTGGACAGCTAGCGGCGGACATGATAATGATGATCAAAATAAAAATTTCGATTATAGAAATAAGTTTAAGGAAAGTTGTCTCAGAATCGATGCAAATTTCAGGGATTCGATTTTTGAATAGAGTATAAAAAAGATACATTTAAATTATTTAATTTAATCGCTTCTACCTAATTATATTACAAACAATAAGTAAATATTACGTAATATTTGTTTTTAATATTTATTTATATTAATCAGGCATATTATTTAAATAGACCTCGTTCACCTGAAATAAAAAAAATACATTAGTATAGTACATATTTTTTTAACTGTATTTACTTTCTATAAGGTAGTGTTTGGGCAATAAATAAGTTGAATTTCAATAATACCGAAATAGTAATTTTCTTTTAATTTTATATATAATAAATAATAAACTTCTTTATATATACAGGTTATATTCAGCAAAACCGAGATATGTTAATTGATTGAGATAAAAAATTGTTGTGAGCAATTGTTTGAAATAATGCATACACATATACTTGAACCTAAATGGTCACGTATAGCGCGGTTTCAAAAGAATTTTCTGGCTGTAGAATGAGTTCCCTGCCAAGATTTTTCCTAGAGACTACAGTATGAGGTTCTCCATGTGGACCATGGATGTAATTAAAGGAATTGAATATTTATTACAATTAAATGTGTATAAGATTGTATTGTGCGCTTTTCCTTACACAAATAGACATCTTCATAAAAAAATTAACAGTAAGGTACATTACCTGAATAACTTATTACATACATTGACATGTCGTCATAGTGACATTTTGACATTTTTTGATACTAATAGTTTTATTAGTGATTTTTATTTGACAAAAGATACAATGTATCTTTCTAAATCATCTAAAAATAAAATAGCCACTTTAGTGGCTTATAATATTGACTACATGAACAGTTTACATGGTAAACTTAAACATAAAAATGCTGACATAACAGATAATTCTATTAATATTTGTGACATAAGTACTATGACTGCAGATTTAAACTGCTCACAAAGACAAAGGGAAAGCAATCAGAATTAATAATTGTTCATCAGAACATACAAAAAGTTAATTATACAATTATTTTTAGAAAAGTATAATATTGATATTGTCTGTTTCACAGAACATTGGCTTAAAGAAAGCAATATGATGTTCAATTTAAATAATTATAATGTTGTCAGCTGCTTCAATAGAATAGGCGGGTCTATGATAATTGCAAGAAATAATATTAAAGTAAAGGAACGTGCTGACATTGTTAGACTTTCTATTGAGTGTTGTATAGAATTATCTTGTATAGAACTAGAAAATTATATCCTTATATGTGTGTACAGGCCTCCTAATAGTGATTACAATGTTTTTGAAGGGGTGATGGAGGATATTTTAAAAAAAGTATTTAATAGTATTAAAAAAATTATTGTATGTGGAGATTTTAACGTTGATATTCTTTGTAACACACCCACATGTACAAAAATTATTAGTTTATTTCAGTCATTTGATTTATGTCATGTCTTTCATGAACCCACTCGTGTAACTGCCACGTCTGCTACTTGTCTTGACAATGTTTTTTGTAACTGCGAGTATACAGAAAAATTCATAATAAATAAACTTCCTTCAGATCACTGTGGTCAAGTTGTTAAGTTTAGCAGTCAAATCAATAAAGTCAACAATAATAAAAAATCAAAAAGACAAATAAACGTTTACAATATTAATAAATACAAAAGCGCGATTAAAAATAAATTGGATTTGCTGTTACAGTCTAGTAATAATCCTGATTATCTTTACACCAAGCTAATTAATATTTTATCCGGAGAATATGAACAATTTTTCAAGAAAAAAGAAGTTCATGTTAAATCTAAATTCACGGAATGGGCAACAGTAGGAATACTTAAAAGTAGAAATATTTTGTTTGATTTATACGATCAAAAAAAATATCGATTTGATGACAAATTCACCACTTATGTAAAAAATTATTCTAAAATTTTTAAAAAAGTTTGTATTATGGCTAAGTCTAATTATTTTAATAAACAAATTAAGCAGTCTTCTGACAAAATTAAAACCATCTGGAGCATTATAAATAAAGAAACTGGAAGATCTAAAATAGCCTGTAATCAATTTACATTAAATTATGATAATAAATTAATAACAACAACAAAAGATGTAGTTAATATTTTTGAAGATTTTTTTATATATTCCGATTGATATTATGGACTCATCTCAATCTCGAGCAAAAAAATTACTAGAGACTAATATCGGTTGTTGTTCTTTAAGATTTAAATTTTCACATGTTAGCCCCTTTCATATCATAAAAATATTCAAACAGCTAAATTTAAAAAATACGGAAGACCTTTGGGGCATGTCTGTAAAAGTAGTTAGTTCTTTCATAGATATTGTTGCTCCATATCTAGCCACTATTTTTAATAAATGTATTGATAATGGCGTTTTTCCACATTTAATGAAATTTAGCAAATTAATCCCACTATTTAAATCAGGAGATAAATTTGAGCCAGGGAACTATAGACCTATATCTATTTTGCCAGTTCTAAGTAAGGTGTTTGAAAAGATAATGTTAAATCAAATGTTACATCACTTCAGGGTTAACGGACTGCTTCACAGTCAGCAATATGGTTTCACCGCCGGCAAGTCTACCACTGACGCAGGTGTTGCGCTAATGACACATATTTTCGAATCTTGGGAGAGGTCACAGGATGCACTCGGAGTTTTTTGTGACCTATCAAAGGCATTTGATTGTGTGGATCATAAAACGCTTTTGTACAAGCTCGAACATTATGGTATAAGAGATAATGATCTAAAATTAATGAGAACTTATTTAGAGGATAGGGTTCAAACTGTAGATATTGACGGTGTAAAATCTTAGGGAGCTAATATTAAGATGGGCGTTCCACAAGGGTCAATCTTAGGCCCCTTTCTCTTTTTAATCTACATAAATGACCTTCCCTTTATGGTAGAGAAAATTGCAGATATAGTGCTGTTTGCGGATGATACTTCGTTAGTGTTTAAAATTGGACGTCAAAGTAATCAATTAGACGATGTAAATTGTGCTATGTCTGCAATATTAAATTGGTTTACATGTAATAACCTATTATTAAATTCCAGCAAAACAAAGTGTATAAAATTTACACTTCCTAATGTAAGACTAATAAATACACAGTTATTGCTTAATGACGAAATAGTAAATTTTGTTAATGATACAGTTTTTTTAGGTATAACAGTGAACTCGAAATTACAATGGGGGCCCCATATTTCAAAATTGGCCAGTAGACTCAGTTCTGCTGCATATGCAATTAGAAGAATTAGGCAATTAACAGACGTGGCGACGGCTAAACTTGTATATTTTAGTTATTTCCATAGCATAATGTCTTATGGCATACTGCTGTGGGGTAAAGCAGCCGATATAAATACTATATTTGTTTTACAAAAGAGAGCCATACGTTCTATTTATGGTATGGGTTCAAGAGAGTCATTACGTCAGTGCTTTAAAGACTCAAATATCCTCACAGTTACTTCACAATACATTTATGAAAATATTATGTATACACGGAAGAATTTAGCGAGTTTTAAAAAACTCAAAGACTGTACAAGTAGAAACTTACGCAATATAAATAAGCTTATTTTACCTAAATGCCGTCTGCACAAAATCAGTAATTCATTCTATGGTAATTGCATAAGATTTTATAATAAACTGCCGGAATCTGCATTAAATCTGACAGAGAGGCAATTCAAATCTTATATTAAACAATTTTTATGTAAGAAAGCCTATTACAGGATAGACGAATTCATAGATGACAACATATCAAGTAAATAATTAGTTTATTAGCATACAACGTTATAATTTTATTTTCTCATTGCTTTCTTGATTTAATTGATTAATTTTAGAAATATGAAAGCGTAGCGGTTTTTTGTATTAATTGCCGCATGCATTCTTATGTAAAATGTGAATACTATAACTATCAGATGGCAATTGTGAGTAGCTTTGACGTGGTCTAGTGTTTTGAGTAGTCATGCTCACTAAAATGTCCAGACTTGTGGCGGCGTGGTGGGCCGGGTCATTGGGCTCCCTAAAATATGGTCGAGCGCAGTGATGGCTGGCTCATCCGTCATACTCGTGAACGGGTGCTGCTTGTAGGGACTGGTCTGCTCTAATCACTATGACTGATTTCCTCTTATTAATTGTTTAACCAGTTGGTTATGTATTCAATTTTTTTTTACTTTTTGAGTATTTAATTGAATTAGTGCTAATTGGTGGTTTGTATTCACACAATTAAACTTAAAAATGTAAAATAATAATAAAATTATTTAAAAGAGCATCACGCAAGTTTCTTGCTCGTTCTTCTTGTGATGAGACAGCTTTCCGAACGAGCGGTAAATTAAAAAAAATGTAATGACTTTTCAAAAGTGCTTCAATGTAAGTTTATTTGAATAAATGATTTCTATTCTATTCTATTCTATTCTATTCCAAAAAGGATATATTAAGGTTTCTTCAGGGTTGGCCACACGCACGTGACACCCCTTGTGTTTCAATGGTCTATAGGCTACAGTGACCATTTACCATTAGATGGTCTGTATTCTTGTTAGCCACCTTTGTGATATAAAAAAAAACCTACGTCTTTCTCCTTCTCATATGGTATATTAGTGATTGGTTTAGCTGTTAAGGTACTAAGTACAAACAAATAAACTCACTTTTGGGTTTATAATATTACCTGTGATATTAATAAGATTAAGTTAATATAACACAGGAGTAAACTCTACTGACAGCAAAATTAATGAATAAATTCAATTCTCTCACCCATTATGTACCGACATAGAAAATTATTTTTGTAATAGACAAGTCTTATTTCCGTTTTGGTTTTACTTGTATATAAACTTTGTCACTCTTTTATTTATTTTTTGGAACAAAAAAAGGATTTTTCTGTGAGGACAAACGATGAAACGATTTGTATAAAGCTGATTTTATATAGAATTTACAATTAGAAAGGAATAAATAATTAGCAATACCGTAACGGTTTATTTATATTCTATTTATATATATAATTACCCTTCGTTTTCTTACTAGCCAGTGTCTCACAACAGGTGCATACAGTCTCTCATCGTAGTGTACTTCATGATTATTAACTATAAATGTTATTATACATGCTATGGATACAGTTATTATGCATCCAAATGCCGTGAACCAGAAGTAAGAGATGCGGTATAAGTACGGCACTTCGCTGAAAAATAAAAATTGGTAATTTAATAAGTAATAAATAACAGATAGTGGCTAGGTATTATAAGATTTTTTTTATTGTGATGTGTGAATTGCAATTAGTATGGTAGCATAAACATAATTGTTAATTCTATTATGTATTATGCTTTTAATATCAATAAACGACAGTCATCATTTATTATAAAGTTAGCCACAAAAAATACAGATGAATACAAAACATATAAATAAACCTACTTCGTAGTATATTCCGTACTGTATGATATCGACTCAAAAAAATAAGTACAATTATGTGTAAATCTTGGTTTTTCATTAAATTTGAGTAATCCTTCAGCTTGAGCTAGTTGCGATTGTGCTGCCAACCACCAAGCACAAAATAAGCCTATAATTCCACCGCTCAGTGCCGGCTGCAAAACAAATATTTCGTAATTAATTTTTAAAGGAGTTATTATCAAATAAAAAAAAATTGGTGGCTATTAAAAATAATGAAATCGGAACGATATTTATTTTTCAACTTGTAACTTATAATTTATTTGATGGATTCTGATAAAATATGTAATAAATTATATTTCATGCTTATAAAGGAAGGTACATATAGGTAAGATGTAGAATGTTAATAGCTGAAATGATGATGATAGGTAAGATATAAGTAAGAATACTTGAGTGGAAACGAGTTGAGATAAACATAACAAACAAAGACACTCTATTAGATAGCGCGTGATGAACTAACTCAAACGTGTTGCAGGGAGTTGATGTCAAGCATGAACGAATTCGATATTTACCAATGGAAAATACACTACTATGTTAGTAATGTATTTTCCACCTTTTAACGATGTTAAGAATACTCACTGTAGAACCAACAATAGGTAAAAATATGCCCATGAGAAATATTCCAGTAAGTGGTCCCATCGACGCTGAAGACAAACTCATTGTCAGTTGGAGTACAGAACCCAATCTTTCCACAACAAATACTAGACCTAATTAAAAGGAAATCATTGCTTTAGGAAAATATTTATAATTATAAACAGTTTTTTTATTTAAATAAAGTAGGGATAAGTAGACATTTGATTTGGAACTGAATATCGTATCCAAACTAGAAGAAGAATGACAACTTGTTATTCTTCGGTGGCAAAGATGCAACAAACATCTGTATATTTCGGTCTGTTTGCTCATCATGCAATTATTTTAAATGTGATAGATTACGAACATGGTTATAGATAACTAACATGGAGTTTGATTCTTAGTTTCATTTAAAGTATTTAGCATTTTTTTTTAATCACTACCATAAAATTACACCAATGGCCTGGCTCTCTAGCTAGGATAGGAACCAGGCAATGAATATCTGGGGATACAACTGATTGGAGCAATTATTAACAAATTTTCTAGGACTCCTTACCGAGGCATATAACACCTAGTATTACTACAACCGATCTTATAAGTAATTGAGTTTCTCGTTGTGTTAGCTTCCTGAAGAATGGTTTCCAAAAGTCTTCAAGCACTACAGCAGCCATTGAGTTTAGTCCAGTTGATAAGGAACTAAAAAATTATGACTTTACTATAAACAATAAAAACAGAAATATTTACAAATTTTGTATGTAATTATCTATTTTAATTCAATAACTTTCGGATTAACTTACGTGTAATTTGGTCGAGAAAACTTATCTAGTTTCAGGATTCTTAGTAAATTACATGTAAGTTAAATTGGTAGTTATTACATTAAAATATAATATGTGCTCACGAAACATTTAACAATAAAATTTAGATTTCGTTCAGCTTTTTCCATAAGGGAGGTTTTGCCAGTAGTTGTCACGCAATTAGGTTTTTACAGATATTTTAAGACGGACGCTATTTTTCATCCCTTCACCATAAGTTTCCTTAGTCGCTTCTTACGACACCCACGGGAAAGGATGGGGTGGTCTATTCTATGCCGGGACCTATTATATATATATAATTTTATTTAAATCATAAATAATTCATACACGTCATAGCAAAAACCTGAAGCGGGAATTGAAAATATTAGTCTCTTTTTCATTATTTTTACAATTTATTTATGAAAGTAGGGATATATTATTTATCCATTGAACAATTAAACAATTTTTTTAATGTTTACCTTAGAGCGGCGCTGAATACTCCAGCTACAAACAATCCAGGCATCCCTTTCCATTCCGTCAACACATCCATCACAAGTAATGGTAAAATTTGGTCTTTCGCCAATGCTAATTTTGAGTTCAGTGGATCACAATCATAGTACCGCGCAAAAGCTACCAGACCACTATATGCGCATATAAAAACGATAAATATCACTCCACACAAAAATCCCCAAACAGCTCTGGAAAATTTTATGTAGTTAATTAGATAAAGTAATCTATATCTATACTAATATTATAAAGAGGAAATAGTTCATTGTGATTTGTTTGTAATAGATAAATTCATATATTGCTCAGCCGATTTTATAAATTCTTTCACCTATAGAAAGCTACAATATTAATGAGTGACATGGGCAAACAAGCAATACTGCATAAGCTTATTTGTCGACCTTTGTTTTTAATATAGGCTACAGTTATATATTTCAATATATATAAACCTTAATATAAATAACTACTCTATAAGTTACCAATAATTAACTTATTCATTAATAAAGTTATAGATAGTATCTAGTACATATTATATTTAATACCTTTTAGAAGATTTCAAATCTGGTAAAGATAGAAATCTTTGCATCATTGATTGATTAACAGCGATGTTGCCAATCCAATAGAAAGTGGATCCAATTGATAATGACCACAATGAGTGTCTCTCCGTTAAGTCCAAGCTTGCACTATAAGCAAAAGATACACAAGTAAAATAATGTAAGGTTATGGTTAAAAAAAAAACCGACTTCAAATGCGGTAAAACTTCCTTACTTTGGTATAAAAATTAAACTAATCAAGCGATTCTGATAAAAGGATTTGAGTAAGTATATTCTTTCACGTAAGAGTTTTCTAAATCGGTTTATAACTGACGGAATTATGAAGTAACAAATTTAGATAACAAGAATTAGTTCTAATTATAAGTTTTTTGTTTAATTTTTTTACAGTTGAAGGGTCCCACTATTGATCATGATCTAACCTTATAGAAAATGATGATGTGGTCTAAGATGGAGCTTGTAGATCCACGAATACAAAGCAACAGTAGTAATAATATTAATACACGGAAAATAATTTGAACATTCAAAGTTTCAATAATATATAATTATTATTTAAATATTGTAATTATAATTAAAGATGAAAAAATGATACTCGTATATATGTGTATAAACAAATTTTTACGTAACAGTTTTTTTTTTATGGATGAAAATGGTATGGTAACCCCGCCTGCGCTAACGGGATACGCTGGCGGAGCACCAGTGAAGGATGATAGATGACAATGAAAACAGGTCCGTTAGCTCATCATGATGAATTAATCAGGAATTAACCATGATAACTTCCAGGGGGAACCGCGAGGAGGTCGACCTGGTTAGGTATATTGCTAGCAATGGGATTCTCAGTCTCCATTACTAACAATCCCTTTCCCCCCTACGTAACAGTTAGTGAAGTGGCATGGTATTGGTCAGTAATAAAATCGTTAAGAAGAATAAGTACTATACCGGTTTATCTATCCATTTTGTCTTATAGGTATTTTATGATGAAAAATGGATGATCTATATTTGCGGACAAAAACTAAAGTATGAACAAAAGTATGAAAAAAGACAACACATTAAGTGTGTTGTCTTTTTCACTATTCATACAAAATATCCACATTAATTACAAAAAAATTATAGGACTATCATTCAACAATTTTTAAATCTTTACGTTGCTCATATACGAGTAATTACGTAATTATATCAATAATATAGGACTTAAGATCTGAAAGTCTATACTAAGACAAAATATTGTCATTATCGCTTTAAAATATTAAATCTTCTTCTCTTTTTAAATTAAAAAATATAATTTCATGGAGGATAATAATTAGTTGAAAATCTTGTATGTCAAACCTATTATGATCTAGGAATCTATTTCAATAATGGTAATAATGCAAGTTATAGATGCCGTTTGGAGGATGCTGGGAATTTATTTCTCGTGCTTACGATGGTAATTCTATACGGCCAGTATCCCAGTTTCTTTTGAAAACTTCGTCGAATCCACCAACAGTAATTGAACCCTGAATAATTACTAGGATCATCGCACAGATCATCACGAATGTTTGTATCACGTCTGTCCAAACAACTGCTTTAAGACCTCCCTGAAAACAAAACGAATGCGATTGATTTTGTGTAAAACAGTTCATTCTTATAAAAATAAAGATATTGCCACGATGTACCAACACACAAAATTTAGATTTTAGAGAATAGACTTAAAATCTCTTTCAAAATGTATGTATTATATTAATGGAGTAGTAATTCTCTTCCTTTGAGGCTGAAATTTCTGTTCAGATTATAATCAAAATCTTATGTGTAAATTTTAAAGTCCCGATTTTTAATTTAATATTTAAATAAAATTATTCAACGCATTTGCTTTAAGATAATTACCTCAAAAATACCTTTTTAGTATTATCCAAGTATGTAATATTATTCACAATTTTAGATATGGAAATGTAATAATTATTGAAATTAAAATGCTAACGACAAGTAAATAATAAAAAGGCATCTATAAAGTACTTACCAAAGAAGTGTAAAATATACAAACGAAGCATACTATTGGAGTCACAATATGAATATTCACTCCCGTGACTGCAACAAACATAATTAAATGTAATAGATTCTTTAAAAATTTTACTAAATGTGGTATTTTTATTATATTACCTTGGTTGAAAGCTAGCGCTGGGACATAAATGACGATTGGAAGCCAAACCACCTGAAATAAGTATAAAATAATTAATCCAAATATCTCACCTAATGGAAAGTTTCAACATTGATATGAACAGCGGCATGGTATTTGTTTTGCTTCAGAATAATTTGAAGTAAGTCTTGAACTGAATAATTAAAATTTATAAAGCAGTGCTTTTTTTTTACTATAGAATACTTACCAAATATAAACTAAATATAACCGATCCAAACATTCTTAATCTTTTATCGTATCGAAGCTCCAAGTACTGAAATAATTTGAAAGAATAGATTTGTTATTACTGACAAAACAATCTTGAGATTCTTGGTTCAATCCACTGTTGTACTGGGAATGATAAATGTCTTTTGTGAAGTAGAAATCTTGAAATTAAAATGGCATTCTATCCATAAGTATTATGGCATGACATATATATTCATTACTATTGTTTTGTATGTCAGTACATTGTACATCAGTACATTTATTACTTTTATTATTATTTTCAGCCGTTAACTGTCCACTGCTAAACATAAGCCTCCCCCATAAGGGAAGTTTTGCTAGTAGTTGCCACGCTTGACAGACGGTTTGGCAACCGCAGTTAGGTTTTTACAGATGTTTTAAGAGGGATGTAGCTGCCCATCCCTTCACCATAAGTTCCTTTAGTCGCCTCTTACGATACTCACGGGAAAGGAAGAAGTGGTCCATTCTATGCCGGGACCTATACGGCGACATGTTAGTATATGCACTGTCATATTCTATTGAAACACGTTTGAATATTACTTAAATTACTAAGATTTAGATTATTTAAGAGAAAACTCTACTGAAATCCGTTCCTTCGTACTCGGAAGTGATATATCCTTTTATATGTGACATTTTAGTTTCATTAATATCTTATTGTAATATTTTTATATTTGAATTGAGTGTTTAATTTATCTTTAATACCTCATAAGCTGATGTAATTTGCAAATCATGCAGCACCGGCAGGAATGTGTACGAGATTATTACGGACATCATCAAGGCACCCATTAAAAAGAACAAATATGAAGTTCCATACACATAAAGTTCTGTTGGAGTGCCCAGAAGAGATATGCCTGAAATAAAACTGATAGGACGTATTCACGTTATTTATTATCTTATTTTATTTTGCTTTTAGATATAGTAGTGTAGTAGACATTCGCTGTAACCTTTATAACTTATTCTTAATCTTAACAATATTCTCCAAATAGGGTTATTAGATACTACTTATATATGTATACATAAAATTCCAGTATATAGCACGGCATGATTATGAATATCTATATATTACTAAAGCGTACTAATCTACATTTATAAAAATCCTTTTTACTTAAATTCTTTTAAATTGTTTTGATAAAATTTTTCTTTACTAGGCGGAAAAATATTTTATTTTATTTAAAAGAAAAGAAGTCCTAGCTATATTTATTTCATGCATGTAATTGATACAGTTATCAGTATATTTGGTCACCCTGTGATATCGGATATTAGACTAATTTTTGTACTTACCTTGCAACCAGTGAAAAACAAACTGGAAGTAATTTCATATTTCTTCCACCCATTAAGTAATCTTGAGTAGATTTCTGTTTGTTTACAAAACCGAAATAAATGCCAATACCTCCACAAATTGTTAACATTACAACAAATACGGAATAGTCTAGCCATGTAAAATGTTGGAAGGATTTTCTAACAAACGAAACATCTATTTTATCCATAGTGGAAATATCTACTTTTTTATTGTTTCAAAGACTACAGTACTGTTGTGCCGACATCTCGAGCAGGTATGATTGAATGTAATGTCCTGTAAGACCAATTTTTCAATTTAACGTCTCCGATTTTCCTACGCAAGACGCGTATGGTTATTTTAGTCTAGAATTGTTAATATCCGTCGATTGTTAAAAATAGATGCTAGTCATGTTGCCAAGGATGTGAGTAATAATAAGAAAACCTTAAGTTTTAAACTACTTAGGAATTGTTCAATATGATGCCCACAGCTACTTTTTACCATCGTACGGCTCGCCATCGACAGGGAGTTCATCCTCATGTCCTACAGCCTCAATGGTCGCGTACTGCGCGGTTTCAGAGATGTTTCCTCCCACGAACACTCAGGTTGTGGAATGAGCTCCCTGTCGAGGTTTTTCCAAGAGACTACAGCATGAGGTTCTTCAAAAGGGGAGTAAAGAGGTTTCTTCAGGGTCGGTAACGCACGCGTAATACCTCTGGTATTGCAGGTGTTCATAGGCTACGGTAACCACTTACCATCAGGTTGGCCGTATGCTTGTTTGCCACCTCAGTGGTATACAAAAAAAAACTTAAATTTTAAATTTTGCATAGTAATCTTAAACTTGACTTGTTTATAATACTCGTAATATTACTGAGCATTGTCTAACTTTTTTCATTTGTTTAACAAAATTTAATTTTTTTTTAATGTAGTAAGTTAAGTCAAGAAAATAGGTAAATTTCTATAGACAAGAAGCAAACGATAAATAAGGTTTATTCGTCATGCATGACAAAGAACGTGATGTCAGATATTGCTATTCCATTCTATCTCAAATACGCGATAGCGTTAATCTATCTAAAGACAGATTCAAAGGAATACAAAAAATAAAGGAAAAGTCTTTTAATATAGAAGACTTGCGAGAAAAGAACATTCTGTTTTTAGCCATGTATGCATCTAACAGAAACGTATCTATAGATTTGACTATGATTTATCGAAAGGAATTAAAGTAATACGCTTGATTTGCCTAAATTTAGCTAAACAGCTCCAATTACTCATATTTCGAAAAAGACAAACTTTGGAAAATTTTGAAATGAGATTTGGAAACTAGTTTATTTATATGGGTGACAGTTACACTTTTTATTATATAGGTAGTTAACCTATTTGCTATTGCCAGTACAACAACAAAAGAAATAATGTGATAAAATTAAATAACTTTTAATTAAATTACAGTCTAGTCTTAGATTATAAGTATTATATATCTTCCAGTAACTTCAAGCAATAAATAGAATTACTCAATAAAATAAAAGCGCTCATAGTACATTCTAATTTTGCTAAGTTAAAGTAACACTAAGAAAATGCTGTATTTTGTACTTAAATAGGAATGTAGGTTAGGTACTTTCTATCACAATTGATTGGGATGTTTCAAGTTCTTCGAGACTCTTCTTTGAGATGATTCTGATGGACTGCCTTCTTCAGGTTTTATCGTAGTGACGCTAGGTTGTACGGGTTTTGTTGAGTTCAATTTGTTAGGTAGATCTAGAAGACTACTCAAAAATGCTACTCCTTGTTCGGCAGTTTGGTAGACGCCTAGTAAGAATGATTCTGCGTCAAATTGGTTAGGATCTTCTGTGTTGTCTTCTTGCTCTGTAGTTCTGTAATTGAAAAAAATTATATTCATAAGAATGTAATGGTAATGCTTAGTGGTAATGTAAAAATTCCTTGACAAAATTGTTACTTTATTAGGTTAAGATAACAGTTTTTGAAATAATATTTGTTGTAAGTTTTTTATAAATGAAAGTAGACAACATGTGTTTATATTGTTTAAAACGATGAATTTTTTAAAGTATAAAGTCGTTTATTGTGTAAATAATTGACCAGAAGGTGCATTGTGGTTTCCTATAGAAATGTTTAAAACTTCTTTGATAAAGGACCTTATATGTATGTTTATGTATATATTTCACGAATCTAATAGAAATAAACTCAATCTACATTTTTACTTTGATGAAACGGCTAGATATATGTTCAAATGTACACAACTACTTTATTTTTTAAATAAGTAAAAATAGCTATGAGTCTATGTAACAAGAATGGGATAAAAACGCCATTACGTTATTGAGGCTTGCCTGTGATAACTTGAATTAAAAATATATAGCACATTAATATAGTAGCTATATGACCATTTATATATAAAATTGTAAAACAAATGCATTCAGTTATTTAAGCTTTTTTGCGTAAAAAATATATAAAAAAATAGTCCAATACTTTTCATCCTTTTGCATTTTCATATCATCATCATCTTTATCTCAGCATTTATCCGTTTACTGCTGAACTTAAGCCTCCCTCATAGACTGCCATAAAGAACGATTCTGAGCCACCTGCATCCTATTAATATTATATGGCTATAAGAGAACATTTGTATAAGTATATAATATTAGTAATCGTAATTCTATTAATATTGTTCTATATGTATTGTAACTATTTAGTAGTATTATTTAGAATGAACCACAATAGTTATTATTCAATAATATTATATGCGAATGTGAAAGTATAATATTTATTGCAAATATCAGCTTTATCTACTTACGATTCTTGCTCAGCGGGTGGGTCTTCCATCTCCATACCACCGGCGGTGGACTTGAAACAGCCGATTGGAAACTCTAGTTGGGATTCTCCAAGAAGCTTTGGCTCTAAATCTAAGCAACCACGCAGACCATCAGCTGTGGGCGCCAGATCGCTGAATTTAGCACAGAGCTGGGCGAATTTACCGAAGACTTCTAAGCATATAGGGGCTGGGTTTGCGCCTGCAATATGATAGGTACATTTTCATATTTTGTGATAGACGATCACACTGGTTGAAGACATCATTTTACTGAAACTAGGTGTTATTTTGCGGAAGTCCACATCACTGGTTCTTTGATTAATATTATTTTGTTTAATTCCGCTACCATTAGTTATATAGTTTATGAAAATGAAAATGTTACTCAGTTTTTTTGCCGAACGGTTAACATTAGGCTCTAAGCAACGGTCTAATAATGTGCCTGAAGATACCTCATTTAGAGACGAAACACGTACTGCAAAGCGTGCATGAATAAAATGGCAGTTGAAGATTGATGTGGAATGTAATGGTATGGAAAGTAGTGGAACTTCTGGTAGTAATAGTAATAGTGGTGGTTAATCTATGAGCATTGGCGGTCACACACATACTAATGGTAGCGGAATTAAACAAATAACTAGTGAAAGCACAAATAACCAGTATATATATATATATATATATATATAAAATATTCAAAATATTTTATTATATTGTATTATATATATACTTCATAATGCATTCATGAAATTTCGAAGAAATATTTTTTTATGCAACTTAGAACGGCAAACAAGCAAATATATTTGATTAATATATTTTATATGATTATACATATATTTATTATACTTAAATGCCATTATTTTAATTTAAATAAGTTTTGGATTATCAATTATAAATAAAAAATAAAATAAACATTACGTAGTCATTAGGGATTACAGTCGTAAATGTAATTATTTATTTCTTCTTTAATATTTAAAAATTTCTATGATTTTGTAATTTTATAGAATAAAACTTTATAGTGATAACATAAAAATAACAAAAAAATATGTAGTTATACATACAATAAACGTAAAATTATAAGCGTGTATATGAGAGGGTAACTTATTTGTACCAACCAGGTAACTTTCTTCAGACATTAACCAGCTTGAAAACAAGTAGGAAAGGAAAATCGTTCATAAGACAACTTTCTAATTTAATAAACTCTACCTACTCAGCAATGCAGTGTATTTGCACATGAATTGGTAAGTATATTTAAATTATATTGAAAAAATAATTTTTTTAGTTATGTTTTAGTTCAATATGTTTTGTATTTTTTATGGATGTGATTTTACACTTTTTTTTCCTCATTACTTTTTATAAATATCAACCGTAAACAAAATAGGTATTTAGTTATTTTTTTTACACAAAAGACCTACAATAAAGAATTAAAGTTTTTAAAGAATGAAGAAATTTTAAAGAATTAATATGAGATAGTATTAGAAATTAACAAAACTTTCTGAAAGAAATTAGGTAATAAGATTTTTTTTATACTACTGGTAAATAAGCATACGGCCCGTGTGATGGTAAACGGGGTTACCGTAGCCGATGGACACCTATGACACCAGGGATATCATGGACGCGTATCATTATAAAACCTTAGTACGCGCTTTTTGAGGAACCCCATGTATCTGAAGGTAAAGCCTTAGCTGGAAGATTATTCCACAATCTGAGTGTTCGCGGCAGAAAGTTTTTCTGAAACTGCACTGTGCGTGAACATTCTGGCTCTAAGGTGTGAAGAAGAGGTTATTCCCTAGCGATAGCGAACGGTGCGATTGTGAAAAGAAATTAGTCTATTTCTGATTCGTATTACTATCAGCAATCAGGAAATCAACAGGCTTTATGATTATGTCAATTATTAGTGTTATTTTTTTCTAAGAACTATTTGAATAGACTATATATAAATAATAATATATGTAGTACTTGAGACTAATAAAAATGGCGAAAGATTTATTTCGTATTTTACCTTGTATTTTCGAGCTATGTAGTAGATTTTTGCCATACGATACTTTCACTGAAAATCCTTCATCGGGAGACACGTATTTCATATGCACACAACCTGAAAATATGATATAATAAAAATATTACAAAGATGGTAGCCAAACGTAATGTGTTATTATATTATCTCAAACAAACTAATAACTATAGTAGCCATAAATATTATGATACTTGTTTAGGTTCAAAAGTAAGACAAATTTCAGGCTAAAAACTACAAATGTAAATTCTTAATTATCAATAATTATCTGTAATAATTGTATGTTTGACTCCTTGTTGAAGTTATTATCACTGTTATTACCAGTGTAGGTTTATTACAATTATTGATTATATCGCAGATATATACAAAAATGATTTTAAACATTAATAGACATTCTTACCTTTTTAGTAATTTTATTAATAAATAAAAAAGAAGTAGTAAAAGTATGGAGTTGTTCAATTAATTAACCAACCAACTAAGAATTTTAAATAATTAAGAAATATTGGTCTTCTTGGAGTCCTAAGAATATTTAAATTGAGGTAATTTTTTAATTAAATTATTAATGATATGTATAGTTAATTGTTATTCTTTTTCAACAGTTACCTGGTCCACCGAGGTCAACGAGAGTAATATTGAAGTTAACACAGCACACGCAGGCTGGCCCCTTACACATGCAGTTGCGGTTAGGTTGATCATTGCGCAGTTCCGGTACTTCGATAAGTTTTTTGCCATCTTCCCAGTCTAGGTAATCTGTGGATAATAACAGAATGATCTTTATTAATAACATATTAATTTTTATATTATGTAGGCAGTATCTAGATGTAAAATTACTTTGGTATGAGGTATTTAATACAAGAATATAAATTATAAATACACTAGCGTTTGTTCCCGACTTCGTATGCGTGAAGAAAACATACATCAGACTTTTAGTTTGATCTTTAGGATAACAACATTCACAGTTATTGTCCTGAAGAAACTGCATTATATTAATTAAGATCCTCTATATTAATTTTTCTTAAATTGGCCGCAAATATAAAAAAAAGTAAATAAATAAGCAGTGAATTATATAAATATAAATATTTTTTATATAACTAAGTTTGTTGTCAGTGTATATGTCATAATTTCAATATAAAATAAGACTAATGAATTGTGAAATAAAATTAGAAAATGAGACATGGTCATTTAATTCATATGAGTAGTTATTCAAATAAAATGTTCTAATATACGACAAAAGAAATAGAAAGCTCTAAAGTTATATAAGATTTTGGTAGAAATAATTGCAACCTCTTTAAGCATTCCATATTACGAAATTTTCAACGCTTTTACCAAACACGCAATGAAGTAGCTGACTAAAACAATACGACCGTTTTTGTGGTGCACTCAGCTATGTACATAATGTCATTCATAGTTTTTCACAACCAAATATCATACGCTTTCGCGTAGCATAAGTTTCTACTTTCACTGCGTTGCGTGCGGCTCTTGTTGGGCAAGTCATTGACCGACAGATAACAATAGAATATTTTTGTCAGTTAGATATTATGATGTAAGGTATACATTACTGACATTTCGTAAAGTAATACTTGAATAATAATAAATATTATATAATAATTATTCCAAATATATTATAAGCAATAACAGTGTCCGTATCTTAGAGAAGTTTAGTATTTATTAATGTTAATTTTACTTTATTTAGACCCTATACTAAAAATCGCATTAGTTTGTACCATTCGTAATCCCTACTTGTAAAATATTCAAGAAATAAATATATAAGTTAATTTAAGTGAAATAGCACATTTTTTTCAAAAATATTTTTTTAATTGATACCAATGTCGCAATATGAAATTGTTTTCTTATTTTTAAAATTGAATAAATATTTGATATTTTTCTTCACAAATAAAACAATTGGTGACTTAATTCTCTTACTTTATTTACCAATTAAATCTTTTTGTAAGCATTAAAACAGTCTTTAAGACACAGTCTGTAGACAATGTAAATAGTGATATTTTTAACTGTCATAAAATTAAAATTGAATCTTTTTTTAAAGAAAAGAATCCACTTCAAAAAGTAAATTTATTTATATGCATAACGTGAAAAAATATTGCAGTACATTTAATATCAGTTTAAAACGATCCGATTAATTTATTGACAATAAAAAGCTTTACTAATCGTTAATGGGCCATGACTTATTGAAGGCTTTTTTTCTATTGTGTCACCATAATATCATTATCATAATGAATAATCATTCAGCTGTTGTATTCACATCCACTTTCTAATCAATTACGATGGTAATTTGTAAGCAGTACTCACCCAAAATGCTCGTGCCTTGCACCACCGCGAGCACCGCTATAAGAATCGAAACTGCCAGTTTCATTGTCCACTTATAGGTTACACGAACAAATAAGAATATTAAATGTAAACCCGCGATTTATAAGGACTTCTTAAGTGTTGGTACGACGGGTAAGGCTGAGAGGCGACCGTCGCAAGCGCCAAGTCGACACTGCTCCTTTTCTCGAATCTCAGCCCGTTTCACCACACTCACAATAGAAGGTGAAATTTAAATAAAACATAACGCAGTATAATAATGACATGCATCAGTGAGATGCATCGAGAAAGCGTTATACAACTCTACGGATGAAGGCAGATAGATTTTGGTTTCCAAACTGCTTTCCATAATTCCGATCATACCCAACTAATATTATCAATTAATATGAAAGTTTGTAAACATTAACGTATTTGAATGAAATTTGGTATTTAGATATAGTAAATAAGGGAAAACCTGATATGTTATAGAGAATTATTTTTTTGTATTGTATAATTTGCGAATAGTTTTGTTATTCCTTATTCTTGAGTTTTATAATCTAATTGGGTTTGCTTATAAATATATTTCATCAAAATAATCATAAAATATTTGACTGTTTATTTTTTTTGCTTCATGCGATTTCTTTGCCAATTCTGCACAGATTTGAATCATCGAAATGATTCAAATAATTACAGAAACGCATGAAGGATTTCTCACGATTAACGTAACGCAATACTTATAATTTTACCAATTATGATGATTCGATTTACAATTAGAACTGTTTTTCCCCTATTCAGACTTTGTTTACGTAAATATACTTTATAATCTGTTCAGATAATTAAATGTGATAAAGTTTCAAACATCTTTTGAAACTTTCACATTAGTAATTTAACAATATTAGTTCAGTAGGATTAGTAGGAAAGTAAATATACAATGGAGATAGTTGGCTAACTGGTACCATGCTTCGATAAAGGTCAAGTCAATGACTCTTAAATGGATGTCATACCTGGGAACTAGTAAAACAGGGCGTTTTGTTAGGGTTGGTTCAAACAAATCTAGAATTACTGTATTATATTTTATTTGTGGCTTTTATACTCGTAATGATTGTATTAATTTCTATTAATGAACACATAGGTGATGAAAAGTGAGCATTAGAAAAGTCTTGGGAACGAGAAAACTTAATTTGGTGAGAATTTTTTATTTGTTACCTTATAACTTCTTTTACATGATTGGGATATTTCCACATATGAAAAAAAGTCTATGTCCTTCTTTCTCCATACAGTACTTGTATACCTTCTAAATTTCTTAGAGATTAGTTATGACGTTAAGATGCTAAGAGGTGACAAATAAACACATTTTCATATTTATATATTTAGTAAGGATTTAATTTGTACATTACAAAGATAAGGCAGTATTAAAATAATAATATATAAATATTGTGAACAAGGGAAGGCTTATCTCTGTTTATCGAATCTAAAGTATGTTTCATTGCGGGAGGTAGCCCTAATAAATACTTGACTGTATGTTGTAGTTAGTGGTAAAGTTATAGGTACTTCGGTGAATTTATAGACATCTCGAATGGAAACTCTTAGTAACATCGTGTTCTCATACAAATATTTAAGTGGTAACTTTCCTCTGCAAATATAAATAGAGCGTTAAAATAAAAATGGATCTCATTAATAAATCTCTCCTGGATCTGAGCCATAAATGTTAAAAGTGCATTAATAATTTTACTAATTTATACATTGGTCTGGCCGTACTTTAATATTTTTATTTTAATTTAATATTACACCTCGAATTAAAATTTTATATTTACAATAATTAAAATATATTATATTTACAACATACACAACTGCTTCACGGTTGAAACACGAATGGGACCGAGGTACCCAAGCAATCGACTTTTGTACAAAGTCTCCCTCTGGTAGAGGTATATATTATTCATCATACTGATATAAGTTTATGTATTAATTACATACTTTTTTGCCTATATTATGTCTGTCAATAGAGGTGTTGCTATGCAGTAGCAAACTGTAATATATATAATATATGTTTGCTTTACTTGCAGGTTAATGTACTCTTAGAAAATAGTATTACTTGGTACCATTAAGTACCTAGTAATACTATTAACCTAGAAATTACAATGTACTTCTTTAAAAATATTTATTAGGAGCTGTTTAAACTCTACTCGTATATCTATTTTATTTACCAAATTCTAGCTTCGTACAAGTTTTATATTTTTAAGAGATTTCAGAAAGAAGAAACATTTCAGTTCGTTTATATTTTATATATGTTACGTTGTTAATAAATATTTTTGGAATCAATAGAGTTTACTCTCACGCTAGTTCCATATTAAATTTGTCACTATTGAATTAATTGTTTATTTTATATACCAAATTTAATTTTAATTATTAGTAGAACAGTAGTTTGAGAACGGCTTCCCAATGATTTCTTTCAACAAGTCGTAAAATTTTAAAATAAAATAAAAAGTCGAATCTGAGTAACTATTACGAAAATTTAAAGGGTTTTATAAGAAAGAGAAAGTTGAATACCGGTTTGTTTGTCTTTTTAAGAGACAGTACATATTATATAACATTCGAAAATAAATAATTTTGAAAGGTACGCCTAATATAGCTTTTATTTTTGTATTTTAAACGAGTTTTAATAATAATACAGATTGGATAAAATTTGCTGAGATAAAAAGCAGTCTATATCTTTATTCCAAATATAATGTGTTAAATCACTTAACGATTGGTTTAGCCATTATAGCGTTAAGAGTTAACAAACAATCCTACTGTCACATTCATAATATTATTTATTTGAATTTCAATACACTAATATATAAGGTAGTGTACGTACGGCAGACTCAACACCTAATGACGTTATTTACCAGTCAACGATGGGACAAATGGAGAATTCAGTAGGTAGTGCATCAATAAGGAAAAGATTATAGAGGTAGATGTATAGACGATGACGTACCTATAGGGGAAAGGAATAGTCAGTAATGGGGTCTAACAGTTCCATTGTTCGCAATATATCCTGTCAACTTGACCTCCACACGATTCGCCCTGCTAAATAACGTGGTAAATTCTCGTGAAATTTATCACGATGGGTTAACTGACCTGACTTCATCCTTACCTATCCTCTCTCATTATTGCCCTACTAGTGTATACCAATAGAGTAGATGGGGTTACCATTTCTTTTTTATCTATAAAAAATACATATCTATAAGAAAATTTTCTACAATATCATCTTTATATTACAACGCATATATTGACACATACAATAATACATATAATACACCATGTCTAGTGTTTACAATTTCTGTATTCATTAGTGTGTATTTATCAACAGATGAATCAGTGGTCCAACAAATAAAACATAAAATACCTACTCGATCCTGACTACTTTCTCCGGGTAGAAAGTGACCGCGCATACATAGCTGGCTTCTAGACGTTTGGGCGCTCGCCCATTGGCGGCCTTATTATACTGCTCTTGTATTAAATTGGTTATTATAAAAAGTAGTTTTAATTTAAGGTTTACACTCGTAGCTAATAAAATGGATGAAGTTCTTCGTTATTTGTTTATACATAAGTTAACCTCTTTTTAATTATTTTCATGTAACTCCAAAAAGTAGTACGTCAATAATATATATTCTTTATTGCACTTGTAAATTACATTGTTAATGCATTTATAAATATTGTGAGCAAGGGTCAATAATATTTGTGATGATATTTTGACCCGACCAAAAATTCAGATATCGTGTGAACAGGGACTGTATATATATATGACACTAATCGTGTCGTATTTTATTAAGATAACACTTGTGGATTTTGAATGTATTTATTAATGCATTTTTATATAATACATAAAATAAAAAGAATAAAATCACGTTTTATTCTGACCTCATATTTGGGATAGGGGCACGAAAAAGTTAAGGATAATGATGATAGCAGAATAAGTAATTATATTATTAAGATCATCATCATCATTTCAGCTATTATTTATTCACTGCTGAATATAGGCTATTATTGACAAGTGACTCTTGTCAATAAGATTGCCATTGTCAATGAGAGAATCCCCATAGTGTAATATTGGCAAAATATGAACTGTATTTAGTAAATTATTTTACTTCCGTGTTGGTTTTATATTAATTTTTAATCACAATTAAAGTCTTTGGTACTTTAAAACAAAAGCTTAACTCGTTGTAATTATATAAACTGATAAGGTTAGTAAATAAGATTATTTTAGAATGTATTAATATAAATGGCCATTGCACAACATGATTAGTATATCCGAGAGTAATGGACTCTTTATGGTCTTCTAGAATTTACCAGGAAAAAGAAACGCATCCGTGTGAGAGATTACGATGATCAATATCGAAAAGTGACACCAGTGCGTTATTTACAATTAAACTTGGTGTTTAAAATATGTTTAATCAATTTATAAAAAAATCTTTTAATAAAGCTATTCTCAATGAAGTAAAAAAAACCTGTCTTTCTTTGAAACTTTAAGTTGTTTAAGCTGAAACTTAAAATTAACACTCATAAAAGCTCGATAGTACGTTTTATATAAATAATTATTTAAATTATTGTAAATTTGTAATCCATTAAATATATATTTTTTGTACATGGTGCAATAAAGCGTAAATAAAAAATAATAATTTAAAATTTGCCATGTAGTCCATCCCTTCTTTTTCGTGGGTGCAGGTGGCGTATTATACATAGTGGAGTATTTTAATAATGTAATATATAATTGTTTTCACTTTAGTTATGTTTACTATGAAAATAACTACAGCCTGTTTGACAGTATTAGCCTGATTATACATGGATCACAGAATATATTCTAGTCCTCATGGTACCTATTATGAATTGCCATTCCTGAGAACTACGGATGGTTGATTCCAGAAACTACAGAAACACTAATGCAGTTGGTTTCCATGCAAAGTCTACCTTTTTTAGAATATTGAAGGAACAAATATATTTGCTGCGATTGTCTTTCCCTCTTCGTCGATAGGACAAAAGGCAATTTAATATTAACTGATTTTACTAACAGCAGAATGAAATTATCTAACACAAGTTTCTAACACATTGCAAATAAATTACATGTCAGAATGTTCGCCGTGAACTTGATCTAGGATAGAGACTATATAAAGTAATTGGGGCAGAACCGGGTTGGATAGCCAGCAAGTTATAAATAAAAGATTATTTCCTATTATTTTTCACAGGTTCTGAATATAACATGCATATGTTATAGTCAGGTATATAATATATATAAGGTATTGTTTATTTATTTTTATGTTAATAATCCAAGCGTCTGACACTGAATTCTACTTAACCGTCCAACTGCGTCGACTTTCACCTGTCCCTCACAATTCTGTTACGTGTGAAAGAGATGTCAAACCAACAGATTTCCTTTCTCGTCGTCTGTGGTACGTCACTGCGCATTTCTCTGGGTGCGAGTTGGTTAACAAATCAGTATAGTTGATACACCGCTGTTGTCCACATTTTAGGGCTCACTGTGACTTCACGTAATTGCATTTAATTGATTGTGAACGTTCAAGACGTGTGACCGTGGGCACTGTGACTTATAGTAGACAAGCCCTTATATTTTTTTGCATATAGGAGTCTTTAAGGAAAGGTTTGTACATATTTCTTTTTGTTGCTAATTAAGGATACTCAATTTTTGAGTAATAGTTTTTTTTATTTGTGATATGAATATAGGTTATTTATACATAAAAATACAAAAGTAATTTCTTTTTTAAATAAAAGATACATAATATTTATATAACCCCTTTTAGATAAAAAAAAGAATTGTTTTAATTTTTTTTTCATAAGAAGTAGTTTATTATGAAAACAAGAATATTTTCCAATTTAATATTGCAGATCATGCTTTCCTATATTAGTGATTAATAAAGTTAGTGAATATAAAATCGTATAATGGTAAATAAATATTTGGTTATATTTTTAATGTTAAAACAAGTGCGTGCGTATCGGCTTCATATAAACGATTTCAACGCGTCAACGGCCGCTTGCGACGACCCACTTTCCTGATTGATTTCTGTTTCATTAATTCCAGCTTTTCCTTATAACTTTATTTGAATAACTAGTTTCTATCCGCGAGTTTTTCCTCATGAACAGAATACGTTATTTAATTGGGATAAAAAGTAGTTTATGTTCTTCTCTATCCTATATACTACACATATGTACATTAAACTTTATGACTAATCGTCATATCGTTTAATTATTAAAACGCCAAGAGTTAATAAACACACACTTTCATATTTGTAATATTAGTAAGGATAGAACTGATTGTAGATGTATATATTGTAGATAAAATTTGATTTTAAAAGGTCGCTAAACGAGTTAATATTTTATAGTTTCAATAGTTGAGAAAAACTATACCTACACTCACTTCAAACTGTTATCTTTACTTTTATAAAATATTAGCTGCAATTTACGACTCTTTCTGCGCGAATCTACATATAAAGTATCCTGTATATTAAGTTGGGATATATGTACCTATTCATGTACGAAGTTTAATTCAAACTCGTTCAGCTTTTTAAGTTCGATTGAATAATAAATATACAAACATCTAAATATCCACAGATTTTTACAAACTTTCACATTTATAATTGTAGTGGGATAATAAGGGTGATTGAAGAATGAGTGTTATTGATTACTAGTTGCTTAGAAGAAAATTTACAGGAGCTCACAGAAAATTTTAAAGTTTAAGTACGCACAAGAATAATTATTTTTACAGAAAATATTTTCGCATTGCGTTGTTTTGTTTAATAGTTCTAAATATTATATAACAATAATTTACTCAGTTCATTGACCTGAGTAAACTAGTTATGAAATTTTGAATTATAAATCTCATCGACTTCTAATGATAGCATCTATGAATTATTAATGGCGCATAATGTTGGTTATTTAGAAATAAGATCGTGCACATTTAGCCATACTTTTGTTATATCTAAATATTAGAGAATAAATAATTTAGCTTTATATTTTTAAGGTTCTGTTGCCAATTAATTAAAATAATACATTTTAATGTTTTAACTTACGTGTATTTTATTTGAGAAAGCTCGATTAGTTTCGAGGCCAACCCGGACCCTTAATCATGAGCGGCTGTGACTGTTCGCGTTATAGCCGCTAATTACATTAAAACAAAACATGTTAGAATGTCGTTTCGCAGCGTCGTAATTATTAATTTTTAACTTGATTTTAAAGTTTGAACTTGAGAGTAAATTCCATGTAAGAGATATAAAGAGAGTCAGTAATCATAAGAAAATACAGAAAGGAAAGAAGAATGTCCATAGGCGACGGTTACCATTTTCTATCAGGTGGGCCGTCAGCTTGTTTGCCATTCTAAGTAGTATAAAAAAAAAGAAATAAAAAGAGAAGCACTAAGAGTGTTCGATGGTAGTTTGTTATACCTACCAATTTTCATGAGATGCTCTTCCTTTTTATTGGCCTTCTTTGTCATATAAATCAAATTAAATTAATAAACATTACGATGAAATTAACAAACCTGGTTTGTGGTTTTGATTAAGAAAATTGTAATTATGAGATTTAGACATACGAGTTCATATAACAATTATAGATAATTGTCGAAATATTCTTGGCAGAATTGTTGTATAATTTTTTACACTTGTTCGGTTTTCGATATCCTCTTAATGTATTGTTGTAAATGAAAATACGATTATTGGATCATTCATATTAGTTGGATAATGCATAATGAAATAAAATAAAATTCTATATGGCAATAATCTAAAAATCCAAAACATTATTTATATAATTTCGAAATAACTTAAAGTGCAATTGTAAATAAAAAATAGCAATTTTGTGTTTAAATAAAGCAAAATAAAATTCTATTTGTTTTTAATAGTAGTAGCGCACAATTGTTCGTAATGCATTATTTAACTGTGTCTTAAATTGACATGTATACGTTTTATTTTTTATTCCAAAGTATTCCTATATATTATTTGTATTTAATTCGTCATTAGATCTAAGGAGACTATATAATTAGAAATAGGTAGAAACATTTTTAGCTATTAAAATATTACATATACATTATATTACATCACCATTACGTATTTTATTATGATATTGTCTTTTACTTACCAAATTTTCATTTTCTTTTCCAGAGAGGGAGCTAGCTTTCAAGATGAAGCTCTCCCTAGTATTTGAGCTGTTGCTGATATTCGTACTACTAGCTTTTGCTGCGTCGAAGAGCGTAAGTAAGTACAGAAGAATCACTTCACATATAATTAAAAAATATTAACATAAAGGTCAACAGTCTTATATATTTTTATCAAATCATAAATATAATAATTTCAATATGTATTCTAGTTGTAAATCGTACTCTATTTTTACATGCTTTTATTAAGTTTCACTGTTTCAGTGTTTGTTATTAGATAGCTAATAGATTTTTCTGATATCCAATTAAGGTGAACATAAAATAATGTTCAACTTAATTAATATCATAATCTGTTGAAATAATTATATAATGATATCGTCTGATGAACGATAACTACAAGAATTTTAACTGTATTTGTAAGTTTGTTCATAACGTTCTCTCAAAAAGTAGTTTAACGATATAGTTTAAATGTTATTTAAAAAAGTTTTTAAGTAAAGTTTATTATTGTGTATTATTGAAAAACAAATAAAGATTGAAGTTTGTTTTCTATTTTACTAGTAATTACGAGCTACAGCTGATTTAGAATCTGTATTTATTACAACATTTTTATAATTATAATTTTATTTACACTTCACTATCTATATTCCTTTCAGAGAAGCAAAAGAATAAAAATAATAGTATCCAGAACAGAGATGATAGCGAGAAACCAGAAGATAATACAATTAATAAATACTGCAAATGTACAGAAACATTTTGCAACTGCTGCAGGGACTTTCAACTGCCTGTTGTCAATCTAAATGGTCCAGGTAGGCTTATTATTACCTTTTATTTTCATCTTCAAAATAAAAAAAATATATCAATAATAATGTTACGAAAATGTTACAAACAAGTTACGAAAACCCTATGTTTGACAAACAAATGTTGCAAAACATATTTTATACATGTATGACGTGTATAAAATCTCGTTTGTTACATTACATAGATAAGTGGTTTGGTATAAGATTTTATTAGGGCTTATCTGGAATGATATCTTTATCTCTGCAGAGGAATATTTGTGTACAAAAAAGTACTCTTTTTTTATTCAAACTAAAAGAAGAAATCTTACTCGATTACTATAGGGTGTTAACAAATTTAAAAAAATATTATTTAGAATATCTTATATATTATTGCAAAATAAATATTCCAAATGTATAAACATGTTTCATCATCTCTTTGAAACTTATATTTAAACATTTTTGCAGGATGTGCTTCATTAATGTATTTGAGTGGCGACAAAATGTCGGTATCTCTTAGTTTTGGAAGAAAAGTCATTACAAACCGCACGCTTTCAAGTGAGTATTTACATTAAAATTATTTTTGGTTCATGCATTGTTATACAAATTAATTTATTAAAACTTTAATGATGACATATACCATATATAAATAAGTGTTCATATGAGGGTATTTTTTTATTATTTTATAGTTTAATAATAATTTTAACACTACATTACAGGCCGCAAACCAAGTCCAGTATGCATGCCATTGCCTGGCAGAGTATCAAAGTTCTGTGGACGAGTATACAATATAGCAAGATCTGGTGAAGAATTCAGAGCTTGTCTTGGATTAGAACTCCAAACGAAGAATGTTATTGAAGCTGCTGTAAGAGTATCTTGTTTCAAGTTTGGTCCTAGAGGAGTCACTTCAGAGCCCGCTGATCCACTACCTTTAGTTCCGGAAGGCGAAAGAGATGAAGACGATGATGACGATGACGACGATGATGACTTTGGTCTTGGAGGCGATGACGATGATGAGGAAGAGGATGACGACGACGATGATGATGGTATGCTAATTGTAATATAATTTATTTATCCAAAAATATAATTTAATTATCTAATTATAATTTCATAAAGCAGAGATATTTGATAAAAGTTCCCATTTTACTTTTCAGATGCCACCAATGATGTAGATTCTGCTGACTACACAGGATTTAGTCTCATCCCTGATGATATATTAGGTGGTTTGTTTGGTTCATCAAGTGGAAAAAAGTCTAATAAAAATAAAAAGAAACAGGCACCACTATCTACCACCACAACAACAACTACTACAACTACTAGACGCCCTCGTCCGTCACGGCGTCCCTCAAGGAAACCTGCTACTAGAACAACAACACCTAGAACAGCCACTAGAACGACTACTGTAAAAGTACGACCAGTAAGTCGACGACCGACTCGAAGACCTTCACGAAGACCAACTAGAAGGCCCACTACGGCGGCAAATTTAACGGAAACAACAACATCGTTGCCATCCATACCAACGTCGCCTCAAGCTATAATTCCTGTTGTTTCTTTATCCTCAAGTAGCATGTCTCCAGAACGAGATGAAATGATGAGTACAGCCCATGAACAAACGTTTGAACCAGTAATGATTGTCACTCAGAAACCTCAATCTACTATGGCAACAACCACTTTCAAAAGCGTCACCAATTTTGATGATCCAGGGCTAGAAATGTCTTTAGCACACATTACCGGTCAATTATCTGTCATGCCTGTAACTTCAATAGTCCCAAATGCTGCTAAAGATTCGGGAAAAACTGCGAGTAAAGAAGAAATAGGTTACGAGAAAGTTGAAACTTATACACCCAAGATTCCATCTACTGTACCTTTTATGACTTCTGTAAAAGAAGTGAACGATGATATGGTACAAGTAGTGGATAATCTAGATTCAAAGTCTGAAGAACGATTTGATATTAATAGGGAATCAACTCCGGAAGAAAGTAGGTCCCATTATTTTAGTATGTCAAATACAGAATTTGATCACAGCGAAAAGAAAAAACAGAAAAAGAAAAATAGAAACAACGAGCAATTTCAGTTGGAAGATTTAGATGTATTGCATTTGGATGAAATTGGTGAAAGCTTAGGGCACCAACTAGGTATATTCAGAGGAAATAAAAAACAAAACAAAGATAAAAAAGAAAATAAAGTGAGGGATGGGAAAAAAGGCGGTGATGACTATGGTGATATTTTTGGATTAGATGCTTTAGATTCTTTATTGCCAACTGATAATAATAACAGAAATAAAAAGAATAGAAGGAGACAAAATAAAATGATGCGAGGTGAATGGTCTCAGGCATGATGTTAAAGTCAATTTAGTGCTAATTAATTAAGTTTTATTTATTTTTGCGTAAGTGTTTATGTATTGTGTGTGTAAATAGTAAAATTGTGTAAGTGTTTATTTATTTTAATTGAATGTAGTGAGTAAATAATAGTTCAATTATTCTTTTATTATTTAAAACCTAAAATAATATTACTATGAACATAAGTAAAAGTTTGTAAATATGTTTAAATATTACTGTTCCCTCTTAAGACACACAGTATTTGACATTGAAAATGAATGAGTTGTATATTCTAAATAACAGGCACTAACTATGTCTGTAATGTAGCCGCTTCATTTGTGCTGCATTTTTCTGATGTACTTATTAACCTGAGACATTTTACTGCGATAAAAAGGTGTATTATATTTCGATCAAGTAAAAAGTATATTCAACCAGAAAGTACATTCTTACTGGATGTACTGCGTGGACAAGATTTAAAGTTCTTTTTTTAACAATTTCACATTATTATGTTAATGATAATGTTCGCGTGTGACAATAAACAATACTCGTTTAGATTTAATTTGAAAAGCATTCAATAAATACATTTATTAATTCACTGTTCATGTCTATAGCGATGGTGACCACTCTTAATCAAGTGGATCCTTAGATTGTTTGGCATTATAAGTTACATAATAAAAAACTTATAATGATAATTGTTTTGTCGGGTAGTTCGTATGATTTATTTTCATAATAAAGAATAGTGTGATGAATAGACTTCACGAATATTGTGGAAAGTCAATCTACATATACAGATTGTCTGTATGTTTATATGACTATATATATATATATATATATATATATATATATATATATATATATATATATAGTTTGTTTGTTGTATAATAAAACAAAGTTTAGTGAAATTTACACTAGTTTCAAGTCCCTCAGGAGCCAGAATCAAAGACATCTAGTTAATAATTATAATTAGAACGTCAAGTTTTGATTTAAAAGATTTGTATGAAAGATAGCATATTTTTCGAAATAGTTCAGGCTCGAATGAAGTTTAGTCGAATTCATTACATTGATTTCAATTCTTAATTTATACATTTTCTTGTATGGAATGAATGTTTGTATGTATACTCAGTAGTATTGAAGCTACACTTATCACGATACTGCAAATAGAAAAATTTGCAGACTACTAATTTTTTCAATACTAGGTATATATATTTGGTTTCTTTAGGTAAGTTTCAAAGATGATGAATAGGAATTAATGATGAAGCAACAATGTAGTCATAGAAACTTAGCTTTATGATACGGTAAACCGACGAGGTTAGACTCAATGAATTAGACAAATTATAATGATAACGAGAGAGACTAGAGGAGTAATAAGTATAAGAGTGAAAAATAAAAAACAATAATATCATAATAATTTTGATTTGTCTTTGTTAAAAGATACATTGAAATAGAATGGAGATCTTAACGCTTTGTTTATTTATTTAAAAGCTGTTTGCTTTGCTGAACCATTGCATTAAGCAATGGTTCTTAGCTGTATTTGATAAAAATGAATTTAGTGAATTAAAATGTTGTTAAATAATTTAATTTTGTTAGAAAAATTAGTAACGCAGATGTTGCCAATTCTAACAAAAACGTTTGTTAATTCGGTTTGATTTACGTGTAAGACCATTGTACATCACAGACTATTCAAACCCTTTCGCTTTTTTATTCAATGAAGTTTATTAAGATTATGAAAATTTTATTTTGTATGAATATTGTTTATTTTTTAATGTTTAGACCCTAATGATCTTGAGAATGAGAGAGTTGATGCTTTCAGAATAAACAGGTAATTTTCAGAATTCATACAATCATTTTTAATAATAAAACTCAAAGAAACTAAATGTATATATAAAACTAGTATATATAAAAATATATATAAATTATTTTGATTGTATTTATCATCATCATCATCTCAGCCATTGCTAAACATAGGATTTCCCCATAGACAGCCATACTTGAACTTGTCTATCTTAAGCCACCTGCTTCCACTGACTGCCTGCATTGCATTTGAGGTCGTCACTCCATCTAGTGAGGGGTCGTTTTACACTGCGTTTATTCGTACAGGGCCATTACACAAGAACCTTTCTCCCTCATTTGTCGGTTCTTCAAACTATGTGATTAGCCCATTGATACATCAGCTTGCTTATCCTTCGGGCTATGTCGGTCACTCTGGTTCTGTTGCGGATATCCTTATTTCGGATTCTATCACACAAAAAAAAAAAACACCGAGTATAACCCTCTCCATAAATTGGGGGAAAGGGATTGTTAGTAATGGAGACTAAGAATTCCGCCAACGTGTTCCGTTAGTGCAGGCGGGCTTACCATTCCATTTTCATCCAACAAAAAAAAGTCCTTTCCATAATTCGCTGAGTAATTTGAAGCTTTTGCATACATACGATTATATATATATATATATATATATATATATATATATATATATATATATATATATATATATATATATATATATATGTATATGTATATATATATATATATATACACCTTGGAATTTATATTGAGTAATTAATTAATTCATATGGCATAACAGGTTGTCATCCAGATACAAAATGATGTGATAATTTAAATAAAAACGATTAATAAAATTTAGTTCACGTATCGAAAGTTGGAATTGACAATGTAGTTTTGAGTCCCAACTTTCTCTCGTTCCGACATTAATATTAAACTTGTTTACATTAAGTCTGTAGCTAAAATAAGTATTGACATATTGTTAGTTGGCAGTTATATACCTGGAGGTAACTTGCTGCTTACTATTTGTACTGGAAAGTCAAGCGTAACCGTTGTTGCTGTTTAATAGTACTTTCTATGCGGAAAATGATACTGATTATGAAGTGTTTTTTAGTGTTACTGGTTTCTTATACGACTGCTTGGACTAATACTGGGTCATGTAAGTAGTTTTATATGTAAATGTATATTTGATTAGATACAGTATCCAGCATTTAAATAGGAGCTATTACGTGTTTGTGTTATTTTTATTTCCGTTAAATTTATTTGTTATACAGTATAATATGTCTTAAAATATTTTTACTTTAAAATAAAATATTATAATTTGCAGTTGAGTTTATTTTTAATCAAGACAGACCATACGAAACGATAAATATCAATATACCTAGGAGCATTTGGAAACAAGCGTTTAATCCACCGCCATTTTTAAAATCGTCGGTAACAATAGTTGTACCCGTTCATGTGCCACAAGATGATAATGAAGTAGAATATGATGCGGACGACGAAGTTACAGAAATAAATGAAGTTATAGAAACTACTGTGGTTAATGATGAAGTTATTCAAGAAGTAGTTGCTGAAACAACAGTAATTCCAAATGTAACTGAAAGTTCAGTCCAAGATGAAGAAATCACTACAACTGAATCACAACAAGTGACTGGGCAATTACTTCGATTTCCTTGTGCATGTCGAAATGGACAATGTGGTTGCTGTACTGGAGCTATTTTGGAAAGGTTTAACATGAAAGCATGTGGAAATATTAGTTTCATACCTGAAGACTTTGTATTTGACGTTAGATTGAGTGTAAATAATAATACTATGATTAGACGTAGAGTATCAGGTGAGAAACTTGCTATTAAAGTCAACTTGCAGAATTACTAAATTTATTGATATAATTCAACACACAGAAATTATGCCATCAACTTAGTTTTTAAGTGTAATATAAATAGCTTTAAAAATATATTTAATTTTATTGAATTTTAATGTTAATTGTTTTACAGCTAGTGATCCACCACCGATATGTTTTAATCCTAGAGTAGCTCCATTTGTCCGTGTATGCGCTGAAATATCAAATATTCGTATACGCAATAGAAATGCATTTGCATGCTTGGATATTGATGCAGATATTGGCGGTTTTTCTATTTACTCGGCATCATTTAGATGTTTTGGGTAAGCAATTATAATATTATAGGTATTTAATATTTTAAGTATGATATAATTTGTAATGCTAACCGTGACAACGACTGGTAGAATCCCCCCAACGGTTGGCAATGGATTGGCAACCGCAGTTCGACTTTTAATGATCTTTTAAGAAGAATGCTGTTGCCCATCCCTCGTTCATTAAGTTCCCTTTGTTGTTTTCTAAGGTACTCACGGGAAAAAAAGGGGTGGCCCATTCTATGCCGGGATCATGAATGAATTTATATTTATATTAAAAAATATTTGGTTTTCTGTTGCTTACAATATTTTCTAATAAATAAAATGAGTTTGTTTTTAGGCTAGGTTCTTCGGGAATCCAAACAGGTTTGAAGCCTAAACCAATATCATCAGGGCCTAAGCCTGTCAATCTGTTTGGTAATAGTGATAGAGACGATGATGAAAGTGGATTCTTACAAAATGCTGCAAGTGCAGTTCTTGGCGGAGGTGGAAGTGAAAGCAATGGATTGTTTGGAGGATCGAGTTCTAATGACGATGATGATGGGCCTCTAGATGCGATCGGTGATGTAGTTGAAGACTTATTTGATGGCAGACGATTAGACTATTGATTTAAAAGTATTATCGTTATGTGATATATATTATTTGTGTGTAAATAATTTTACACTTATTGTGTACCTAGATAATTTAAGAAATAATTTATAAGTAGTTTATTAATTTATTCTAATTATATGTATTTTCAAATAAATATGTTTTTCACATATTTTTCGCGTATTTTATTCGTAGAATTATAAGTCTTTTGTACTTAGATGAAAATTATTAGATTCATTTAACTACGACCTAAATATTTTTAATTATGTTTATTTAGAAAAAAAAATTAGATAATATCAACAAGACATTATACAGTGAAGTACATAGTAACACATAAAATTGTATTAGACGAAGAATAATCTTTCCATTATATTATATTTGTAAGATAAAAAAATAAATAAATGATAAATAAGTCTATTAAAAATATAACTGTTGGAAACAATAACGCTTATTTGCGTATCAAAATACGAGTAGATTCTAATTACTTGTCATAACTGGGAGATACGTCGGATGAATGGTGTCGGAATCCCGACAAATGCATACATGTTTGGATTGATACCTGCTGCTGATTTTCACCACCGTACAACCCGTCACAAACTAAAGTTTCATCCCAATCATCTGGACGAGTGGCGGTCTTCCACCGTGCGTTTTTCAAGGCACTTTCTTCCACGCACAACCATTCTTTGGAATCAACTTCCAGCAGCAGTATTTCCGAACCGATACGACAACATAACCTTCAAGAAAAGAGTATATTCCTTTTAAAAGGCCGGCAGCACACCTGCAATACCGCTGGTGTTGTGGGTGATCATGGGCGGCGGTAGTCACTTACCATCAAGTGAGCCGCATGCTCGTTTGCCCCCTGTGTTGTAAAAAAAAAAAAAACTCTTGTATAATTAATTATCTTTTTAAATAGTGTTTATATTAAGAATAACGTATACAGGAGTGTTTTTACTAGAACCTCTTTGTCCAAGATTAATCTGATCCAATGAACGTGAAAGTAGTGAATGCAAAGATTCTCTGTCGTCTTAAACCGGTTAAAATCTCTGCAAGCCAATTGAAGTGACTGTTATATCTACACGACCGGCGCACGCGTAACTTCACCATAAAGTCAATCTGTAACAGTATGAAAAAGTACATAAACAACTCCCTTTTTTTATTTGTGATTTTGTTTTTATTAGTACGAGCGGAACAAGAGAGTAAGTAATTTTTATTTTATTTGAAATTTAACTGTTTATTGTGTTTGAAAGTTATCTAAAACTCATATTTATTATTTTCGTATTGTTTTAGTTGTAAATAAAGAGGACGGTTTAAATAAAATATTGGATAAATTGCATAATACAGAAGTACCAGATAGCGCATTATTAATATTAGATCGTTTGAATTTGAAAAAAATATCTACGATATCACATTATGCAAGACACAACAAAATTTCAAAACAGGAAGAACAAAATTCAACATCTACATCGGAGAATAGACAATGTACCTGTTCTCAAGGAGTGTGCAAATGTTGTACTGGATATTTTATGGACCTAATCAATCAGAAAGCATGTTTGAAAGTAATATATACTCCAGGAGATTTCGCTTTTGATGTCGTTATGAGTTTAAATGATAGGGTTCTTTATGAAAATTCTATGTCAGGTAAATTGTTATGTTATTGATAACTTTTTTTGTAATGACAGGTATATTAGTTTCTAACCGACATTCAAAAAGAGGTTTTCCATTTTCATTCGGTTTTCCATAAGTATTATGTGTGTAATCATCTCATAATTATTTTAGCATGCAATACGGTTTACTCTCTATATTAATTTTATGGTTATTGTAAATATAGTTTTTATGCTTATTGGGAAACGAAATATATCTGTAGTTACAGAATTCTTTTCTACCAGTAATTTGTTTTACTTTTTGTTTATTAAAGCCTGGAAACTTTTAGATTTTATATGATAGTTTTTCAATTATTTATTTGCAGTTGTAGGTATATAAAATTGTAATTTCCTATCATTATCATTATATATTTCTGTATATTTTTCAGGAAAAAACCCTAAGCCAATGTGCATAAGTCCACCCAGGCTGTCGAACTTAAAAGTGTGCGCTAAAATGTATGATGTATATTTCCCCGGAAGAAACTTTCACTTTTGTTTGGCTATGACGGGACAGTGGCGATCAGTCGAGCTGTTCAATATGGCCTTTGATTGTTTAAGGTATGAAATTTGACAGTAGGTACTATTTAGCTGTTAAAATGAAGTCAGTTTCACGTTTAGGAAATATTAGCGATTACCTTTAAGTAATCATTTGCTCGTTCTTACACGTGTAAATTAACAATATTGTATCTATAATCTAGGATTCTAGGATATAATCTATCTGCTTTTAGCAGAATGGATAATAATAGCAGAATCACGATACAGAGTGAAAAACTTAAACATACAGTTGTACTCATATATGGACTATCTGTGTACAGATTTTATTTATAATCCTTTTAACTATCAATATTTATATAACGGTTACTATTTTTCAACAGGTGGGCCGTTTGCCATTCCTATTGACCAAAATAAAAAATATTTTTTATTCTTATAGAATGGGTGCAAATGGAATAGCAATGATGAAGCCAGGAGAAGGGGGTGATCTCGTCTATGTGAGTCCCGATGGCGGTTATAACGCTGTGGTCGATAATGAAACGGATGATATAGAAGAATACGATGAGAATGTGGTCCGATCCTTTTTGGATTTATTTGAGTAAAAAAAAGAAAACTATATTGTAATAATATCCAAAGCAACAATTTGTATTATTGTAATGTAGCTGTTATATTTATTACTTAAATTAGCTATTAAAATCACTATACAATATCTTTGCATATTTATTTAGCTTGCAATAAATAATGTGCTATCCATGCCACCCCTCATACGCTGTTGCTCTTGAGAACAAATGTAGTTATTTATTTATTTACTCTTTATTGCACCACTTTAATATTAAAACAAAGAAATATAGTAAAGTACAAAAGACGGTTTTATAGAAAGGTATTATATATATATTAGGTAGAATAGAAAAGAAAAAGCGGTTGCTATTTATATATTATTATAATCGTGTCAGGGATTTTACTGGATATCTTTGGAAGCTAAATGTAAGGTTATTTATTGCTAATTGTCACAAATAATTATGTCCAAACGATTCTTACAAATACTTTAATCAGTAGACACAGGTATATTAATATTTTCATATTGTTGACCATTAATTAACGATTATTAGAGGAACAGAGGTTTCAAGAATTAAAGTTTTTTTTTAGAAGATATTAAAATAAGGATTTCCTTCTAGCATAATAAATACCGTTATTGAAAGAATTTATTATGGTATCCATTGTAACATAATAATACTGTATTTTATAATAGAAGCTCTTTACAAATTCCCGTTTTTGAGGACTATAAGTTGGACTGATTCTGTAACTAGTAATTTCTCCAAGTAAAGATTCTATAACGAGTAGTTTCATATGGCTCATTTTTGTTTTTTAGATTTAGAAAATTATATTTGATATGATGTTTAATATTATAGTATATTCGATCAAGTCACTAGTAATTTTAATGGAAAGCGTGTATAATATATGAAATTCTCCAATTTTATGTTTTAATATCCGATATGCTTTTGTTCAGTAACTTTTGTTGTTATATGTACCTTTAATAATACAATACGATTATATAAGATAATAATATGCGTGCAGAGGTAATTTAACGTGAAATTGAAGATGGCTTCGGTGGTGGTGCGCCCGTATCGATCCGATGCACAGGAGTTTCTTTAGAAAGTCCCGCAATAGTGCGCTCGCGCACGGCATAACTTGCATACAAATGGTTTAAGTAATACCTTTGCAGCTAGTATTAACGTAGGTTAACGAAATACAGTCATTTGTATGGTGTCCCTGGAGACAGAAACATTTGAGGAAGTAGGTTGAGTAAATAGTTTGGATTTAGATGAAATGAAAATGAAAACGACTTTGGTGTTGTTGTTGTTGTGTTGTGTGAAAGAATATTGTTTTGGTGAGATATTTATTTGCTTATATTATCTTTATTATTAATGCAAATATTACCGTTTGTCATGGATATAAAAATTTATGTCTATGGACGGCAATTTCAGGAACAAATTTGAATAGTAGAAATGATTTGAGAAGGAACAGAGCGGACAGTGGAATGGATGTGTCAGATTTTTCTATTTATTATGATATAAACACAAATAAGGTATCTGTACTTAAATTCCTTATTATCAATTTTAAGATATGTTTGTCTACTAATTCATTATAGTTCTTGGTAAATTATATTATCAACGCTGATTAGTATTGATATGTTATATTTTTTATGGAAATGTTGGGGAATATAGTAAGCAAAATATAGCTAATCTCAGAGCTCTGGTAAATATTTTGCCATTTAAATGAGGCCTTAAATTGGATTCACGGTTAGGTTAATTTAGGAAATAATGCTATCCAATATTCTTTTCAAAATATCTCTTTAATTGTGTAATGTTCTTCATTTGGGTTGTCATGCACTGTTATGTATTCTTGTTTGAAGATCACGAAGTGTATTTTGTTTAACGCTTATCGTATATATATTACTTTTTACTGTGGCGACTAAGCATCATCCGAAATATGTTACTATTGTATTATTTTAAAATTTACCAAAGTTTTGGTTTTTCAATATTGTTTTGTTTTACAGATTATAAAGAAAATGATGCCCCGTCCATGGTATAGTCCTGGATGGTCATTGCGTTTGCCGTTCACCGGTGGCAAGTGTAATTGTGACGATTTTAGATGTGAATGTTGTACTGGTATTCGAATTGAATCGCTGAGTTTCGACAGAAGAAGTAAGTATACGGTTGCATTTTACAAAGTAATATTTTAATGTATATGACTAAAGCAATATTAATGTTCTTAAATCAATATCTCTAACAAGCATAATTGAAGTACAATTGATATTGTAATTATTTAATTATTTTCAATAGATACAATATCTATTATTTTTTAAATATTTAAGTAATTGCTATGAATATTCCATGTCATTCCATGTCATGGTATTTACGTTTATATATAAGTAGCAATTGTTCTTTTTAGAAGTTTTTGGGGGTCATAGTGTAATTCTTTATGATGTAGTATGAGTTTCAGTACGAGTAGTAGTAAATTATGGGGTTGTTAATACGTTATAATAAAGTTTAGTATATAATGGCCCATTACTTTTATTATTTTATTATTAAGAAAATTATTTAAAAAATAATATCACTACTTAAAGTAATCCCTCTATAATCTACTATAAAGTATCTTTACTCAAGAAAAAAATGCTGTAAAAATAATTGACAATGCGATCACTATTATGAGCAACCATGAATCAACAATAGGTATATTTTATTGTAATTTCTAATAAAAAGGATTGAAATTTAATTTAAGATTATTATATTGATTGTGGTATATTTTATTATTAAGGAATTATTACATTTCGAAGACAAAATATCGATGAAATAATATATATTTTTTAATTATTTTAGCATGTGCGGTATTGACTTTTGAACCCACGGAATCTACTTTAGACTTGGAAGTGAAAATGAATAATGACAGTGTATATAGAAATACGTTTTCTGGTAAGCATTTATAATTATTTTTACTTTCTTTTGTTTGTCTTTAATCCACTGTTAACATTTGACCCAGAAAATAGTTAAAATTCTATACGACGTCAGGGTAAAATGTTCACAGAGAGTATCTAGCATTTAAACTTTAGAAAAGACTAGTTTTCATTAAGTTTTTAATAACAATATATAATGTGTAGAAATCCCTAATAATATTATAGATGTGAAAGTGAGTATGTTTGTTTATTACAAATTAGCGCCTAAATTACTTAACCAATCAATATAAAATTTGGTTTGCACGTATATAGAGGATCGAGGATATATTATTTGGATAGGTTATTTTTTATTCCAGTTACTAAAGATATTCCGGCACGCAAATAAATTCGCTAGTAAATGTTTGTTTGAAAATAATTTTAATTTTTCATATAAAATTAAAATTAATTTAGAATGAAAGTTTGATTTGTGTTGAAATGTTTTTTAGTTCACTATTTAGGTTCTAGATTATTCATCGTTCAAGACCTGTACATGTAGTAGAAACAACTATTAACAAGAATTTTGTCTAAATATTGGGTTGGTTTTTTTATAACTAAGGGGGTAAACGAGCATACGTCTCACCTGATCGTAACTACTGGCGCCCATGATTATCCACAATACCAAAGGCATTTCAGGTGTACTGTCGACCTTTTAAAAAGAAATATGCTCTTTTCTTGAAAGATCATAACTTTCAAGAAAAGAGCATAGTTCTTTTTTAAGTTTCGTCTAATTTATTTATTATTATGGTCCTATTTATTTTGCTGTGAACTAGCAATAAGTGCAATCACGTGGTTCGAAGGCTCTAATTCTCATTCTCATATTCCCGGTTAGTTAGTTTCAAAATATTACAGGTGTAGACTCGTAACTTCGTTCACGTGACCGGGTTATTATACTGATTGGAATGAAAAGTAGCTTATGTCCTTTTCCGTCCTCAATATTATGTGTACGTTAATTTTCATGGCAATTTGGTTACGAACGAACGAATAAACTCACTTTTACATTAGTAATACTCGTATTAGGAAGGATACGGATGTAATGTAGGAGGAAATAAACGTTGTGAGAAGTAGACACCTGCCTATAAGTAGATAAATAATACATACCTTTACAATGTTCATAATTGCAGCCAGAAATCCTCCGCCGTTTTGCGTTCCAATCCCAGTGCCCTATCTACCTCCAGGGTTGATGGATATGTGTATAAGGCTATTCGATATTAACATTGTTGAGCAGAAGTTGCATGTTTGTATGGACATGGATACCAGAATCGACAAGGCTCCTATATTGGTAAGTCATAAAATGTACATATATTAATTAATAACAGTCCATTTCTATATACGTGGGACACCCAGAAAGTTTTTCGATACTAAAAAAATGTTCTATAGGTAAGTATATTTTTATTACATCTTTTCAAAGTACTCTCCACCAGTCTCTATACAAAGTTTTATGCGTCTGAACCAGTTTTCGAAACACTTTTTCCAGTCCGCCGCAGACACCTCGTTTACAACCTGCTTGAACGCTTAGAACGCATCATCCGGCGACGAAAATTGTATTCCTTTGAGCTGATTTTTTATTTTTGGGAATAAGAAGTCACATGGTGCTAGATCAGGGCTGTAAGGAGGGTGACCCAGGAATTTGACCGGTGTGCTGTCTAGGAAGTCCCTCGTTTTGATTGCGGTGTGGGCGGGTGCATCATCGTGGTGGAGCAGTAACCCGTGGAGCCCTGTGTTTGGTCGCTTGTTGCTTACAACAGAGAAAACTTCTGGCAAGCATTTGGTAGTATGCCATTCGCCGTTAATGCTTTTTTGGTTTCGTAAAGGAATTGACATCAGGTAGCCAGTCAAATTGAAAAAGCTTCCGATCAAAATCTTCCCCCCGCTTCTAGATCGCTTTACTTTAGGTAGACGTTGATTTGTTTTGAAACACCCAAACCGTCGACTGACGCTTTGTTTCTGGATCGCAAAGATAAATCCAGAATTCATCACCTGTAACGATATCGTAAACACGCTGAGACGAGCCTGCTTCAAACTTGTTTATCATATCATGGCACCATTCCATCCTTGCCAGCTTCTGATTATCAGTGAGGTTGTGCGGCACCCAGCGTGAAACTATCCTCCGCAATCATAGATGCACGTGTAGAATCTCGTAAAGGCTTCTTGATCCAATCTGCAGTATATGTTGAATCTCTTGGTATGTAACTCGTATATTGTCTTGAATCAAATTTTTCACTGCTAGCACGTTTTCTTCCGTAACAGCCGTCAAAGGGCGACCACTTCTTACTTCATTCCGCAAAGTTAGTCTACCGCGCTTAAATTCATTATACCAACGATACACGGTTGCCTTAGAAGGGCCTTCATCCATGAATGCCATTTAAAGTGTATCGTACGATTTGTCCGGTTTCAGGCGACACTTAAAATCATAAATAATCATAGCGCGAAAATGTTCTCGACGCAAATACATTTTTCAATGAGACACGGTAATTTTAATTAGCTGGCAAAAATGTGGAAAGAAGTTTAGAATTTAGAACGTACCTATTTTTACTTATAAGTAATCATATTTATAAATAAATTATAACTGGCCAGTCTCACATACATAAAAACTTTTTCTCGCAATACTTTCTGAGTGACCTGGTATACAGTTTTGCTGACGGGAATATAGTGAACATTCATTTGCATTGCCTACTCCAATCAGGACTGGGCAGTATTAGAATTACTTATAATTTAAATACGTAATTGAAATACATACCTATTTGGTATTTATTTCAATTTATTACAATTATTTCTTAAAAATATAATTAGTAATTCATATTTCAAATACGTGACGGCGACATATTTTGAAGCTAGTATTTCAAATACTTATGACTTCAAAATACATTTTAACATACATTTATCTTCATTCTAGTGATTTTATTGATGGGTGCATTTTGCAGAAAATAACACTCGATAGTTTTCGTAAGCAAAATATCATGTCATATCATGAAAGGAAGTTTTCCTGAGTTGGATTAGTTCTATTCTATTTACATTGTCAAATACCTGATTGTGTTTTGTTATTTAAATAAAAATAGTTAAAATACTTTGTTTTTTATATTTCAAATATATAGTTTAGAAATATTTCGTATTTTAAATACACATGAAATAATATATTGAAATTTGTATTTTAATTAAAGTTAAGCATGTATTTTATCCAGCTTCGGCTGCAATGTTGCACTGCAAGCATTGTTCGAATTACCTAGCTATTTTGCCGCTCATGATATTATGCTCTTCAAAAAGGGCCTGGCTCCCTTAAAAGAATCATATTATATATTTTGGGACATGTCTTTGCTCATAGTATGATAATCTCAACGGATCAGTAGATTTGCGTGTTGAGGTGCCAGGTTCGATTCTTGGTAAAGGCAATCTAAATAACGAACTTTTCTAAATTGGTTTGGTTTAGTTGTATACCCAGATCTCCGTCGCTAGGTTCTACATAACACAGGACATTCTAGTTTGAAGGCCACGCAATTCGTATAACTATGTAGCATTTAATATTGTTATTATTATTAAAAGTTTTGCATCTGATTGTGAGGCGGACTAGACAATTCTGGAGTAGGCAAGCCCCTCTTCAATACGCCTATGCACATAAAAGTGTGATACAGGTTAATTCATAACACATAATCATGACATACGAGTAATTTATGCTTCTTGTAGTAAGTTATTAAGTTTCGTGAGTACTATCACTGGGTTGCAGATTCGTATACCCATTACGACTAACGCTGCCAACTTAATCTGAGGTTATGCCATACATCAGTTTTTTATATACCTATTAATTTATTAAATTACAGATTCTACATTTTGATTGCATGGATATGGGATTGAATGGAATTGGTTTATCTAAACCTGGAAGTAATGGCTTAAACCAATCGTCAAATGATACTTCTGGCACGGAACAAAGTCAACTGGACAGCGACGTTTATGATCCTGTAACAGAAGACACACCGACTACAACAAAGTTGTTTCAAAACAGTATTAAATATATTTAATTGATATATCTGTTATCATTATACCCATTTCTATTTTTTTTTATTAGGGAAACATAATACTTACGCTTCAGGCCCTCTAGACAAGTGGCAAGCGAATTCGTTGATGGAATCAACATCGCTAGTAAATCCGTGAATTGGAATAAGCCATCCGGCGTTGCTATCTCATTCTATCTCACGGGCTTGGTAGCGATGCTGATTCCATCGACGAATTCGCTTGCCACTTGTCTAGAGGAACAGATTACAATTAGATGATACAAAATCTCTGCCACAGATTAGAGAAACTAATTCTTAAGATTTCTTTTAAAATAATAAAGTAATATCTAAATTATAAGTCGCTTGCTTATTTATAAATTAAATCAATAACGATCTGTTTGAACAATTTATTGTCATAAGGAACTACCCCGTTCATTATGACAGTCTATGGGGGAGGCGTATGTTCAGCAATAGACAGATAAAAGCTGATATGATAATGATTTCTAAGATAAAAAGACACGCCAAGCCTATTTTCATATATGCCCAATATAATTTTGGTAAATAAGATTAACTATTTACGTTCTTAATAGATGATGATGGAATAGTAACCCCGCCTGCACTATCGGTATACGCAGGCGGGGCATTATTGAGAGGTGATATTAGCCTATTATGATACATTCAACAATAAATAATCATGATTGTTAATGGGGGATCGACGTGTGGAAGTCAACCTGATAGGGTTTGTGGGGAAAGGGATTGTTAGTAATGAAGACTGAGAATCCCGTTGCTAGCAATATACCCAACCAGGTCGACCTTCTCGCGGTTCTCCCTGGAAACTATTATGGTTAATTTCTGACGAATTCATCATGATGAGCTAACTGACCTGTTTTCATTCTCATCTATCACCCTTCACTAGTGCTCCGCAAGCGTATACCGTTAGCGCAGGCGGGGTTACCATACCATTTTCACCCATAAAAAAAAACCTGACAGAGTATATTGCTAGCAATGGGAATTAAAGTCCTCACTATTAATAATCCTCTCCACCTACTTACGTACTTAAATTTACTTTACAAAAGTGTAATTTTTAGCTAATTTTTCAATTAATTGCCCTCGTTTCTATTCACCCTAATTTCGGGCTTCTATGTTTGGGCTATATAAAAGATGAACACATTTCGGGAAATTTCAAAAAATCCAGGTGATTTCATTAATATTTTATTTTAAAGATTGTGAGCCCGGATTGTATGCTAAATAAAAATGTCACTATAAGTATCTTAAAAAAATTAAATGACGTTTAAAATTGTTCATATTCAACACGTTCTATAGTAAACTATAATAGTAACACAAATTTCAGTATGTTGATAGTGTAGGTAATAAAAGCATTCAGGACGGAATAAAATTTTTAGTAATGGAAACTAATGCCCCCATTGTTAACAAACCCTGCCAGGTCGACCTCCACGCGGTTCCTCATGGAAAGCATTGTGATTAATATTTGTCGCATTCGTCACGATGGACTAACTGACCTGCTTTCATGTTCATCTGTCATCCCTCACTGGTATCCCGCCAGCTTATGCCGTTAGCTTAGGCAGGGTAACCAATTGATTATACATTAAAAAAAAAAATAGACGCATTGCTAAACAATAAAAATATCTGTTATGAATTGTCAATGGGGGTAAATGCCACTAAAGAATAAAGAAAAAATTGTCAATGTCAAATTTGTCAATTAATGTCATAATTGTCATTTTAGACATTTGGTTTAATTTTTATTTAAGTAGGTGTTTTCAAAATTGATTTTCCGAATTTACAAGGTGAGTTCAATTCTTTCAATGAATTTAAAATCATAATATAACTTTTATATTAAATATTTTGACTGTAACTCTAGCCCTCAAGTTTCAAAATGGGTGATAATGATGATTATGATGACGGGTTAGTAATATTTGCAACTTGCGTATCATTTTTATTTGTTTGTTGAGCACTACATAGATTATGTATTATATATAATTCTAGTTATTTAATTTTTAAATAGTTACTGCCAATATAATGTAAATAAATTTTGTATGTAGTTGACTTATTTGTGTAATAAGGTTATGTTCTGTTGTTATCGGTATTATGAATTAATCTATTAATGTCGTGTACCCATTCAACATTAAGATAATTTTCAGCACAATGGATTTGTTGTCTGTCTCCCCTGAAGTTACCTACAACTGGGTTGATATAACATCAGATTTTTTTAAGTATATACAAGGTGAGTATTTGGTCTATATCTTTTTCTATTATATTTTAGTTTTACTTTTAATACTGGCAATGTAAATTAAAAAAATCTGTGTATGCAAATTATATATAATTCTGTGCTGGCCAGTGCACTCCTCATTCATTGCCACGAACAGCATTGACTGTTAAGGTTACATTTCTTGATATGAAATAATTTTGACTGCTTTACAATTTAGTTTGAAACCACAATACATGTGGTATGTTACAAAAATGATGTAGCAGAAATAGATATAATTGGTGGTTAGGATTAGTTTTACTGTTATGTTGCATAGAAATTTTCAATTAGTGGGTTTTGAACTAAGTGTACACACTGAACAAAATTTTAATATATTAATTCTATTTCATCTTACATTATTTGTTCATTTAGATTTACAGCTAGGTGAGCTACTCCATGATGGTCATCTATTTGGGCTGTTTGAAGCTATGTCAGCTATTGAGATGATGGACCCAAAGATGGATGCTGGAATGATGTGCAACCGTGGAAATCCTAAGCCTTTAAACTTTCAACAAGCAGTTGCGGTAAATATATAAACCATAATTGTGTACAATTTTAGATCTATTATTTTTATTTCTTTCCCTCTCTTTTTACAAAGTGCTTAAAGATTATAAATTGAAGTATTTAATTTATTATCGTTTTAAAAACAAATACATAAATAGCATTTTAGATTTGTCTGAATATAGAAACTCATTATAGTATTTTTATTTTGAGTTGTTATTACATACCATGATAGTAATCATATGTATTTACAATATCATTCCCTATGTTTTTTTTATGTATTTTGTAGTAGAAAAAAGTGGTAATAATTTAGTGATCTTGTAAATATGGGATAAGTTTTTGAGATTATAAAATTTTATCTAAGTCTGTTCTAGTGTTTCGGTGTGATTTACACAAGGATAATATAGTTACAGTTTTATTATATCGATTAATAATTTATAAAACAGTATTTAATTTTTACAGGCAGGCAAATTGAAAATAGATGATTTGGAACCAAGTGAGCTCATTGGTATAATTGATGCAACAATGGCCTGCATTGTCTCCTGGTTGGAAGGCCATTCTCTTGCTCAGACTGTATTCACAAATCTGTATTTGCATCAGCCACATTTGATTATAAATAAAACTTTAAAAGCATACTGCATTGCTGTATATAAATTGCTTGATTGTATTAGAGATTGCATTAACAAGTAAGTTTTTTAATAAAAGCACTATAAATTATTTATGAAATTAAATTATTAATTACCTTTTATTAAAAGTAAACTTCATAATTTTAAGAAAAATTAACTATAAATAGTCTTCTACATCACTAATGATAATGAACCTAATATATTAGGTCACTTTAAAAATTCTTATCATTGATAGGAATTACCTGTGAACTTTAAAAATGGGTAAGCACAAAAGATCATAGAAAGGTTGCAGTGTCACAGGGTTTTCTGTCTGAAAAATCCATCTTTCAATAATAATAGTAGGTCACTTGAAACCATTAGATTCTTTGTATCTAGAATCTAGATTGGAATATTAGTGTCGAATTCTCCAATAGTGCTGTAGTTTTGAAATTTAGTATAATTAAATTTTTGCTAATATAATTTATATGTTTTATAGTATTTTTTTTATACTATTTTAGGGCACAAGTGTTTGAGGAGGAAGACTTCCAACCTATGGGCTATGGTTATCGTCTGGGCTCAAATCCACAGTCAGGTAATACTTATGATGCTAGTCTTGAAGTCAGTGAGCAGAGGTGCATAGCTATGCTCAGAGAACAAGAAGAGGAATTAAATAAAAAAGCAAGAAGTGGTGAAGATGAGGTTTGTTTTTTTAATTATTTCTCCATAGACATTTTTCAATTAATAAATTTTATTAAGTTATAAACTCTTATAATGAATTTAGTGTTTCTTATTAAATAACAGTGAATTCAGGGATTAGAATTGAATATTATGGGATAATAAGTAAAATATTTAAAAAAAAAATTATGTTAGTTTAAAATCTTTGGAGTAAATCCCACTAGATTAAATAAATAATAAGTAATAATTTACTTACCATTTAAACAATATGTCTATGTATGTATAATAATAGTATGTTTTTTTATTATTATTATTTTATTGTAAGTAAAAAAATATAAATGTTACTTATCACAAAATAGAGAAAAGACACACAAAAGTGTATAAAAGATAAGTAATTTAAATATACTTATCATGTCTTGTTGATTTTCACATAAATGCTATATTTTTACAGGCAAACAGCTTATGGAGTGCATTAGCTGCAAGAATCAGGTTCACTAGGATGTTCTATCAAGCACTTTTGCTAATAACAAAGAGAGATTCCCAATCTGGAGCAGACTGTGTTGCTCTGTTAAATGGTTGCTCTGAAATGATGAAAGTCATCATAAAGACTGCAGGGAAAGGGACACAACCTATTGAAAATTGTTAGTAATTTAAAAATTAACATGTAGTTTTATCTTTGCACAATTGAAATAGTATTTATTATTGATGTTTTGTTAATCTAGGATATAGTAAATTAGTGTACGACATTTCAGTCAAATCTATTCAGTCTTTTAAATATAAGAAGTTAGAAGTATTTATCAATTGTAGTGTATGTATGAGTAACATTTACATTTCACTCAGTATATTAGAATCAAACAAATGGGCTTTGCGTTAAGAAATGATGGTGTATATCCATAACAATCCATTATAGTGCAACTATTGGTCACAGTAAAGAGGTATAATAGCCTACTATTATTACATTTGCTATTACATTGCTTGGTATGGGGTTTCATTTACTATTTTCCTTCAGTTTTTTTAATATATTGTACAGTATTCCTTTCCTTGCATCTTATGTTACATAAATATCTATTGTTTTTAGTTTATGACATATGACAGTATTTTTGCAGCTGATTCTCCAAACCCAATGGGATTTGAGCCGATGATCAATCAGCGTCTCTTACCTCCAACATTTCCGCGATACACCCGCATCAAACCCCGGTTAGAGGCTCTGCAGTACTTTGACGAGCAGGTCACGAGGTTGCGTCACGCGTGGAAGATCACTTCTTGTACGAACTTCCATACTGCATTGGTAATTATGTTATTAAGTAACTTCTTTTAGATATGCACACATTACTCACTGGATAAAATATTTCTAACTAGTTATAATAAGGAGGTTTTTAGTTGGACTGTATTCTTTAAATTGATCATATACTCTTATTTTATTTTGTATTCACGTATGGGGTCAGCTGAGCTGAACGTAACTCATTGGGATATTTTATGCTTCCCCTGCCTTACGCTATTATTTTAGCTCGCGATTTAAGATATCTATAGTATCTTGGCTCCGAATAAGCCATTGCTAGTAAATTTATATTATGATTTCCAATTCCTCACTATGTGTGTGTCCGAACACAGATTCATTTTGTAAAGTATCTTACCTTAGCCTTACATGTGTCCAGTTAAGGCACTCATTATGAGTCTTATCCATTGTCTACCTCAACTGTAAATGAGTTTATTCTTCAACCACTCTGTTTAAGAAATTTTTAAGAATTCTTGAGACATTACTTTGCTGTTGTATTCTTGTATACTCAGCAGTGGAAGGAGATTCAGTATAATCTTTACGTTGCTGTTGGTATGCTCCTAAATCCACTAGATATTGCCTGACATGTTGTTCTCTGTATTTATCTGTCTGTTTTAATTTTGTCCTAGGTCACCAGACTATGCTAAAGTATATATTAAAGTCGGTTTCACCATCATTTCATAGACTCTCTTTATTTGTGGTTTCTGTCCCTATATCTTACCATATGCAGATCTGCACATAGCTTTTTTGTCATAGCCCTAACTATGTACATGCCATTCTTACGTGAATCCATTATAAAACATTAAGCTGGCATATTTGATCTCATTTGACTACATCAGTCTCTTGCCGTAAATTTTTTTTTTTTTTATGCAACTTAGAATTGCTAACAAGCTGACGGCCCACCTGATGGAAAGTGGTAACCGTCGCCTATAGACATGAGCAGTGCCATAGACATAACAGAGTATACTGTTAAATGCTTGGTGTTATGAATTACTTTAGCTGTCTCTGTCTGGTAAAAAAATAATAATTGTAATCTTCCCAGGATTTACTGAGAGATGTTGAGTTGCTCTACGGCAATGGCGCAATGGTGGTTCTAATTGTTGTAAAGCTGTCTGTATACCTAATACCATGTTTGGAAATTGTTCATTCACCATTATAGCTATATCATCGGTATATTCAATAGTATGGTCCTTCATTTAATAATGTCATAAGAGAGTTCACTACAAGCCTCCATAATATTAATGATAGTACCCTGCCCTGGGTGTTTCCAGGGCAGGGCAGAGTGTCTTTAGTAAGTAATTGCTTCTACTTTTACCTTTAATCATATAATAACAAACTGTATTATTTTTTGTAACTGGTCAAATTAAGTGTAAATAAATAAAAAATAACAACACAAACAATAATATAATGTTTACTTTAGAAGTTTTTTAGGACGGTATTTTTTTTCTGCTTTTTTGGTTACTTGAGTTTCCACATAACTATTGCTATAATAATAATATAATAAAACTAACAGGGAAAGTCGACTTATGTCTATAAGTGATGGGGTGTGCTTCAGTACCCCAGTGTAAGAAACGCAATAGGGTAACGAAATTTCGGACATTAATATTTTCTATAGTATGGGGAGATTTTTAGTAGATTAGATTTTCCGTACAACTTTGGTTTCATCCGATATATATAAAATTAAAATCTTTAAATATTCCAGGACTTCTTCATGGAGTTTAGCCGGCAGCGTGCATGCATCTTGTCGCGGTCTGCGCTACAGCTGTTGTATCTAAGCCCATCGCCCGCTAGCACGGCCTCCCTAGCGCAGTCCGGTCCGCCGCGGCCTCATCACGCCTTGCTGGAGATACTGCGCGATTCAGTCAAGAACTTTGTTAATCCTCCCGCTCTCACGCCTAAGTCTCCAGTCGTGTCTACGCCGCAAGTAAGTTGTTCTATGAGGCTTTCATTATAATTATAGTTGTGATCTCGTCAAATATGATTTAACTTTATTTTATAGTTATTCTACATTTGTATTAGAATTGTGTGCAGTAGTAGATCGAGTATAAGTAAGTCATAATATTCACAAAGTATTTCTTTTTACTTGTAATAATTTTCATTGTTTTATTGTATTGTAAAAATCTTTATTGTACATAAGTCAGATTAAATACTAGTAAATGATTTAGTATACAATGGCGGACTTATCCCATAAAGGGATCTCTTACAGTCAACCTTTGAGAAGCTGAAAGAAAACTGTAGAATGTATAAGGGTAATAACCGTACAATTAAAGATAAACTAAATAATACCCAGTAAAAAAAAAAAATTGAATATATAACACAATAAAAACAGCTCTATATACCTACATATGTAAATAATAAAAGTAAATTAATAATAATATAACATTAATAAATAAAAACTTATACACATACACATACATATATACACATATACACACATACATATATATACATATACATATATATACATACATACACATACATATATACACTCCTACATACACATACATGTATACATAATAAATACATATATTCACAATTGGCTCAATGAAGAGGGATTTTCAAAATAAAATTTTATGATACCTGCTTTAAAAGATTTCAGCGACTGTGCCATCTTTAAGTTATTAGGAAGTGAATTCCAGAGACGTGCAGCATGTACAGTAAATGACATGGCATAGCTTTGAGTATTAAAACAAGGCAAATCTATAATGAAGTCATTACTGCTTCTCAGGCGAACATCAATTTCGCGAAATTTGAATCTTTCCTGAAGGTAATGTGGACATGTTGGATTAAAAAGGATATTGAAAAGAAGAGTAAGAATGTGGACATTTCTCCGTAGCCTGATAGGAAGCCATTTGAGTTGACTGCGATAACTAGATATGTGGTCATACTTTCGAAGGTTATAGATGTATCTAATACATTGATTTTGCAGTCGCTTTGTTTTATTATTATATTCCACTCATAAAAATCTACAGTGGATCAAATATTTAGTTGTTAGTATCAATGTTTTTGTAAACAAATTTTCTTAAATATATGGTTGGGAATCAGAGGTATTGTTGACTTATATGTAAATTGTCGACTTGCTCGGTTTACCATATTCAAATTGAGAATGGAAGCGTATTGGCATCTTATGTGACTTATATGAAAGAATTGCTGTAGCAATATTTGTCACTTCAATCGTCAGCATATTTATTATTATGAAATTAAAAATAATTTTCCAACAAATGAATAATAAAATTAATTTGAATTTGTTTCTTATTACAGACGCGTGAATTCGTAGAAAACTTTTTGGCTCGATGCGTGCGTCCGTTTGCTGTACTTCTACAAGTGTGTGGACATAATAGAGCACGTCAACGAGATAAATTTGCACTGCTTCTAGACGAGTTTGCAACACTTCAAGATGAGGTATATACAACCATTATCTTATCATACTAATATAATAAAATTGTTACTACGTAATGTCTGTACATGGGAAATATTTAAGAAAAATTAATGTGTGAGGTCTAAACAAGGGTAATAGAAGTCAAAACAATATTAGAAATTTTGTCTGTTTGTCTTTATGTTTGTTTCTGTATCACGCAAAAACTACTGCGCTAAATCGGATGCGGTTTTCACAGTTGTGTTTCAGAATGTCTAATTTAAAATCTGGTATAGGTTTTACCTTGATACACCATCTAGGAGTGGTCTATTTTTTTGTTTTCCTACTTTTGAAATTCACGCGTACGAAGTAACAGGCAAAAAGCTATTTAAATATCGACAAACGCTTTGTCTCCTATCGCCTCATTCTACTATTCTGTTTCTGTTTTTGGCCTATACAACAATACATATTTATAAAATTTAATTAAAATCAGTTGATCAGTTTCGTAGATTAGCGTTAATGAATATTGCTATAAAAGATTTTTATATCTTTAGAAGATAAGATTTTTATATGTAATAAGGGTTATGTTATAATAAATGTTACTATATTTTTTATGTTATCAAAGCTGTGTCCAAATTTGCTAAATGAGAATGAAGTCAAGATAGTTAGCCCATCGTTATAAATTTACTGGAAATTAACCATAATTAATTAATATTTATCGGCACTGTTTGGTCTATTGTATAATATCTTATTTATAAATACCTATTTATAAGTGTAATGACTGTTTTTGCCATAATAAAAGAAAAATTCAGTGGAGACCGTTAGATGATCGACTTGACAGGTTATATTGCTAGCCTTGGGATTACTAAACTAGCGTTTTTTAGATTTACTACCCTCTTATTCATAAAAACTAAAACTTTTTACAAACTTATTTTGCTATTACGCTGTTTTGCCACTTTCTTTCAAATTTGAAATTTAACGTAAAAGAAGAGATTTAATAGAATAGAATAGAATAGAAATCATTTATTCAAATAAACTTACATTGAAGCACTTTTGAAAAGTCATTACATTTTTTTTTAATTTACCTAAATAATAATAAATTTACCTTAATAGCTAAAATAGGTTTGTGACTGAAACTAGTGAAAGGGGGCTAGATTAAAGAGATTAATGATGGTTCTAAGATGATTTGGATATTGAAAATCAGAAGGGATTGTTACACCTATTGCCCTCATGTACTTTTTATACGGGTTAATGTTAAAAAAGATCAAAAATAAGTTTTGTTTTTGTTTTGTCTCTGTTTTTATGCTAAGGTTAGCCATACACTATTGATCACAGGCGGAGAGTGTAGATGCCGTTGTGAGCGGAGCAGCTGGTTCAGGTCCTCGTGCCTATTTCGGCACGTGGTTGCTCTATCACGTGCTACGCGTCATGATCGCGTACCTGCTGTCCGGGCTCGAGCTCGAGTTATACAGTGTGCACGAATACCACTATATATTCTGGTAACGTTTTGTATACATGTGTACAATATGGGCATGATTTTTTATTTTGTTATACTATATTTTACAAACTATGCCATGTGGTCGCGGCATAGAATAGGCCACCTTTTACTTTCCCGTGGGTGTTGTAAGAGGCGACTAAGGGAACCTAATGGTCGAGAGAGGGGGGGAAAGGGATTGTTAGTAATGGAGACTAAAAATACCATTGCTAGCAATATACCCAACCAGGTCGATCTCCTCGTGGTCCCCCCTGGAAACTATTATGGTTAATTCCTGATGAATTCATCATGGTGGGCAAATTGGCCTGTTTTTATTCTCATCTATCATCTTTCATTGGTGCTCCGCCAGAATATCCCGTTAGCGCAGGCGGGGTTACCATACCATTTTCACCCATCAAAAAATGGTCGAGAGATGGACAGCAGCGTCCCTCTTGAAACATTACCAAAGTCTAACTGCGCTTGTCAGTTCGCCTGCCAAGCGTGGCAACTACTGGTAAAACCCCCCAATAGGCAGAGGTCTATGTTCATCAGTGAACAGTTAATGGCTGACATGATGATGATTCTACAAAATAATCACCTAAAAAGTAAGAAACGTTATGGAGTAGGAAGAGTTTTGCTTACCAGGGTTTTGATATTTATGTTTATATGTGTTTCTTATGCAGCAAGCAGTAGCGGTTTTAGTGTTTAGTTTAAAATTATTGTGTTAATTGTTATGTTTTTAATTTTATTTTTCTGATTAAATATCCAATAAAATATTAATTGAAAGTTGGGAATGCTATTTTATGCATTTCAATTAGTTAATTTTAAATTATAATTGAGTTATTATAATTCTCCATCCAAAGGTTGCCTGGAAGAGATCGCTCTTAGCGATAAGGTCGCCCATTGTTTTCTCATAGTAATTATTTCTTGTAATTATTTATATTTATAATAAGTTTACTATTGTAATCTTTTGGAGGAAACAATAAAGAGAATCTATCTATCTATGTGTTGCTTGAAACAAAAATGTATTTATTGCTTGCAACTATTAACATTCACTTTATTATTATTATAAATGTGAAAGTGAATTTATCTGTTTGTTATTTTTTTTTTGGCTTAAGTCATCGAGAAATTTTAATACTATTTGACATACTAAGTCGCGACACGTGAAGTTTTAGACCAAAACAGGTAATTGATATAACTGTGTCCTTAGTAAATAATCTTTATATAAATTTTTAGGTATTTGTACGAATTTCTATATGGCTGGTTGGTGTCAGCGCTAGGACGCGCGGAAACGTTAGCGAACGAAGGCACCCGACGGTCGGACGCGAAGCGTGGTGGCACGCGGAAACAAAAGAAGCGGAGTCGGCCGTATGCGCGAGAGGGACTTATGTGCCAAGTCATGCAGAATATGTGCGGCGGGTACTATAAGGTAAAACACTATCTTCATAATAATATTTACTAATAAAAATATTAGTTTTATTATAATAAAGATATTAGCTTATTATATTATAAATATTAATAACTAACTTGGTTAGGTTTTATTTTTAAATAAATGTTTACAAATGGAATGGTAATCTCTCTTGTGTCTATCTGATGTCTATATGATTAATAAAATGCACATAAGTTCTAAAAATACTAGTCTCTTAATAGGGCAATGACCTTTATGAGAGGGAAAGGGTTAGTAATGGCAGCGAACTATGCAATGGTAAAAGTTGGTTGTGGGCATCATGTCAAACGATTTCTCTGAACACCATTGTTAATTTTGTAACTATTCAAGTAGTTTTTTTTATTGCGACGGTTACCACTTTCCATCAGGTGGGCCGTCAGCTTGTTTGCCATTTGTAAGTTGTATTAAAAAAAATGTGATTCGATATTATATTTTATGACTCACGATTGCAGGACCATTAAGGTAGACCATACTCTTATATTCTTATATTTTAATAAACTTAATGATTTTTTTATTATTTTAGGCTTTAGTGGCTTTCAAACTACAGGGAAAGATTCGTCAGCCACAGTCAGAGTTCGACAACGAAGCAGTTCGGTACAAGCATCGGTTTGCGCCGCTCTCGGTTCTCACGCCGCCACAAGTTCACTATCACGAGTTCTGTGAGATGACACAGCCGTTGCAGTGAGTATGATATCCATCCAATTTAAACCTTTTATAAGCAAATGACTAAATCAAAAACATATATATATATATATATATATATATATATATATATATATATATATATATATATATATATATATATATATATATCTATATTAGTTTAATAACTTGGGTATGCAATAATAAAGACAAAAATAATAATTTAAAAATTCACAAATGACAAACTCTACATCTCCACTTAGATGTTGTGTGGTTTATACTGTTCTTAATGAAAATATGAATGACATGTTTGTTTAAAAGCCATCTTAAGAAGTAATTTCTACAAGTATTCTATATTTAAAGTGATCTGTATAGTTTGGTAGGGGTCGGAATATTAGTCCACTTGTGGGCCTTGAAATTATTGGATGGAAGAGAAATAAGCAGGGGAATAAAATCTTTCATTGAATACACAACCATAATATCTTTTGAGTATTGGCAATTTATTTCAGATATGAAAATCCTGTGATACTGTATCTTGGAGGTTGCAAGCATTTTCAGCAAGCTCGATCTCTATTGGAAACTATTACAACGCCAGATCAAGAGGTAAATAAATATATAAATAAATAAATATAAATAATATAAAAATTCATTATGGTGTTAAAATTGTTGTTGAGAAGTCTATACATTGAATTTTTTTTTCTACTAGGTAAAGAGTGTAATTGTCGTAATCTAATAAAGCTGTTTTTATAACTCCCTAGCCTTATTAGTGCGTAGTTATTAGGATTCTGTACATCATTTAGTAAAAGGTAGATTATGTAATTATTTGAATTGTAATGTAACTTATTCTGTTTTGGTTGCTATTCTGTAATTATACCAGAGAATTTTGATTCTTATTGCTAATGTAATAAAATTACTTTTGTTACAGATAACAGATCTTCTCAAAGTAGCCAAAACAAATTTTGTCGTGCTCAAGTTGTTAGCTGGCGGACACAAGCGAGACTCGACTACGCCTCCAGAATTCGACTTTTCTGTGCATAGACATTTTCCAATCATTAAACTTGTATAATTTATTCAACTGTAAGTGTAGTATTACACAAATAGTTGTGAATTGTATTTTAATTAGAATATATATTTAATTGTAGTACATGTTTTTAAAATATTCCGAGCTCTTTGAAAGTTTTTTGATAATTACATTGAAGTGGGAAAGGGTGATAACCAATAATTGATAATCGCTTTCGTTCGGGGAGAAAAATTGTTAGTTGGGTCTAATAACCTCCACGCGATTTCCTCTGGCAACCGTAGTGGTAAATTTTTTAATTCATTACGATGGGCTGACCAGCTTTCGTCCTCATCTGTCATCACACACTGGTGCCCGCCAGTGTATATCGATAACTCAGGCGGAGCTACTATTCCTTTTTTATCTATAAAAAAGCCGCTTTCTGGCGAAACCGCAGGACTAGTTTATAATTGACGGGCAGTTTATAAAACCCTTATAGAGTTGTGTTTCCGAACGCTGAATTTAACGGGTGGTTAACCGAATCAAAGAAAGAAAGTTCTGAAATAAAGGAACAAGGTTGCCAACCGGGTAACTGCCACACTGGCCGGAATAGTGTTATTATTATAATTAGGATTACCTGCAAACATATTTTTGGTTCTTAATTGTAAACACAATTAGAGTGCAAATTCAGCGAAATATAAGTTTAGTGTATAGGACCCAACCAAGACAACAAAGAACACTTGTTTTATTGACGTCTAACGGCGTCGATAACTAAATAGAAAATGTAACGAACTGCGAGGCGTAAGCTTTGCCTGTATTATAAGATACAGATAGTGTAAATTGACAGATTAGGTTTAACCCATATTTAGCGGATCATTTGCTGCTACATATTTTTTTTTATAAAGGAAAATTTTATCCTCCCAGGAAAAATACTCTTATAAAGACAGATATTAAACAGTTTTTTTGCAAGCGCTTTAGTAACGCCTCACACAAATGTAAAGCTTACGGATTATAATCGTCATTTGTAGTATACAAAATATATTCTATTTTATCAATATGTATTCTATTTGGACAAAATAGTGTACATTTATTTTGTCCATAGTTCGAGTACATACACTTGGGGAAACTGCAAACGAGTTCATCTGATGGAAAGTGGACGTTAGAAAACTTGTTGCATAGTGCAATTCTGATGTAAATGCGGCTAATCAATTATATATGTATACTCGTATAGATGATGAGATAAATAGAAAATACGTCTGGCGTTTTCATTATTTAATTGTATTGACGGATTCCATATTATTTTAATAGTATAATAAAAAAATATTAAAGGAGTTAATTTAAAATCTAAACTACCAAAAAAAAATTTGTCTCGGCCTTCATATGTTATCACTCCGGATGATAACTCCGGTGTCTATATGCATGACCCTTCAGATCAAAACAACTCGTTTTATAAAGTAAATAGGTAACACCAATTTGGGTCAATCGCACAAAAACTAATTATATGTTTGTTTGTTGTATTAATTATAATTATAAGCCTCACCATAAGGGCGATTTGCCAGTATTTGCTACGCTTGGCAGGCTAGCCAATAGCAACCGCAGTTAGGTTTTGGAGATGTTTTAAGAGGGACGCTGCTGCCCATCCCTCGCCCTCCTTTAGTCACCTCTTACGACACCCACGGGAAAGGAAGAAGTGGCCTATTCTATACTGAGATTACACGGTGACTCTATTATATATTATATCTATTTACTAGTTACTAGGATATTTAAGAAAAGTTAATATGAGGGGCCTTAATCAATGGATGCCAAAACAATAATGTCTAGAAATGTTTTCTGTCTGTATTTTTGTTTCGGCATCAAGCAAAAACGTCTACAGCAAATTAGAAACGGTTTTTACAGTTGTATTCCTGAACGTTTAAAAATTAGTTGGGGTTGTTTCATCTTGATACGCCATGTGTAAGTAGTTTTATTTAATTGGTTTTCGTATTTGTGAAATGTACGCATACAAAGTAGTAGGTAAAAGTCTAGTATCGATACGGAAGTTATACATAAAATAGTAATACTTCGTAATACCAGGTGTCTGTAAAATATCAAATATAAACATATTTTTATTGTTATTTAATGTTGAATCTCCTCATAATGTTATTAGCTTTTTCTGGTCTATAATAAATGCATAACTATAGTAATTGTTTCTCGTAAATTATTGCATTGCGCAATTAGACATTAGGTATTTATGTAGGCAACAAATCAGGGCTGTCGATTTGTAAGAAAGTTGAAATAAAAATCGATTTTTTTACACGAGAGCTCAGATAAAAACAACTTGTTTTTAATTTACTTTTATAAATAAAAGTTTACACTTAGGTGTATACTGATATCGAGCATTCTGAAATTGATCATGAGATCTCTTAAAAAAAATATGGTAGTAATAAAAGAACCATGAGGGCGAGATATACCTGACAACCAACACAGTTTTTACGCGGTTATTGTTTTAAGTTCAGGTGGTTTTTTTTTTTCAAATGGTTTATGGAATGGAATATTAACTCCACTTGCGCAAACGGATATACGAGTATAGCGTATACGCTGGCAGAGTATCAGCGAGGGATGATAGGTGAGGATGAAAAGGCAAGTCAGTTAGCCTTTTGTGATGAATTCACCTGAAATTGCACAATAACTTCCATGAGGAAGTCGACCTGAGATGGTTATATTGCTAGCAATGGGGCTGGTAGTCGCCATACTACCAAACTTTTTCTCCTAGTTGGGGTGATAACGACTATGCCAAGAACAACAAAATTAACGTGGGATTGACATGAGAGAAAATGTTTCACGTTACACACATAAATACGAATATAAGAAAACTGGAAACTTGACGAGAAAAACATTTTAAAGATTGGTAGAGAATGTCATGATTTTTTCTCATTACAGTTTAAATAATTAACAAATGAATTTAGAACATAATCTCTATTCGAGTATTCTTTAGGAATCTGCATGAAAACCTTGATGTTATTTTATTCACAATGGAACAAAAAAATACAATTATGAAGTTATTGCAGTACATTGTTACTAGGCCCATCGGCGATCTAAATCACATAGTAGGTATTATTTAATTATATGTCCTGAGATAATAGTTCTTTGCCGCATTTAAGTAAACAATACGAAGTCTCATTATTCAGTTTTATCGATTATGTAGTTATGTCATTGCAATAATTATGTCTGCACAGTTGAGGCACAGAATATACGTCGAAAATGTTCATTTTTATTTTCAAATAATAAGTGTTTTTGATTTCGAAAATTATCTTTTTTGGATTTTGAAAAGAAAAAGGTAGAATAACAGTAATTGTTATTTTTCCGAGATAGGTATCGGTTTGCATCAGTAACCCCAAGTCAGCAGAACCTGGGGTTACTGATGCAAAAAATTAAAATATGATAAAAGTATATATTTTTTACTTTATTTAACTTTCTTGTGGCAATCCTTACATATTTGTCGGCGCATAAAAAGAGCTTTCCTTCTGGGTATAATATTTACTTTGTGGTTGAGGGATAATTTGTTCACAGACAAAAATTCTAAGCTTGATGTATTTGAATAGAATAGAAATAATCTTTATTCAAATAAATTTGTCAAGTTCTTGCGACACGATTTTCTCAAAAGAATCTCGGAGAAGAAGATCGGCTCTTACAAAGTGAAATTTTGTTGGGGCACAAAAAGTTTACACAAATACGGAGGCATCTACATATCTTTATAGCTACAGTTTGACCATAAGAATAAATTATGGTCTGACTAAAAACTTGAACATTTTTATGACGGCATTTTAAATGTTTAAAAGGGTTCTACGTTATAAGAATCATAGAACACTATGCATCAATTTTATATAGACCGTGATTGTAATATTTAATAGGTAATTATCAAATTTATATAGCGCAGCACGATCGAAGTCATACAAGTACGACCAAAGTACTTACTTATTTTAAACATGACATGTCGACACATCACTCGTAAATAAACTGTTTACCGCAGAGCGAGAACAATATGAATAGACCTTCGTATTATGGAAAAATCTGTGTTAAATTTTAATATATGTTTACCTTTAGTCTGACCTTCATTTGTGATGCCTTACTTACTGTAGTTTTTTTACTTAGTGTAGTTTTTTCTAATTCGAGCTAGAGGTAAGACAGTACAAAATAATCACTGTTGAGGTATTGGGTAACAAATAAGACTTTTATGAACAATGGATATACAACTTTGTCTCGTTAGTATTGTGTGTTTAAAACAGATTTCATATTTCAATGCAATCGTGGATCTAGGAGATGAAGTCGGACAAAAATTTCTAGCGTGCCCCCACTATGCTGTGGATGACGTAATAGGCAATTCAGAAAACTTAATGGTCGAGAAATGGACAGCAGCGCCCCTCTTAAAACTTAATCAAAGTCAAATTGCGGTTGCCAACCCGCCTGCAAAGCAAAGCTTGTTGCAACTATTGGCAAAACCCTTCTTATTGAAGAGGCCTATGTTCAGAAGTAGACAGTTAAAAGGCTGAAATGATGACGAAAATGATAAATGATAGTGGATTAGATTAGCAAGTTCAAATGACAGTGGTCCAGCCACATAGTTCGAAGAATCGACAAGTAATCTAAGGATGACAGATTCTCGAGCGGTATTCCTGTACAGATGAGTGCTGAGTAGAGTGACTGGATGCGGCAACTACTCCAATGGGTTGCAAAAAAAATAATAGTGAATAAATATTGAAGAAAAAAGATTAAAAATAAAATAAAATGTGTATGGTTATTACTTTACCACAACAACCCATTGTTGTCCCATTGCTTCTCCCATTATAAGTGCGATTTGAACTCGAAATAAAGCTGTTTTTATTTCGAGTTCCCCTGCTATTACAGAGTTCCCCTGTTATTACATTGCTCTATTCTCCTAAATTTCCCTAGTCGGATATTACAGCATTATGAAAAAACCATAAGCATCAGGTGTACCGTCAGCTTGTTTGCCTGCTTAACAATAACCAAATTTAATTTTTGCAGTCTATATCTATTATTTATTTAAAAAAAAAATGCAGATATTTACATCTACATAGGTAACCTGCCAAACGAGTCTGTGTGAGAGAGAAAAATAATACAAGCATCTACGTAAATACTTAGGTGACATCAATTGCTTACATAATAATTGTTAAAGAATGCATGAAAATATGCTTTTGATACAATTAGCAATACGATTTTATTTTTGTTTTATTTATTTTTATCCGTACTATACAACCAGATGTTCGTGCCCTGGTTACTTACAGCACAGGGTATTCTATTACTTATATATTGACGATCAGGTTATCGGTGTGATCGTGTAGTACTTATTATTATTTTTCCACTGCTGGGTACGGTTTTCTTTATTGGAGAAAGATATTATTCTAGTATTACTGTACTGGGCAGAAGTCTTGATATCTATAGAATTTTTAAATTTTCTGTCTGTTGCACTGATGTAGTGTAAATTCTAAAATATTATATTAGGTATATTTCATAATAGTCAAATTTACTTATCTAAGTCATTCACAAGGGGGGGAAGGGATTGTTAGTAATGGAGACTGTGAATTCCATTGCTAGCAATATACCCAACCAGGTCGACCTCCTCGCGGTTCCCCCTGGAAACTATCATGGTTAATTCCTGATGAATTCATCATGATGGGGTAACTGGCTTGTTTTCATTCTCATCTTTTACCCTTCACTGGTACTCCGCCAGCGTATCCCGTTAGCGCAGGCGGGGTTACCATAAAAAAAAAGTCATTCACAAATTTTGGAAATTGTACCTATCATATTTAACTGGATGCCATAGTATAGAAGTTAATTTATATTTAAAATAATTGAATAAAACAAAAATATAAAATTTTCGTGACAATTTTATTCCTATATACCTATTTGTTCGTACTTAATTGGGTAGGTAGGTACATAATGTTAGTAGTTAGTACATTTTACCTCATTGGACATATTTATTATTCAAAGATGTGACTAAAAAAAAAATTAGCTCAGTTACGCTTATACTCGTATATTAAACAGGTAGATTTAGCCATATTATTTAATTTATTTATTTTATCATAATTTAAGTCATTCATATTAGATATAAATATAAGACAAGTTACTAATATAGTTGTTACTATAAACATGTAAATCTTACATTTAAGATATAAATATTTTAAAATATTTTCGATTCAAATTAAGAAAAATCGCATCAATAAATACGAGTAATACTCATATTTATTGATCGATATTATATGATATCGACGGAAAACTTGAAGGTTAGAAAAAAATAATACTAAGCGATGATCTTGATACTCACTATGTTATTTCTTATATAAATCTCGTCTGATTATCATCGACAGTACTCAGAAATGACTCAGATTATAATTTAGGTACGTATCATAAACTCATAATAAAAGAAATATTGTGTTAATTTTGCTTTTTAAAAATATGCAATTATACATAATTATAAAAAAGAAATTTATTTGATTTATTTCTTTAATATTAATTTCCTTCTTCGTCATCACTCTCGGCATCTGAGACATCCGTATAGCAGTCGTGTTCCAATGCTTTCACTTTTAAAAAATCCATAACTTGTGGACCTGAAATAAATTTTTAAATAATTATTGTATGACAATAATCATTACATGAACAGAAGTTGGAACAGTACAATGCTTCAAACATAGAGTAACACCATAGTTCCTAAGAAAAGATATGTATGAGGGGATCATGACCATCACGCGGCATATATAGGTGAAAGTTACCATTTTATAGTAGGTGGGCTAGTAGCTTGTTTGTAATTCTAAGTTGAACAAGAAAAAAAAATTAAAGAAAAAAAAAGTCTTATATTTGAAACAGAACTAAACGAAAACGTTTCATAAGATATTTTTAAGTCGCTGTTACCATCCGTAACTAGGTAAATAATAGTTTTGTAACCTTGGCCGAGTTAATTTAATTTAAGCTGAGCAGTCCATATTAGTCTATATATAAAGCATCGGGTTAAGGTTATTCTCGACTGCCGGCTTTTAGGATTTCAAATATTTGCTGTGTTTCGGTTTGAAGGGTGGGATATGGCGTGAATTTACTGGGTACAGAGGAATAACACCGGAGTCCTCAGGAATGGCAACGCATGGGGGGTATCATGGGCGAAACAGTATACTTTGTTATGTCCATGGTACCGCTCATGTCTATAGGCGACGGTTACCACTTTCCATCAGGTGGGCCGCCAGCTTGTTTGCCATTGTAAGTTGTATAAAAAAAAAGATTTGTCTTCAAAGTATACCGATTGTTCTTGTTAAGCCATCGCATTAGTCCTCCGAAGTAGTGGCGCATGTATGTATACATTGTTGTCAGTTTTTAATTCATGAAATATATATGTAATTAATTTTATGCTCGTTATTACGCGAGGATTTCAGAAGTAGGAAAATCAATTAAAGACACCGCTTCAAAATGGGGTATCTAGATGAAAAATACATCCGACTTTAAGTTAGATCTTCAGGAACACAACTGTAAAGAACACATCTAATTTAGTGCATTAGTTTTTGCGCGATGCCGGAACAAACATATAGACAGACAGATAAAATAAAAAAAATATATATTGTTTTGGCATCTATTGGTCTTGTTATAAATTGATCTCTAATATTAATATTTCTTAAATATCTTCTATGTATAGAGTTCGACTAGTTAAAAATTTATTATATTAGTGTCATACGATTGTATATTACCAGGTGGGGGTCGCTGCCCTGCCACACGTATCGTACATAACAATAAATAAGATATGATAAATAAGAGATGAATACAGCAATTATTAATTCAGTCATATTGTTAATTACAGTTCGCCCGTTAATTTGTTATTTCTACTACTGTTTAATTGTGTAAATTTTATGTACCTGTTTTTTAAATAATTAAAATTTAACAGACTGATGTATATAGAAATTATACAGATATTATAATGCAAACCTTCAGTATAGACAATGCTGGCTCCAAAGTCTTGTATTGGTGTGGGTGTAACAGGACGATCGACACCCGCAACGCTGACATCATCACCTTCGTCATCACTGTCCACTGTTATTTCCTCTTCATCACAATCTTCCACCTTAAAATATAAAGCTGGTTTGAGTAATAGCGCTGTGTCATAATTATATATAACCTATTTAAGAAATGTAAGGCTCTGAAATATTTATCTCGCTTGTGACGACCATTATTAATTTTATCCTTAGGAATACACCAAAGCAAAACAGGAAAAAAAAAACGGATCTTATATAGTGGCCATATATTTTAATGGAGGCTAATTTAGAATAGAATACTTTATTGTTTGGAATAGGCGATACAAAGCTTTCTTTATAAATTTTGTTAGATTAAAATAAATATCAGTAGGTATGTACCTGAATATCAAAAGATTGTTGCTTATTCTTGAATTCAAGTATTGCTGCAGCAGATGTTCGTCTAGAACTTGGACATTGGCTTGGTGAAGGTGTGCATTGGCTGGCGCAGCCTTCGTCTATTTGGTAACCCACATCAAGATTCAGAGGCAAGCTCGGGTTGCCGGAGCCTCGCCGTCGCCTTAACTGACATTCGCGGTCTTCCGCCATTGTTTCTATGAAAGTTATTTAGTTTTTAAATTATAGTATACAGATGAAACGAATTGAAGAAGGCCACTATTTGGACCAAATTAATCATATCACAATCTATTAAAGAACTTTGTTTTTGGTTCTTCAAGACATCAGATTTTTTATATGTTTTTCAAGTACACTTAAAATATTGGAAATCCACTTGATATAAGTAATATAGTGTAAGTGATCACCGAAGCCTTAGCCACGTTTGCAATACGAGAGGAATCATTCGTGCCTCGTCGACACTGCTGATAATTTTGAGTTACCTAGTAGTTCTAATGTCATATCAAGCCATACTCTTTAAATTAAGTTCAAGTTGTTTTATGGCATAACTATTAGGTAAGTGCCCATATACGAGTAGAGGACTTTGTATTTCTGTATAATCTCTATTGGTTCATGACCGATTTTATTACATAAATATAATATAATTTATACTTACATTAATATGGTAACGCAGCTAGATCACTGGGATGTGGAAGTGATGTAATAAAATTAATTCAATATCTATATGAATATGAAAATCACTCAAATATTACTTGTCGACTTATTTACAAAGTGGTCAATACGAATAGAATGTGGTCACTGGGCCTAAGCTCAGTAAGTAGATCGAGGCTGGCGAGCTCGGGGTGAGAAGCCATAGCAAGATAATCTGTAGTAGTCAGTGATAGCCAATCTTTTATAAAAAAAAGAAATAAATATATTTTAGATCCTTCTGAGACCGAATCTTTATGGAAGGAAATATTCTGAAGTGACGAGGGAATTCTGTCTCTAAATATTTCTTGAAATTATATAAATTTAGATAGATTTACTTTTCAACACTAAAGATAAAAAATAAATAGATCGTCACTGGTTTCTAAACTGAAGTTTCTGTTTAATATATTATTATTGCCGTGTGCTTATAAAATAGGTCATCGCTTCTTTTTGTGCGTGTCGTAAGAGGCGACAAAAAGAACTTAATGGTAGAGGGATAGTCAGCAGTATCCCTCCTAAAACATTTCTAAAAGCCTAATTGCCCTTACCAAACTGCCTGCCAAGCGTGCATCTACTGATGAAACCCCCTTTATGGTGAAGGCTTATGTTCAGCAGTGAACGGTCAGTGGCTGAAATGATGATGTAATTATTTTTGAAAATCGGAAATTATCTAATATAAATGAGTCATTTATATTACAAAATTAGCTTTGTGCCCGCTACTTCGTATGCGTGGATTTTAGAAAAAGGAAGGCCAAAAAATAAACTACATTTACATGTCGTATTAAGATAAAACAGTTTTTATGTTACACCTTTAGGAATGCAAATGTGAAAACCGTACCTAATTTCATGCAGTAATTTCATATATTTTAATATAGACATACACATTTTCTAAAAGATATTGTTTTAGCATCTTTTAGTCTTATTAAGACCTCTAATAATAATTTTTCTTATATATTCCTTATATTTTATACGTCTGTATATGTCTATGTAGATGTCTATCGTCTAGTTATAATCTATTATATTAGTATTTAAGATGTGACAGTAATATCAGAATGATGATAGACTAAGAATACCAAGCGACATTTAGCTTTTCCATTTTCAAAAAGTGGTAAGAGTATAAATAACAGAACAAAACAAACATTATGGTACGAGTATACTATTGTGAATGTTGTAACGAACAAAATTTAAGATAAATATATTTGAATACGTAGGATAATTATACACCAATCACTTTGACAACAATATTACCATCTACCTACACCTATTGCTTTTACTTTCTAAAGTTACATTCTCTTGGCATTTGTATGGATTCGAGTTCTAATTTTTGGCATAATTATCTTACTAAAACTTTTATATGAAAATTGTAAGAAAATGTATAATAATTGTACGTAATTATATATAATAAATATAACAATATAACCTTGTCAGTTATTGTTCTTCAGTATACTTACGTAGACAATAGGTAACATGACACTGACTCTGTACCTGCGTAGGTATAAAATCTGATTAAAATAATATTTTTATGTTTCTTGTACAATGTGGAATGGTAGACATGTCGACAGATCACCTGTGGTAAAGTGTTAAACATTGCCAATAGACATGAACAGTAGATAATATATTACCAATACCAGGTAGTCTACCATGAAATGAAATTTCGAATTTTCGGGCTCAATTTCGTGTTTTTGTTTATACCGAAATTGACCTGGTATTACGCTTAACATTTCGGTCACCCCGTTCGCCTAGGAGCTTAATATTTCATTCGTCATAAATCCTACCATTAAACATTATTTTTAAACGGTATGTATCATGTAATTTTGACATTAAATTCTGTTTCGTTCGGTTACAAAATTTCGAAAAACATTTTCGAGTAAGCACTCAGATTTTACGTACCAAAATCCTACTTATATGATATAAGTATAAATAAAATATGTAAAAAAAAATTAAACGTAGCCTATGTTCTTATTAAACTCAAATCATACGTGTATATAAAAAAATTACGTTAATTAATTTTTAGGGAAAGGATAAAAATAAACAAACTTACTTTTTATAACATTAGTAAATACAAGGATTAGGCTAAATTATGAACATTACCATAAACAATTATTTTACCTTATGCAATGCAGTAACCTAGATATTGAATAGGTTAATTGTGCACACAGCAGTATGACCGTACTTGTCGTTCACTGCCAACAAGTGCATATACCTGAACTAGTTAAATGTATATTTTAAATCAATTAAGGTTTAAACAACACAATGTTTTATAAAAACACTATTAATAAGTCTTCGATTCGGAAATTCGAATTTAAAGCAATCGCTTCCAAAAAGTCTTCTCTAAAACAGCTACGAGTTACGGTTTTGCTCATCGCTTTTGTTGTTTAGCTTTATGTCAAAATATATTTATATTTGAAATGTTTGTATATTATTAGTCAAAATTTATAAGGTGTCTCTAAATCTACTTATTAATAAATCGATGTACAATTACAGCCTTGGTAGATACCAATAGGTATAAAAGCTGGGTGAAAATTAATACTTCTTCCACTAAATTGATATTTGTACGTACGAATTTTACACCAATACAATGTTGCCATAAAATTTTTTTTTATTGTTTTTTGGAAACTTGGTTGTACAGGGGAAAACGTAAAGTTTAACTGAAAGTACGAGTGCGGTACCCAAAAAAGAGGATAATGATTTTAATATCATTTTATCAAGAAATGTAGATACTTTAGTACCATTTTCTTAATCATCTTTACCTTGTATCAGCAATACCATATGCATAATTTTTAAAAATGACAAAATATGGAGAGTGCTTTAAGTTGCTCATTACTTATTTTTTTAATGAGTGATAATGAAATGGTCATTCCGCTAGCGCTAATGCCATACGCTGACGGGGTACCAGTGAGGGATGAAAAAGCAGGTCTGTCCATAGTAACGGATTCAACAAGAATTAACTAGAATGATTTCTAGGGGGAACTACGTGGAGGTCGACCTGATAGGATATATTGTTAACAATGGGGCCATTACACCTCATTACCCCCTTACGTTACACCTTTTCCCTTTTAATACTGTGATGTTTATGATCAATGTCGACTATATCACTTTCCAACAATATCTTTGCTATTTACAGGATTATAGAAATAGGCATAAAGTAAACTCAACCAAAAGCTGTTAAGGATAACCAAAGCTATTAACTATGTAATTAGTACCATTTAAATAAATTCTAATATGTGTCCGCAATAGGACACTTATACGCTTAATTAGACATCGGCTTCCTGACAAAAGTAGTTTCCTGCCTTGATTTCCTTCGGAGTTCTATATAAAAGAGTAAATATAACCGGTAGATCAGCACAATTTGTTAGTAAGGTAGGAAACTCAGTTGTCTTACAAAATGAAAACATTCTTGTTTTTGGTTTTCGTAATGGCCGTAGCTGGTCAGGCTGTGGAAGCTCATGTAAGTATAGTAGGAGAATAAAATATATATAAGAAAAATAAAGAAGGGAATATTTAAATTATTAATAATTTTAGTATTATCAATTTTAATAATAATTATAATAAATATATTTGTCTATTGATGTAGGATGTGATCCAGTTATGATTGTTTGTTTTTTGTTTAAATTTGTTTAGCTTTTTAAAACATATTAAAATATCTTATGGTCTTTATATCTTCATGTATAAATAAATATTAGAAGAAATAGGATTTTTTTATATTTAGAATCTCTAATTATTTAAATAATGCTATCTGAATGTAACTTTATTTGAATAATTCTTTAGTGTTTTCTGAAAAAAATATTTTTAGATACATATTATAAATGGCATTTAGAAGACATTATGGATTGCTATAAAATAAATAAATGTATAAATTAAATACCATATAATATGTTATGGTACTGATAATTAAAGAATCTTTAGTGTAATCTTAATTGATCCTTTATAAGATTGTTTAAGGTGGTCGATTCCAGTAAAATTAGTATTAGCGTAGAATCCAATTCATAATTCTGGTAATAGTCATATTATTGTTATAGTATTTATTTCAAAGATTAAGTACATTTAGATAATTTTTAATTTGGTGCAAATTTAATGAAATCGAGAGAAAAAATAATTTCTATTCAATAAGCATATTTAAATATATAAAAAACATACTCTAATCTGTATTAAATTGTACCCTATATTTATGAAAATACTGATCGATGAAGTTTTTACTGTGAAAGGTAATGAGAACATGGTTTTGAAATAATGCAAAAGTCGGTTGTGGGACAATGTTTTATTATGGATATATGTTCTTCGGGATCATTTTTTATTCTCTCATATTCTTTTCTCTTATGTAATGTTGAGATAATTTTCTTCACGAGTCTTTTTAGTTTTCGTTTTAGCTATATTGCTATCTGAATCAGAAACAGTTTCGTTACTATTTTTTATAACAGTGTATATTTTTTGTATTTTACACCACTTGCATGACAAATTCATTTGCTTTTTCAGTTCTGTATAACTAAATAAAATTGATGGTAATGAAACTGTGAGTAATGAATTATTTTAACTCTTTTTTAAATTATTCACCTTACAGTCGTTTCTCACGAATAAAATGTACATTAATTTAGAAGATATGAATTACGCTTACGTCACCATTTAAACAAATTTAAAACAGCAGAAATTACACATATCAATCATCCACATTCAACATCATCATTTCATTCATCATTTTATATAATTTCAAATAATACACCCCCGATTTTGTTACTGTTAACTACCTCACTGACACGCACACGTTCGATGCAGGCAGAGGAGTACATTATAAATATACATACAAATATATTATTTACATTGCAAAAGTTGCTGAAGGTAATTATAAATTTGTAGAAACAAATTTACGTATGTATTTACGAAAATGTAATTAATGTACATTGTATACTTTGCTATAACTGACGGCGTCCTATTAAATAATATGCTGTATAACCTTCAGCTTAAACTTTATTTTTTTTACTTTGTTTTACTTGTAACGAGCAGGACACTGAAGGTAATGAAAATTACAGATGTAAAATATTGTTTTCATTTATTAATTTAACTCCATAACTGATTATTCTACATAGAACATATTCGTATGTGACTTTTATTAAAAAAAAAATTACAGTCTTAGGTTACGTAGTTTGTTTAAAAATTTGACGGACATGTAATTTGCACCAAATCAGAGAAATACCCTTTAAATGTTTCAATAAAAAAAAACTACGGAAAACTACCCAATATGTATTATTTATTGTAATTTACTTGCGCTTTGTCTGCGCTTATCATTATATATATATATATATATATATATATATATATATATATATATATATATATATATATATATATATATATATATATATATATATATATATATTATACGACTTAGTATAAAATATAATGATGTAAAGTGGTAACCGTCGCCTATAGACACGAGACACGTACCATGGACATAACAGAGTATACTGTTTCGCTCATGATACCCTCCATGCGTTGCCATTCAGACCAGACATGCAACACAGACATGCAAACACACCTATTTAGGTAAATAAAATTTCAGTGGAAGAAAAATTATAGTGATTTTAATACATTATTGAATACTCTTTCTTTTTCAGAATGTTCACCTATCTCAAGCTCAAAAAGAGAAGGCACAACAGTATACAGTAGAATGTCAGAAGGAGACGGGTGTTAAACCAGAGCTGCTATTGGAAGCTAAGCAAGGCAAATTGAGTGATGATGATGCACTGAAAAAGTTTACTCTTTGCTTCTTTAAAAAATCTGGTATTGTAGATGACGAAGGAAAATTGAATGTTGAGACGGCCTTATCTAAGTTACCTGAAGGTGTTGATAAAGCAGATGCTAAGAAATTGTTAGAAGAATGTAGAAAGAAGACAGGGAAAGACGCTGCTGATACCGCTTTTGCAATATTGAAGTGTTATTCTCAGGGTACGAAGACGCACGTTTTGTTTTAAAAGATTTGTAATATTTTATTATGTAATTTAATGTCGCAAGTTATAAAAGTTGTTTTTAAACAGTCACAACAAATCTTTAAAGATTAAAAATATAAAATTAGCAATAGACGAATGATTGTGTATTTAAAAAATGGTCTTTTTGCTTGTTGACGTAATTGATGAAGACTATTTATGTTTTGTTATAACACAGGTTCAAAATTACCTTGCATTTGTTGACATTTATTATTTGTTATAAATTTGTTTAATTTATTTTAAATAAATATTATGCTTGTATAAAATAAGTAAATTATTATTTAATAAACTACATAATGAAATTAGAAATACATTTTGTAATATTTAAAATACCTCATGCAGTTTTTGTTATTGTTGACGATGAACAAACCCTTATTCAAATCCACGAGTACAGGTATGTTTTAATTTAGGTTTCAATAAATAAATAAACCCTTGAACTCTAACAGATGAGTTTTATTATTATTATTATTTAATATACTCTTGAGCTTATATAGATAGGTTAGAAATCATAATATCGTGTTGTAGCACACAGATACTAAAATAACAACTCCATCTAGTGGTCAACGTGAGGAGTATTTATGTTGTTTCTATGGTTACACCATAGAAACAACATAAATATTATTTTATAAGCATTTATTTATATTATAAGCATTTAACTCAACACGGATTATACAGATGATTTTGTTGGTTAATACTTATTTGAATTATGAATATAAAATTTCGTATACATGTTCTATATGAGATGGAGAAGAATATTACTACTCATCCCGACATACGAACCCATATCTCAGTTATGCGGACGAAGTTACAGATAAAAATAGTCAATAAAAAATATTTTAAATACACAATTGAGACTTAACGCGATGTAAATGCCTTTATAGGCAAATAGTACCTACAAGTACTTAATAGTACCTTTATTGCCGACGTTTCAATAAAAAATATTTTACAACCTAACTGTATCTTGCAACTAAGCTTGCAATTTTGTTTCTGTGAATCGGTGTATAAAGTATCCAAAGTGTTAACTTAGTTATAACTTAGATAACTATAACTACTACTTAGCTATATAACTATAAATACTATAATTTATACAAATCTGTTCGGCCGTTTCAGCGTAATAGAGTAACAAATGTACACATTTATAATATTAGTAGAATTCTGTCAATCCTGTCTTGTCATTGGTTTTTTCTCCAAGTTTAACGCGATATTTTGTTAATATAAATATTATAAAGAATCCGAAATAGGTCAATAATGTAATTAATATGTTTCTCTTTTAGTAACTCATAGCATAATAGAATAGCCATAGTTTTTTTTATTTTTTATATTTTTGTCATAACCAGTAAATATAAAATAAAATGAAAAAAATTAATTCATGTACCCAATAACGAACCAATTAATACTAGTAATTTAGAGGAAAAGGATGCTTGTCAATTAATTGTGGGCATAATGCCTAGGATTGTAACAGAGTATCCAATTAGAATTCTATAGCATAGAATGGGCCACACCTTTCTTTACTGTGGGTGTCATAAGTGACGACAAAGGAAACTTAATAATGGTCGAAGAATATCAGCAGCGTTCTTCTTAAAACATCACACCAAACAATAACTGCGATTTCCAATCCGTCTGCCAAGCTCGGTAGCTACTGGTAAATCTACCCTTATGGGGAAGTTTTATGTTCAGTAGTGGACAGTTAACGGTTGATATAATAAAAAATTCAATTACAATAATGTTTTTTTTTATTCTAAAGTTAAATGCCTTTACAAATTGGAACACTAGGTTATGAATGATTTTACACTACATTATTGTTTAGGTTGTATTACAACACTCACTTCAATGCATAGTCAATTTCTGTGTGACACGAACAGTACTAGCATAATATATATGGTGCCAAAAATAATATGACGACAAACTAGATATGAGAAAAAACAGATTTCTTTTCCTAATTTAATATCGGAATAAGATTTTTATTTAAAAATAAATATATTTACTTCATTATTAAAATTAACTTTTAAATTAGTCATTAAAAAAACTAAGAATAATTATTTTATAATAAATACAATATTTTACCAAAGGGAGACTTTTTACAAAGTCGATTGTTTGGGTACCTCTGTCCCATTCGTATTTCAACCGTGAAGCAGTTGTGTTTGCATGGCTGTATTTCAATATGAAGGGTGGGATATGGCGTGAATTTACTGGGTACAGAGGAATAACACCTGAGTTCTCAGGAATGGCAACGCATGGGGGGTATCATGGCCGAAATACTGTAGTCTGTTATGTCCATGGTACTGCTCATGTCTATAGGCGACGGTTACCACTTTCCATCAGGTGCGCCGTCAGCTTGTTTGCAATTCTAAGTTGTATAAAAAAAATATTTCATCATTAAATTAAACAATACAGTTACTAAAAAAAAAATATTTCTAAGATTAATATGCTATAATAATGGGTGGATAATTAATATGGACACAGCTATAAACTTCGAGTGACCATCAAGGACTACGGACGAAAATATCTTGGAAAAGTTTTGTGAAAAAGACACGTAATATTATTAAATAAAATTCGTAAATCTCGTTGCAGTAAATATTTTTCCTTTGTATGTAAATCACGGCCAGCCTGTATGTACCCCCGATAGGTATTAAAGGTCGTATATAATCTAGCGTGTCTTCGCTCTATTGACATATACCTGGCTCACATTAACATTGAAGCAACGTTTCTTACAAAATAAATTTTTTTTTAACCTTTGTTAAATATTGTAAATTTTTGTTGCAATTATACTTATAATATTTAATAATGCCAAGTGTAAAACTTTTTGTTTCTGTAATGGTTATCGGGCTTGCTAGTGCTGCACAGGTAATAATATTTTTTCATACATTTAGATAGTACATATATTTGAAGCAGTAATTTAAGTTTGAATTTAACTAATGGTGATATTTGTAATTAATAATGTAAGATTATTAATTTTTATAATGGCTTTGACTGATAACGTAAAAGATTTATGCGACTTATCTGGGTAGGTATCTTATATTATATAATGATACTATTTCTATTATGAATCAGTATGCTTTGTTGCATTTCAGTCTGAAAGGTAAGAACTTAATCAAGTTGGGAATGTTACCTAGGCGGTAAAAGTATTCTATATTGTTAAAAATGTCTATTCAATTTTTATGTTTATAGACAGCGGTTAGGTGCCTGTTCCATTAATAAGTCATAAGCTTGTTTATCCCGAGTAGTATGTACGAGTATATAATAAATAATTATGAGATGAAATGAGACATGTCGAAACATGTATTGATACATAAAAAAGTGAAATTAATATTTCTCATTGAATGTTGCTGATTAAATAAAATTATTATGTTTTTATTTGTGTTGTGGGAGTATTAATTATTTTGTTTTCCCCAGAGAAAAGTTAAGTTTCCACCAGAAGTTGCAACTGAAATTATTCAGGCGGCTTCACAATGTGTCATCGAGTCGGGAGTGAATCCAGAGCTTTTGATAAAGTTTGCTAATTATGACGGAAAAATTATTGAAGATGAACAATTCAATAAATTTGCTTATTGCACTTTAGTTAAAACCGGTTATGGCAAAAGGAATGGACGTGTGAAATTAGATAAGGCTATAGCTATAATGCCCAAAGACGTAGATAAAGATGCTGTGAGAAAAATAATGGAAGAATGCAACGAAGAAACTGGGAAAGATGCTCCACAGACAGCGTTTAAGATATTCAAATGTCTAAATGAAAAATCACCAGTGATAATGACAATGATATAGAATTATTAATTTATTATGATAAATACAATAATCGAGAAGTTGTGAACATTGATATTTGTAATGTGTTACATCCTTTATAAGGTGAGTGGAGACCAAGTTTTAGTGAAATAACGCAGTGCTGTAAGCAGTATGTATGCATGTTGGTGCTATTATTAATGTAAAAAATAAAATATTTCTTAATGGATAAGTAAATTTATTTTTATTATTGTTTGTTTCAATTTTTCTAATACTATCCTATGGTTGATTGCCAATAATTACTTTAGTGTAAATGATTTTTCTAATATTCTTCGCATTCCAATCATAGATGATCGGATAGTGTTTAATTCTTTTAAATAAAGTGTTAAATATTTTTTGAATATGAATACAGATCTATATAAACAAAAGTTAAGAAAAGTTCTTCTTGAGAACGTCTTCATGTAGTTACAGTGCTTGAAATATTTTTCCTTATGTTTTTTTCTCGATACCTTTATATATCCTGTCAGGTTAACCACTATGTAGACAGTCCTAGATATAATCCTTATGAGTTTATCACAGTAACTGACCTGATTCTGTTTTGATTTACATTCCTCACTAATGCCTAGTTAGCGTAAATAGACAGCGTTATTTTAATTATGAAAAAAGTTCATTGATGAAGAAAGGTCAATTTTTTTTATTGAAGTGTGTATGAATAGACAGATCATAATGTATATTTCTACAGTAACCAGTAATTTGGCCAAATGTATAATTTAGGGTCAAGTTGAAAAATAAAAAGAATACAAAACTATTACGTGCATATAATGTATGAAAGCACTGGGAGTGTGACTACAAAGTTATTTTATTTATGGTTTTAGTCTCCATTTACAAGACAACTCTGTTTAATGTCAGGTTTTACGTGCTTCTAATAAGCCTCTAAGGTAAATAGAGCATAATGATACATAATAATGCTTATTACTGATTATATTAATTTATATTTGAGACTAGATTTAAAATATATTCGCTATCAGAATCAATAAAAGTGATCGCCATTTTTGTGTATTAACTGGTTCACAATATACATATTCATATGTGAAAGAATAATTTCTAAATTTAACAATCCACCTGATTTAAGGGATTTTTAATCTAATTACTAGCAACACTGAAAAAGCCTGACACAAAATGACGCTTGACTGACTAAATTTTGACCCATATCTGACACTCGATGCTCCATCTTCTCCAAAATTTGTTCATTCTACTTTAATATTTTCTTAAAGTAACGCTTCTATTTAATATAAGTAAGTATAGACGTAACATATTTGTCTACAAATGATTTATATAGTTTATCAATAATCTACTTCGCTTAGTTCATAGTTAGTTCATATTAGTTCATATGTTGTGCAATTTGTATCTTACACAGAACAACATAAATATGTTGTTTTGTATAAATACCTAAGAACAATCTGTAGTATACGAAACTCTTTACAAATACTGGTTTGTTTTTCTATTATTGACTTAAGATTGTGACATTCCCTTTCTAACTACTATTGTCTGTAATAATACCAATGTATCGTTATTTTTAGTTGAATTAAACCAATATTTCCCTATGGTCTATATCGTTTTGTATCAATTAATTCAACTAATAAAATACAACTAATTATGTCAAGAAAAAGCCGTAACAAGAAATTTGAATCCGAAATGATATCGTCAACTCCAGGGCCGGCTTCAACAAGTTCGTCGCGTTACCTACGGCCGGAAAGATTTGAATTAGATCCAAGCTCTACCGATGCTGATTTAGAATGGACACATTGGATATATACATTCGATAATTTTTTGTCAGAAAGTATTGGTGAGTTTACGGAGGAGCATAAATTAAAAATCTTGATTAATCACTTATCTCCCAGCGTTTATGTGTACATAAAAGAATGTAATGATTATGAGTCAGCTATTTCAATTCTAAATAATACTTACATTAAACAAAAAAATGAAATACATGCACGTCATATCCTTGGCACTCGAAAGCAGCGCAGTGATGAATCTATAGATCAATACTTGCGCCAACTTAAGCTTCTTGCTCAAAAATGCTACTTCAAAGATGTTAAAGCTGAACAATATCGATCTGAATATATTAGAGATGCATTTATTGCTGGTATTTCCTCACAAAAAATTCGCCAACGTTTATTAGAAAATTTTGAACTCTCACTTGATCAAGCTTTCAATCAAGCAATTTCACTCGAGATGGCAGAAATTAATTCCCTAGCTTACAATGGTAATTCTTTGCCCCTTAATTCTGCTGATGCCGTTATTTCATCTAATTCACAAAAGAAAACTCAAATATGTTCCCTGAACAACAACGATGTATCTACTGTACGAGATAATTTGGTTGAGTCTACTTTAGCTGCTGCTTCAAATAAAAGAAGATGTTTCTTCTGTGGCAGTAATGTAATTCATCAGCGAATAAAATGTCCAGCTTTGAATAGTACTTGTCAGATTTGTTCTAAAAAGGGACATTTTGCTAATGTTTGCCGAAGTAAACAAACTATGAATGCTGCTGTAACAAACGAAAATGATACTAATTATTCTGTGGAGGTTGCTGCTATATCAGCAGCTTCTTTACCAAGTCTACATAAGGCAACTGTACCCGTTATTATTAATAATTATCGTGCCGAAGCTCTTATCGATACCGGAAGCTCGATAAGTTTCATAAATGAAGAATTGGTGCAACTCTTGAAATTGAGACAGAAGCCTTGTCAGCAAATTATTACTCTAGCTTCACTTAATCATACATCTCCAGTCACCTGTTACTGTAATGTTACTATACAATTATATAATCACTCTTACAGCAATGCCAAGTTACTAGTTGTACGTAACTTATGCACTGACATTATTTTAGGTCATGATTTGCTTAAAAATCACCATTCTTTAGAACTCCAGTTCGGAGGTCCCAGAGATTCTTTGAAGATATGCAATGTTATGGCTGCAAATTTACCTAACGCAACTCTATTTTCAAATTTGTCGCCTAATATCAAACCTGTGGCAATAAAATCAAGGCGCTATAATGATGATGACCAAAAATTCATTTCTGAAGAAATTCAAAAGCTATTAAAAGATGGAATTATAGAGCCAAGTATGTCATCTTGGCGAGCACAAGTCCTAGTAACTGGTGGCGGTACGCATCGAAAACGTCTTGTTATTGACTATTCACGAACGATAAACAAATTTACAGAACTTGATGCGTATCCATTGCCGAACATTGAATTTCTTGTATCTAAAATTGCTCAGAATAAATATTTTAGCCAAATAGACCTTAAAAGTGCTTACCATCAAGTGCCGATTCTGCAAAAGGAAAGACCTTATACAGCATTTGAAGCATGTGGTAAATTATATCAATTTACACGTATACCTTTTGGAGTTACAAATGGCGTATCAGCATTCCAAAGAACGATGCAATATATTATTGATAATGAAAATCTTACAGATACTTATGCTTACTTAGACGATGTCACTGTTTGTGGAAAGGATAAACTTACCCATGATGCTAACTTAGCCAAATTTATGACAGCAGTAGAAAAATATAAAATTACTTTAAATAAAGATAAATGCAAGTTTGGCTCTGAGTCTATTAACTTATTGGGTTATACTATAGAGAATAACACTGTAAAGCCTGATAAAGAGCGTCTTAAACCATTACTTTCTATGCCTGCACCTACAGACTTAACTTCCTTGAAGAAAATATTAGGTATGTTTGCACATTTTTCTAGATGGATAAACAATTATTCAGAGAAAATAAGTCCTTTAATAACGAATAACTCATTTCCTTTATCACATGAGGCAAGCGAATCATTTGAAAGTATCAAGAAAGATATTGCAAATGCAGCTTTGGTAGCAATTGACGACACACAAATGTTCACTGTCGAAACAGATGCTTCTGATCATGCTTTGGCAGCAACGCTTTCGCAAAATGGACGCCCTGTAGCATTTTTTTCCCGATCCTTAACAGATTCTGAAAGAAACCATTCGTCAATAGAGAAGGAAGCATCAGCGATTGTTGAAAGTCTACGTAAATGGCGTCATCATTTAATTGGAAAATATTTTCTTTTAATAACTGATCAACAATCTGTCTCTTTTATGTTCAATCAGAAGCATACAAGTAAAATTAAGAATGAAAAAATAGAGAGATGGAGACTGGAACTGTCTTGTTTTAAATTTGATATTGTCTATCGACCTGGTAGACAAAATATAGTATCAGATACATTATCAAGAGTTTGTGCTAGTACATTTTCACGTAAAAATTTATATCAACTGCACAATACTCTATGCCATCCAGGAATCACAAGAATGGCTCATTGGGTGCGTTCTAAAAATTTGCCTTATTCTCTTGCAGAGATTAAAGACATGACTGCGAGTTGTCCTATTTGTGCCGAGATAAAACCTAGATTTGCAAATAGCAAAGGACGACTTATCAAAGCTACTTCTCCATTTGAAAGACTCAGTTTAGACTTTAAAGGACCGTTACCTTCGAATACTGAAAATAAATATATATTAACTGTTGTTGATGAATTCTCTCGTTTTCCATTTGCTTACCCGTGTAAAGATGTATCATCTGGAACTGTCATAACGTGTTTAAAGGACCTCTTCTTTACTTTTGGAACGCCTCTATATATTCATTCAGATCGTGGTGCTGGATTTATGTCACAAGAATTTAAAGATTTCCTACTAAGAAATAATATTGCTTGTAGTCGAACTACACCTTACAATCCGGAAGGAAATGGTCAAGTTGAGCGATTGAATGGGACACTGTGGAGAACCATCCAATTATCTTTAAGATCCAAGAACCTTGACATGCGATATTGGGAACAGGTACTACCTGTAGCATTACATTCCATACGCTCCTTGTTATGTACTGCTACGAATGCAACTCCACATGATAAGTTGTTATGTTTTCCTAGACGATCTGGTAATGGAATTTCTTTACCTTCGTGGTTAATGATCCCTGGCCCAATACTATTGAAGAAAAGCGTAAGAAAAAGTAAATATGATCCGCTAGTAGAAGAAGTCGAATTGCTAGAATCCAACCCAAATTATTCTTTAGTACGTTTTGCTGATGGACGAGAGGATACTGTATCTAATAGACATCTTGCCCCAATTAACAGATCAGTTGGAGATATAGCTAATACTGACGAAATTGAGAACTCCGATCGATCTCGAACTGATACAGATACCGAGAGCTACAACACCACGACTGAAACCGATAATTTGAATGCTGATGGCACTGGGCCTTCAATGGTGGTCGATTCGTCTCAGCGGCTTATTCGTGAAAGAAAACCACCGGCTTATTTAGGGGATTATGAATTATATTAACTTAGGTTTTTAAAAAAAAGGATGGGTGAATGTAGTATACGAAACTCTTTACAAATACTGGTTTGTTTTTCTATTATTGACTTAAGATTGTGACATTCCCTTTCTAACTACTATTGTCTGTAATAATACCAATGTATCGTTATTTTTAGTTGAATTAAACCAATATTTCCCTATGGTCTATATCGTTTTGTATCACAATCTTTGGTAAATACTAAAGCGTTATCAAGTGACAGAAGACAACATAATAATGAGAATTTGAAAGCATAATAAGAAAACAGATATAAAAGAAATGTATTATTTATTAAGCTTTATATAGGACCAGTTGCAAAATTTATATAGAAGAAATTCAACGACAAAAAATTGGCACGCGAGGAATTATCAATATATATTTTTATTAAATATTGTAGCAACAATTCATTACAATAAAGATATCTATATATTTTTTATATTATAAGAATATTTTTTTTTATGCAACTTAGAATGGCAAACAAGCTGACGGCCCACCTGATGGAAAGTGGTAACCGTCGCCTATAGACATAAGCAGTACCATGGACATAACAGAGTATACTGTTTCGCCCATGATACCCACCATGCGTTGCCATTCCTGAGGACTCAGGTGTTATACTCTGTACCCTGTTAACGCCATATCCTATCCTTCAAACCGAAACACAGCCATGCAAACACAACTGCTTTGCGGTTGAAACACGAATGGGACAGAGGTACCTAAGTAAACGACTTTTGTATAAAGTCTCCCTCTGGTAATAATTGTGATATTAAATTTTCATGTTTATAGTTTATCTATGGTTTAAAAAATTAAATATCAATATTTATATAATATTTATTTGTATAGATCACTTTTAGTTAGAGATTACGTGTAGTTTTTCCACTTGGCATGTGCACACTGTGCAATTGTGCCAACTGCAATTTTTGGAAATACTACTCTAAAGGGAATGTGTTTGAAGATGATTTGATTTAGATGAAAACTGGTATGTAAATTTGATATGTATGACTCTCAACCAGTCAAAAGTATTATTGACTAGCAAAATCATTCAAAAGTACTTTTGACTGAACAGGTTGGTCAAAAGTGGTTTTGACTGAAAATTATTGGTTATTAGTACTTTTGACTGCAAATTTGCGGTTAGGTTAGGTTAGATACGTTTAACTGTTATTTTAGTCAAAAGTATTATTGACTAAAGCATACGCTCAAAAGTACTTTTGACTGATTTTGCTAGTCAATAGTACTTTTGACTGGTTTAGAGTTTTGACTACAACATGTATAAAAAAAAAGGAGTAAAGAGGTTTCTTCAGAATCGACACGCAATAATGGTCCTGATATTGCAAGCGTTTGTAGGTTACGGTAACCACTTATCATTAGGTGGACCGTCACTTGTTTGTTACGTCACTGGTATAAAACAATCTCCTTTCCTCTAAATAATAGGTTGTAAATATTGTAATACATGTAGGTACATAGGGTACCAATGTTCCATGAGCAAAGTACATAGATATTTATTACTATACTTATTATGTGTTGGACACATAGAGAAGACTTATATACAGATTGTGATATCTTTTCAATTAATATAATTAATGGTAAAGTCAATAGGTGATAATAAATAAATAGAAATGTTATTATAATTCATTTGCAAATAGTTATGCTGTTCAGGCTCACTACTCATACTTTAAGTAGGTTAATATATAAGTGATAATATTTGAGAAAGGACTCATTTTATCTTATAAGCTTGTAAAGAGTAGACAATCTTAAACTGCAAATAATAAGCAATTTGCTAAACATGATTATGGTATATTCAGTGTTGCTGTTGGCGATAGCCACTGTTGGATATGCAGAACAGGTAATTAAAATCTTACTAATATAATAACATTGTAATTAGACGATGTTTGTACATGGGAGTTATTTAAGAAAAAAATAATATGAGGAAACTTAATAAGTCCAATAGATGCCAAAACAATAAGTTTTAGAAATGTTGTCTGTCTGTTGGTCTGTACATTTGGTATGGCATTATGTAAAAAAAACTACTGCATCAAATTGAATGCGGATTTCACAGTTGTAGTTCTGAAGGTCTAACTTGAAATTATGCTGTAAGTTTTATTTTAAAACGCCATTTAGGAATGGTATATTTTAGTAGTTTTCGTACATTTATAATCTACGTGTATGAAGTAGCAGAAAAAAGCTAGTTAGAAATTCATTTGTCTTACTTCGATATGGAAAAATAAAAATATTTAAAATACTGGTTATTTGATTAGAAATATTTTGTTTAATTTCCTTATCATTAGTATGTGTGCAACTGCTAACACTCGGACATTGAGGACTATTATTATTAACAGAACTTCTACATTTTTTTATATTAGCCATCAGGCTCCGACTGTCATTTCGTCCACACGTCCATCTTCACTTCTAAGTAACTACTTTCGCAGTTTGTTAACACTAGGCTCCGAGCAGTGATCTTTAAATTTCCTACATGTCTCTTTTAAAAACATATGTTTAAAAACTGGATAAACAATTAATATAATATATTATAATAAATTAATATAATATACTAATTTCAGCAGATTATTTCTGGTAATAATCTGCTGAATCCTTAACAATCTGGTTTCCGTCTTAGTCACAGTACAGTCAATGCTCTTGTTAAAGTCACTGACGACATACGTAGGGCTATGGACAACCGCTCCCTCACACTCCCTGTTCTCCTAGACTTTAGCAGTGCCTTTAATTTTGTAGATTATGACATTATTTTAAATATCCTTTCATCCTTTAATATATCTCCACCTGTAATCAAATGGTTTTACTCTAATCTTCGGGGTTGATTGCAGTGTATTCGCCATGGTGAGGATTCCTCGGATTGGTGTGCGGTTACTGCAGGAGTCCCTCAAGGATTCCTGTAGTAATCACACTTCCTCTTTACTTCTCAGCATTTGTTAATGCTATAACTCATATAATTTTTTTCTTCCTATCATCTCTACGCAGGCGATTTGTAATTGTATCTACATTTTAATCTTTGTGAGATATTTGAAGCAATTGACGATATGAATTTTCGACTCCTTGAAGTTGATACTTCATATCGTTTTGATGAATGAGCTAGGTCTTTTGGGCTTTTAGTTAACCCGCGAAAATCTCAGGTTCTTATTATAGGTGGTCATAGTAATTATAAGATGCTTGGCCATAATGCTTTGCTTATTGTTTATTATGATTTGATTTTCTAGTTCTCCATGACGTATTCTCAAAATCCTTGTACACTCGTCTACGCTCTATAGTGGATCTTTTACCGTCCACGCTGTTAGATTGTATAATTTTTTTCCCATATCTCTCCGTGAGAGTCAATCCCTAAATATTTTTAAGAGTAGTCTTAAAGAGCATCTTATCTTTATGAACATATCTTGATTTATATATATATATATGAGTAGTTATATATATAATTTTCACAATATTGTACACTACTCTATTCGCTGACATTGATGTTCCTTTCTACTTTGGATTTGCTGGAAGAGAACTCTCTTAGAGTTAAGCTCGCCTTTGTACATTTGATTACCTCTGTTATATTTTTATGCATAAATTATTATTGTAATAATAAATATTGTAATAAATTAATATAACATTTTATAGTAATTGTTTATCCAGTTAAGCGAGTTATTATATTAGATTTCTCAAAAATGACTATGAAATACGTAGCCATAACATAGCGATACCAATGGTATCTCAAGTATTGTCATTCCTATAATTTCGCCGTGTGTGCCCTGGTATAGAATGGGCCACCCCTTCCTTTGCCGAGGGTGTCGTAAGAGGCGACTAAAGGAGGGTGAGGGACATCTTAAAACATCTCTAAAAGCCTAAGTGTGGTTGCCAACCCGCCTGCTAAGCGTGTTAACTACTGGAAAAACTCTCGGTATTAAGGGCTTATATCCAGCAGTGGACAGTTAACGGTTGAAATAATAATATAAAAAAACTCTATAATTTTATCACCATATCCGTCTAATCTTTATTAATATTTTCAGAGAACAGCTCTCTATCCAGCAGAAAAAGTAGGCCAGTTTCTGGGAATATTCACAAATTGCATATCTGAGGCCGGAGCGACCGAGGACTCATTAATAAAATTGAAGGAAGTAAAATTGAGTGACGATAAGAACTTCAATAAGTATTTGTATTGTGTTTTAGTGACCTCTGGTTACTCTGATAAAGATGGCCATGTAACTGAAGAAAAAACAGTCGAATTGTTTCCAGAAAGCGATAGAAAAATTGTAAAGGAGGTTATAGAAGAATGTAATAAAAATCAAGGTATAGAGGCAGCTGATGCAGCATTAGCATTTTACAAGTGCTTTATTGAAAAATCTCCTGTTGTCCTCGTAATAAGACAGTAGTTAAAATAAAGTATTATTTTTCAATACTACTGTTAATCACTATTTTTTAATTTTCGACACGTTTTTTTTCCAATAAGTGATTGTATCTTAATAAATAACTATATTTTAGACCTACTTTTTTCATCATTATTGTTCCATTTCAGACCTATTTCTATGTATCATCATCATCTCACCCATTATTCGTTCACTTTTGAATAGAGGCCTCCCCCATAGATTGCCATAAGGAACGGTCCTAAGCCACCTGCATCTATTGTTTCCCTGCAATTTACTTCAGGTCGTCACTCCATCAAGTGGGCGATCGTCCTATATTGCGTTTGCCCGTACGGAGTCGCCCAGATCGCCAGATCTCAATTCTTTTTTCAGCGCAGTAGAAACGACGCATGTTTGTAATATTGATCTTTGCTCTTATTTCACATTTATGTTTTTAATGAGATTTCGATTACAGCAGAAGTTGTAGCCATGATTATTGCCAACGATAATATGAGCATTAAAAAATTCCATATCTGTTGTTATCGATATCTTTATTTCCATAATTACACCAATAATATCAGTATTACTTGTATTATTAGTGTCCGGTGATGAAGTGCCATTACTAATATCCACGTTATTTTATTCACTAGCTTTTTATATTACCTTCGGATCTTATAACGCTACATGAAAATATCAGTGCCAGATGTTACAACTTATATTTCGTGATTAGATAGATAGATAGATAAACTTTTTATTTGAGCCATTTATGACACACGTAAATTTACAAATGAACATACAATTAAATGATTAACATTTTTTAAAATATACAACAAAAGATAAAATACGGTTTCGCCATGTGGGTCGCAGTAACCCAAATAGGCTACAGCTCAGTGATAGTTTTGCTTAGAAGCAAAGCACTGATTTTCAGCTGCAGCCTGTAGTTAGGCTATACGGACGCGTGCAACAAAACCAGAGTGTAACCTGTGTAACCAATTTAATAGCCAAAGATAAAATTGTATTATATAGATTCATACTTATATAAATTATGCATAAATATTACGTATCTGAAACCTCACATTCAGATGAAGTATACAAATACTATCTCGAATTTCGTAGTGACACTTTTTTGTATACGTTTGTAATAACCATTACTTTTATCTATTATCACAGGCTTTAATTGTTCATTGAGGGGAAATAATATATTTTTATATAACTTCTTTTACCAATGTCTCTTCTCGATAACTTGTCAGAATGCCATAATCAGTTAAAATTAAAGCAGTATTTTTGTCACCTGATTCAAAAATATTTTAGTGTTTTTAATTTTTGCGGTTGTAGTGAAATGACGAAGTTGGTTGAGTTGTATATTGACAGTAACTTGTGACTGAGTTATAACTGATAAAATCAATACATATTATAAAATCGTAAATGGTCGCTGTCTGTACACGGAAGATGTATAAGAAAAACAATTATAGGGGGGATTTATGAACACAATAGAATGCAAATCAATGAGTTTGAGAATTTTTGTCTATTTGTACGTATGCCTGTTTGTCTGTACGTTTGTGCACGCTAATATCGGAAACAGCTTAATCGATTTGAATGAGATTTTAACTAATGCGTTGCGGTTTGCTCCACTTAATATTTAGTTTTTGTTTTATTTCAATCGGTTCATAAATAAAAAAGTTATATCAATCTAAAGAATGACATATAAAATGTAATAAAATAACCGATCAGTTGAATTGGCTGAGACTTTTTAAAGGTATGTAACTATCATTTAAGTATATAATATAATGAGGAGTAAGTGATTGCTTAGAGGTAGTATCGCTAATGCAAGTTAAGCAATTCCAGGCATAATTCCAACTAGGATGGGTTACCACAATCGTATATAAAGAACGCAGGCTACTTTTTTCCGCGGTTAGTACATATGTCCCGGTCACGCAGATGAAGTCGTGGGCGAGAGCTAGTCAACAAATAAACTGAGACACCCCTGCACGTATTTGATCTACATGGTGCGCTGTATGTCTGTAGGCGGTACTTCACGACAGAACATCGCTTGAAATTGTATAAAGCTCAAGTCAGGACACATATGGAATAACGTTTACACCTATAGGTAGGAGTGCCACAGTGCCTGCTCCTTCCGTTGGACTGTATTCAAAGTCGGGCAGCTCGAATTATTGATGATGAACGTCTTACTATTCGACTAGACCCACTGAAACTCTGTGTCTTTTACCGGATTTATCATGGGGAATGCTCTGAGGAATTGTTTGGATAGATAACTACTGCTGATTTTCACTACCGTACAACCCGCCATAAATTAAAGTTCCATCCCAATTATCTGAATGAGTAGCGGTCCTCCACCGTGCGTTCAAGGCATATTCCTTTTTAAAAGACCAGCAGCATATCTGCAATACCTCTGGTAATGTGGGTGATCATGGGCGGCGGTAATCACTTACCATCAGGTTAGCTGCATGTTCGTTTGCCCCTGTGTTATAAAAAAAATGTGATGGTTATTACTCCCCGTCAGGTGGGGGTAATTTGTAATATAATTACCATTGAAAGTTGTGACAGTAAATACGTTGCATTTTATTTTTTGTTACATATATATCATTTTGAAAGAGGTACCCAAGTAAACGACTTTTGTACAAAGTTGTTATTATAGTTATAATAATAATAGTTTTAGAATAATCTTAAAAATAAGCAAATAAATTGTTTGGTATGTAAATTGGGAATCTGTAATTGGCTAGTGTATGTTATAAACATAGGTTATTTATTCTAGATACAAGCTGTTGATTCCAGATGTAATATTGAAACAAATAAATAATAATAGAAAATAATTAAAAATTACATACCTCAGATGCTTCATCAAATCTCTAAAATAGTTCATTCAAGAGTTCTTATCGTTATACTCTTACCTTATTATTATACTCATCCTTATTAGAGGTAAGGTGGTGGAAATGGTATAATTTACGATATCAGCATATAGTATGCTAACATAATTATATTCTTCTGCTTTTCTATCACCGTAATAAAATAGATTAAAAATATAAAATAGAAGAAAAACTCATAATCTAATGTGAAATAGGCATGACATTAACAAAACAACAAAATAACGAAAGGGTTTTCATGTCGAAATTAATCACAATATTATCTACAAAAACAAAAATTAGGTTAGTATTAATAGTTGGAAGTTCAAGAGAATGATCTCTCATTAGCGATAATTTGACTACTAACAAACAAATATAAAGATTATCATATGTATCAACTTTATAGTAGTAAATAAATAAATATTTACCGTGTTAAAATTGAGATATCTGATAACATTTTTATTTGTTTAGATATTTAGAATTATGTAATAAATGAATACAAATAATGTGATGTATATTTATATTTTATGTACAATATTTATTAGACTTGGAAAATCAATAGTATATTTTATTTTACGTTTATATAATTAAATTTTTTTCCACTTAAATACTGTATGATGGATGCACTATCAGTGTATGAATACATTGCCATTCTTAAAGTCTGAGTTGTTGTATATATATTTTATTTGCATGGCTCTGTTTCGATGTAAAGGGTGGAATTTGTGAGATATAGCGGTGAAATTACAGGATACAAGTTTGTGCTTGTAATTAGAAACGGCAACACATGAAGGGCGACAAAGTATACCTCTTTGATTATTCTTTCGAAATCCAAAAATAATTATTCTTAAAATACTAACTTCTTGACCTCCTTAATTTAGTCGAAAATGATACGCTATATCGAGAAAGAAAAAAATTTACTTATTTTAAATATAGGTATTGACAATATAGACTAATAATGTCAATATCGCTACGATTCAGAATGTTACTTCATGCTAGGGCTGTCAACGCTCCGAAAAAATACATACCTACTATTTTTTTATATGTTTTGTAAATGCTTATATACTCAATATTTTCAACTGACATCAAAAAGAAGGAAGTTCTTAATCCGGTTGTATTTTTTTATGTTTGTTATCTCATGACTCCGTCAGTTTTAAACCGATTTGGAAAATTCTTTATCAGAAAGAAGATACTTACAAATTGATTCCATAGAAATTTTATCAAAAAATGTTTTAGTAGTTTAGTTTTCAAATCAAAATAACTGGTTTTGGCACTAGTGAAGTCTTTTTTGTGGGATACTAATTATTCGAAATATTTTTCATTTATTTTCAAGCAATCTTAATAATTTAAAATAAAATTTTGATTGTTACTTCTTTATTCATAAAAAAACTAACCTCTCATAATCTGTTTTAATTATTGAACTATTTTGTTTTTAGTTCAATTTGTAAGTTGAAAGAAAGTGACAATTTAGTTGGACAGTTAAAATAGGTTTATGAGGGCTTGACGTTTTTATGAATAAGCAGGTTAGTCTTTATACTTATTCTGTACGGGCAGCGGCGGCCTTATTCATTGCAAGGCTCTGGGCGGTACTCGTAGGTCTTTGCGAGGCCTAATGTCTTTCGTGAAAAGTATGTGATGCGAAACTAGGTCTAGTTGTTTGATTAGGTATTTATTATGTTTGAGGAGAAATGATAAAGTTATACAAATAAAATTAATATATTATATATATATATATATATATATATATATATATATATCTCAAATTATTGGAAAATTTTCGCTGACTCAAGAAAACTATGTCGTATTTAAAATTTTTTTTTACAATTGGTATTTTTTTATTTGTATATTTTAGTGTAGGTAATTTTGTTTATTCGCGATTAAAATGCCTAAATCGAAAAGCTTTTGCAACTGTTTGCCACCCCCTAAGGCCGCCGCTGTGTACGGGTATATTCCTTTTTAATTTCGGCGACACCTTGGTAAGGAATAGCGGAGCTGCCAAGGACTGGGCGCAGTTTATTGTGGTGTTTACCATTGGGAGGTTTGCCAGTAGTTGCCACGCTTGGCAGGCAGGTTGGCAACCGCAGTTAGGCCTTTGATGATGTTTTAAGAGGGACGCTGCGGGCCATTCTTCGACCATAAGTTTCCTTAGTCGCCTCTTACGACACCTACGGGAAATGAAGGGGTGACCCATTCTATGCTAGGACCGACACGGTACAATGTCCGATTTTACTATGGGTGAAAAGATCAAATGGAAATTCGTCCTTCTATTAGCTACTTTCAGGCGAGGATCATGGAAATGCTTGTGAAGTCAGCAAAGACAGCACTAAAAGTAACTTTAGATAATAGTACAAGATCGATTACTAATGAAGCATTCACTACCTTACTTTGCAAGGCAGAAGCATTGGTTAACTCATGTCTCGTAACGCACGTCGCATGCCGTCCACAATATCCTGAAGCCCTGACACTACTTACACTACTTACATTGGGCTACTGTTCAGGTCGTCCTATTCCAGCCTCTCCTACCCATGCAGTGGCAGTAGATCCGGTTGGAGAAGAGCACTGCGAGTGGCTGATCACTTTTGGAATAGAGTATTTGCTCACACTATCATCACAAAGAGACGCGGCGAAAGTGCCACAAATTTCAGTTGGAGATATCGTCGTCATCGTGAACGGAACCTTACCTAGAGGTACTTGGCCTAAAAGCCTAGTTACAACTTTCTACCTGGATAGGGATGGTGTAACACGGGTCTTAGATATTGAGACCCAGGCAGGCATACTTCGTAGACCAGTTTAAAGTATCGTTTCCATCTGTTTAAGACAGGAGAATGTGCAGACTGCATCTTTTTAATTAATATTTTTAAATTTGATATCTTTCTTTTTTATATTTGACAATATCTTTCTTGGGTTTATTACATTTTATACTATTACAAGCGACCGTCTTCTTATTTCATAAAAGAATTACAGTTCTTTTTCAAAACTATATCTCTTATTAAAAGTTTGGTTAAAATTCTTAGAATTTTCCCACCAAAATATGGTGGCGTGCAAGATGTAACTCTCTGACCGGTGTAAGACAAGAATTTTAAAGGCTTTGTAAGATTCTTGATATATTTTATCTTATTTTCGCATATGGGGTCAACTAAGCCGTTGCACGTCGACTATAAGGACCTTTTGGGCTTCCCCCTGCCTTATACCATTAATTCTTAGATCCTATGTGTTACATTAAGTATTCATTAAAGTTTTTACTACGCTTCCCCTCATTAAAGGCTTTCCGCGTCATTACCCTTAATTGGAATACTTCATTCGTCCACCAGGGTACCTTTTTTGCCAGCATTTGCTAGTACCTTCGTTAGTCGATCAGCTTTAAATTTAATATCTATTATTGAGTTTAGCTTACATTTCAGAGTGTCTAAATTTTCCTTTAAGTCTCTTCTATATTGGATCCAATTAGTATTTCTTGGATTCTTTTTCTACCTTATTTCCTGTATTATACCTGAAACATATGTAGTTGTGGTTGGATAGTGTTACCTCAACAGACACATACCAATTACTTATGCTTTTACATGCTTTATTGCATGCCATCGTTAAGTCGATTACCTCAGCTCTATTAGCACTTCGAAAAGTTGGTTTGTTTCCTGTATTAATAATTTGTAAAGGCGAACTTACCACATCGTCCAGAAGGTCTCTACTATTGGTGTCCGAATCTCCCCAGGCAACGCTATGTGCATTTGCATCGCAATCTATGAAGAGTTCTATCCTCTGCCTGCTGCTGTATTCCACAAGATCCCGTAGCTGTAGTGATACTGAATTCTTTTCTTGATATAAAGCGTATTTAAAAAGATTGGTGAATGTGGAGAAAGCGAAAGAGGTTTGTTTGAACAGAAGCATTTGGAAGCATGACAGATATGTATGTATGTAATAAACATGAAATTACCTATTTAAATATGATCTTAAATAAATGAGGACAAATATAAAATTTTTAAAATTGATAATTATATGCGCCAATATCCTGAGGATAGTATAAATTTTGAATATATAGCAAATTATAAAAGTGCAAAATTAAAATTATATAGTTATATAAAGTTGATAGAGATCTTATATCCCATGGTGCAGCTATCAAGTGCCAAAATAGAGGTATTAAAAGATTAAAAAGAATTAATAAATACAAACTCGGAGCTATTTTCGAGCGCCCTGGACTAGCTAATTCAGCCCTCAATAATTATATCCTATTTTACTGACATATGAGATATGTCACATATGCGTTCCGTAAATTTAATTGTTGGGCTAAAGTTTGTACTGTAAAACCAGTAATTATTAAAACAGCCAACATTATACAGTGCACTGTTATTCTACCCTGAACAATGTCAACTAAAAGTATTTACACGGTGTCTCAAAAGAAAGTTCACATTTAAAAAATCGATAAAAAATTAAACAAAGAGTTTATTAAAAAATGTTTATTATATATTAAAATACACTTTTTGGGAATTTATTTCTTGAAAATGATATCGTCCAAGTGTAAACCGTTGCGTTCACGCCATTCATTTAATCGAGCTCTAAAATTTTCTATGACGGCTCGGCATGCATTGCCCGTAATGGCTGCCATTTTGTGACGGATATTTCCTTTAATTGTGCTAAGGAAGTCGGTTTGTTGAACTAAAATATAAACTTTAAATTTGACGTAACTCCGCAGGAAAAAGTCCATAGGGGTTAAATCGGGATTTCGTGGGGACCAATATATGTTACCTCTCCTGGATATCAAATGGAAAATTTTCACAAATTCGTGGTAAAGACCTGTTGGACGTGTGTGAAGTTGCTCCGTCCTGCTGGAACCATGTTCCTTGGTTATAACCAAGAATGTTTTGCAGTTCAGGCATGAAGAAGTTGTCTAACATCTCCACATAACGGTCCGAGTTCACTGTAACTCTGTGTCCCCTTTCATCTTCAAAAAAGTAAGGGCCGATAATCCCTCGCGTCGACATTGTAGCCCATATGGTCACTTTAGACGAATGTAGGGGTTTTACAACACAAACATCAGTTTGTGTTTTGGATTAGTTGCACTCTACTATATGCAATTTTGTTTGTTTACATGTCCATTGAGATGGAAATTAGCTTCATGAATTACAGTTTTTGTAAAACTCGCGTACGCACAACGCACAGTCCACTCCTCAGAAGCGCTCCATAGTGACTAAATTCCCAGAAGTTAGGCTACCAAATGACATACCCCCCGCGCCCCTTAGAATAGTTGCGTTCACACAATAACCAAAACAAATGTCACCTTTCTTTTGAGACACCCTGTATAATAGCATTTTTAGTTCCAAAAATGTTGGTTCAGCGCGTCGGACATGCACTGTGGCTGCAACGAAGATGGTAATCACTGTTTCCTGCCTATCCAAACCGACGCCATTACCTTTGCCTGTCCAAATACTTCCTTGAATGTTCATAACAATTTATGGTATTACGAGGTAAGTCCATATACACTACCAGTAACACAATACCTAAGATGCTTGCGATATGGTCATATTGGCAAACTTTGCAGGAATACTCAGAAATCTGCAGTGAAAGTCACTCGTACATCCAGATCCAGAGAATTTTACGAAACAATATCATCATCCGCTTTGTACTTTTTACGCTTACTTCCAATTTTTACTATAATCTACTATTTACCAATTAGTTATTTATACAGGTATTTACGACATATAAATAAAAAAATTACATATGCAAGAAATTTAAAACACCCACTCTGAATCTCCATCAAAAAGTGTAGCGTGGAATAGAATAATGACGTATATCTATGGTTGCTGACGGATGGTGTTTTTGTTTTTGAACTCTGTGTCTATGAACGTTGCGTATACGGAACAACGATAGGGCTTACATAAGGTTATCTTGGGCTAAGTACGGAGTATAAAAATAATAAGAATAGCATAATATGTTAACATGTGTATGTTTGTTATGTAAGTTAATACGAGTATATAAGTGGTAATATATTAGTAGGGACTCACTTTATCTTTTATGTTTGTAAAAATAAAACGATCTGACACTGTAATTAATAAATAATTTATTAAAGATGGTGTGTCTGGTATTTTCGTTGTTGCTAGTGTTGCTGGTGACTGGTGGATACGCGGAGCAGGTAACTAAAATATATTAATAAACTTATATGGAATGAAAATGGTATGGTAATCTCGCTCCAGATTTTGGTATGCGTTGGCGGGGTACCAGTGAGAGGTGATAGGTGAGGATGAAAAGGCAGGTCAGGCCTATCGTGACGAATTCAACGATAGTTAGTCAGGATAGTTTCCGGGGGGAACCGCGTGGAGGTCGACCTGATAAGGTATATTGATAGCAATGGGAACTAACCTAGGTAATGTATGGTGGCATATTCATTAGAAGTTAATTACGATGCATTTCAAGGGAGTCATGCGGAGGTCAATTTGATTAGGTATATTACTGAAAATAGGATAGCTGTTCCAACTATTAACACCACCTCTTGTTAATGTATTATTTGGCTCCATATGGTGATATAGCAAGTAATAGGGCCTAAGTGCTCTATTGTTCAGATTGATCTCCACGCTGATCCTCCTGGAAACCGTCGTGATTATTAATTCGACATAAGATCTATCATCCCTCACTGGTTTTCGGCTAGTATATATCGATAGCGAGTGCACACTCACTATTTCTTTTACACATATTACAAAAATATAAAGAAATATGACAGTATACATTAGTGCATAATAAAGAAATTTTAATGTAAAATTATATACATATACATAACATTTTCATATAACAGCTGGCATTTTTATATATATGTATATACTATTTTCAGAGGAAAGTCCCCTTTCCAGCAGAAAAGATGGGAATGTTTCTAAGAGTATACGCAAATTGCATTGTAGAGTCTGGAACAATTTGGGAGTCATTGGTAGTATTGAAGGAAGGAAGGATGAGTGACAATAATAACTTTCGCAAATATGTGTATTGCGTTTTTACTTCTTCTGGTTACTCTAACAAGGATGGTCATATACAAGAGGAGAAATCACTTGAATTGTTTCCAGAAAGCGACAGACAAATTGTAAAAGAGCAAATTGTAGAATGTAATAAAAATCAAGAAGTAGATCCAGTTGATAAAGTATCGGCATTTTACAAATGTTTTATTGAAAAATCTCCTGTAATCTTAACAATAAAACCTGTAGATGAAACGAAATATTTCAAAGACCTGCGAACTAATTTGTTGCAAAAGGTTTTTTCTTAAATTACACCACGTAAATTTTGCCAGATTCAGATGATAACTGTTTGGATATAAAACAAAGATGAAACGTAAACGAAAATTACTGGAGAAGATTTTCTAAAGTTTTCTTAAGTTTACAGATAATATAATAAAATATAACAAACACAACGTTTAAGAACATGGCTGAAAGAAAGACAATCCATAACAACGTCCTTTATATATCACCCAGCAATATTCCACCATTATATTAATGTCATAGCGGTTATCGCAACGGCTTTGGTCGAGTCACCTTTTTGGGTGACTCGATCAAAGCCACCAACAAACCAATATGAGATTTTAAAAAGTGAATTATGAGATTTATATTATTGCTTAATTTCTTATAGGTGTTTAGAATTTCCTGGATAATATTAACATCTAGGAAACATGAAAAATATACTTTTTTTTTTATAATTAGCGTTACTTGTTATTTTTTAATTTTTTAAACATTTTGTTTCACAACGTGACTGTATTTTAATAAACAATTATATTTCAGACCGACTTTTTTTTAGATTGCAACATTATGTTCTTTGTATAAATTTAAAAATGGTCTCCCTGTTAGCATTAAGTGTCTTTTGGTGCAGGATTTGGTTTTACCCATTATTGAATATGGCGACGTGTGTTATTCTAATTCCTACTAGGAATTACTAAATTAAATGGTTTACTTAATAATTGTATTAGGTTCATTTACGGTCTTCGTAAATATGATCATGTATCATCTTACCGATCCGAACTAAGATGGTTTCCGATTTGCTTGCACAGAAGTCTTAGAGTTATTTATCATCTTTTATTTTTTAATTCTTTATATCCCACAATCTCTTCAGTATCTTAAAGAAAGATTCCGATTCTCATGCATTCCGATTAACATGTATTATTTATAATACGTATTGTACGTGATTTATGTATATATAATTTTTGTAAGTATATTATACTATATGTTTGCATGTACATTCATCTTAGAATGTATTAATATTGTTATCTATTAAAATATTTTATTTAGAAATAGATTTTGTTAGATGAATGCACCGCCATTATTTCTCTTTGTTTAGCATAACGGTTAACTGGTAGAGGTGGCATCAGGCATTAAGTCCGCCCTGTCATAGATAATATTTTTTATATATAATTTACCAGAGGAAGACTTTGTACAAAAGTCGATTGCTTGGGTACCTCTGTCCCATTCGTGTTTCAACCGTGAAGTAGTTGTGTTTGCATGACTGTGTTTCGGTTTGAAGGGTGGGATATGGCGTGAATTTACTGGGTACAGAGGAATAACACCTGAGTCCCCAGGAATGGCAACACATGGGGGGTATTATGGGCGAAACAGTATACTCTGTTATGTCCATGGTAGTCATAGCTCATGTCTATAGGCGACGGTTACCAATTTCATCCACGGTTCATTAGGTAGGCCGTCAGCTTGTTTGCCATTCTCATGCCATATATACAGTGACAGGTAGTGTGATGTAGTATTCTTGAAAGTAGCTGCTGTATATGGAGGATGATAGTGAGTTCCACAGTCTGAGTGCACAGAGAAGGATTTAGAGTAAAACGAAGAGCTGTGATAAAAAGTTTTAAGGCGAAGGTTTTTTTATTACAGCATAAACCATGAACATCATGGAGAAATACAAATCGTTCGTTACGGTAATTAGGATAGAATAACAGGATTAAAAAGGATGGAATAAATAATAAATAAAGAGAAAAAACATACCAGTTACGGTGAAGGAGAATTAGAAGGCTAATTTGAGGAGTTGAGCTGTAGACGGAAGTGTAAAACATAGTCATATTTACGTAACCCCAATATAAACCTAAAGCATATGGTAGAGGGATGGGCAGCAGAGTCCTTCTTAAAACATACCTATATAAAAGCCCAAATGCCGTTGCCAACCCGCATGCCAAGCGTGACAACTACTGGCAAAACTCCCCTTATGGGGAAGGCTAACGTTCAGCAGTGGACAGTTAACGGCTGAAGAAAAAATTAGTTTACATTTATATTTATACTAGCTTTTACCTTCTTCGCTCGGCTTGGCTTCGCTCGCATTAATACTGATTTTGTTTAACAATTCTGCATGTTGTATAGGTAGAGATAAAAAGTATAATAAAAAGAGAAATGTACACAACATAAAACATATTATAATTATAATATTATTAACATATAATATAACAATCTATAGCAAGTATAAAATAAGAAAAAAAAAATGTGATACAATCAAATAAACGTAAAAAAGTCGAATTAGATGTAAAAGATAACGAATCCGAAAATAGTAAAAGGCACTGTCGCTCTATGATAAAAAAAAAACGAACATAAAACGTAATGCAATTAGAATAATATTACTATATAACTAAATACTGATAAATGATGGTAAAAATAGACTTGGGTAATATAAACTGTATATAATCGCAATATATGTATATTGGTCAAAAATTGCAAAACTACATATTAGTTAGTCAGGCAAACTGTATATTCAGATATTGCTACAAATGCAAGCGCGCGACATAAGGAAACTCAACACTGTTGTGGCCAACGGCCCTGTGGCATACACGTACCGACATGGCGGCCGGCCAGAATCGGTCCAAAAATGCAAAAGAGATATTGGCCAGATACTCAGTCCAGCATATGTTGCGATGCGATACAGATTCATGCGAATGGTTATTCAATTCGTGACACGTCAACTTGTAGATGTGGATAATATCCACATGATGACATTATCTATTTGTAGTGGATCCATTATCCACTTGTAGACACAAGATGACGATAGCAGGTGAATAATATCCACATTTAAAGTTATTAATATCTAAACCTGATTTAAATTAAATAAACTAGGACCGCATATATAGGTACTAAATCGATAGACGCCGTTGCTAATATTGAAGACACAGTTTAATAGGAGGGGGGAAAGGGATTGTTAGCAAAGGAAATTGATAGCCCATTGCTAGCAATATGCCCTATTAGGTCGACCTCCACGTGGTTTCCCCTGGAAACAATCATGAACAATTCTCATTGAATTCTTCACGATGGGCCAACTGACCTGCTTCATCCTTCACTGGTGCCCCGCCGGTGTATGCCGATAGCGCGGGTGGGGTTGCCATTCCATTATCACCCATTAAAAAAATACTTATAGGAATTTTTAAATGCTCTTAACTTGTTTAGAAATGCTTTTACGAAATTTAAGTCCTTCTAGCATGTGCAATGGCACGAGACTTATAAAGGAATCGAGGAACAAAATCATTCTAGCGACCATAATCACTGGCCCTACAGCCGGCCAGTTAGCGTACATACACCGAAAACCTATGATGCCTACCGATTTGCCAATACCTTTTAAACGTCTTCAATTTCATGTGAACACATCATTCGCTTTAACAATTAATAAAGTTCCAATGCCCTACTTTTGACTTAGTAGGGATAGACTTAAGAAAATAGTGTTTTACTCGTGGCCAACCGTATGTTGGTCTATCACGTGTTGGTACTCCCAAAAAATACATTTTACTACCACATAATAATAAAACAACAAATGTCGTTTACAGAGCAACTCTAAACAGTCAAATATAAATGATTCTTAAGGTGACCATCCATCCCATGATGGTGTCGGGTTCATCGTTCGCAAGCTCCTTCTTAACAATGTCCTGTAAATCGAGTGTGTCTGCAAGGGTGATATACTTGATATTCAAAATTACCAAAAGGTATTCGTTGAAAGTTATACACGTATGTGTGCCGACCGTGATATACTCCGATGATGAGGTAATGTATGAGTGTTGATAATGGCTGGAAATATTTTGATATATAGACTTTGACATAATTTTAAAATTAAAATTACTAATTACTTATTATTATATTTAAAATAACATCAATGGCGAATATATCACTTACCTTCGATTTGCCGATGACATAGTAATCATGGCGAAATCCCTGGAGGTACTGAATACTATGCTCAATGACTTCAATGGTGTTTTTTTTTATTTATTTTTTGAACAGGTAGGTCTAGATGAACATCCTGGGGGATATGCTAATATACCGGAACATCCCCCGAGTGGTAGGGTGAGCACGCCATCCACTCTATCTTGAGAGACGAAAGCTGCTTTTACCATCAGGGGGCGGGTCGCTGCCGTCGAAGTTGTGGTGAGTGCGAAAGCGAACCCATGTCTCCGACATATGGCACCTCGAGGGTATATCGTCTGGTTTTTGGTGGGTACACCCCCACCTTACGGGGGGATTCCCACAGTACCAATTCACCTTCCACAAGGTGTATGGATCTGCATAAAACATTTTCCAGTCGTTAAAAAAAAATAAAAAGGTCTAGATAAATATGAATAAGACTAAAATCATGTCTAACGACTATTCCACACCTATACCTGTTACGAGTGAGAACACTGCGCTCAAAGTTGTTGATGAGTATGTATACTTGGGATAAGATGTCCGAATACGTAAGTCCAACTTCGATCGAGAGGTCAACTGGTGAATCCAATTTGGCTGGGAAGCGTTCGGAAAACTACGCCACATCTTTTCATGCAAAATAACTTAAAGTTTAAAGACGAAGATCTTAAACCAGCGTGTTGCCAGTGATGACTTATAAAACTGAAACATGGTCCTACACGATTGCCCGTATATAAAAGCTTCAATTTGCTCAGCTGGCTATGGCGAGGGTTATGCTCGGTATCTCTTTTCGTGATAGAATCCGAAACGAGGATTTTTTTTATACAACTTAAAATGGCAAACAAGCTGACGGCCCACTTGATGGAATGTGGTAACCGTTGCCTATAGACATGAGCAGTACCATGGACATAACAGAGTATACTATTTCACCCATGATACCCCCTATGCGTTGCCATTCCTGAGGACTCAGGTGTTATGCCTCTGTACCCAGTAAATTCACGCCAATTCACGCAAAACGGATATCCGCAAAAGGACCAAAGTAACCGACATAGCCCGAAGGGTAAGTAAGCTGAAATGGCAATGGGCTGGCCACATAGCTCGAAGTACTGACAATCGATGGGTAAGAAAGATTCTTGAGTGGCGACCCCGTACGAGCATACGCAGTGTAGGACGACCCCACTAGATGGAGTGACGACCTCAAATGCATTGCATGGAGTCAGAAAATACAGGTGGCTCAGAACCGTTCCTTATGGCAGTCTATAGGGGAGGCCTATGTCCAGCAGTCGACAGATAATGCTTGGAATGATGGTCATGGCTTCTTACAAAATTATATCCGTGCGAAGCTGAACCGCGTTGCTAGTTCATCAGATTAACTAACTATCCGTAAATTTAAAATAATTAATTTTGTATACTATTTCTTTTAAAGTTGATTATGTAAAATAAAAGTAGTGTAAGAAACTTGTCATGTTTTTGTTTTAGGGCTAGTAGAAATAGCTTTTTTACTCTTGTGTAGGAAAGGAGTGGAAAATATCTAAATATACAGTTTTGATATATGTATGTATATTCAAACAGAATACATAGTAACGATTCAATATTACAAAATAAGGTATTACCCTTGCCTAGGTAAAAGTCACTTAATCAATCTATACAAACTACAAAATGAAGGTTACTCAGTGCTATCTATCGATTTGTTATAAAACTCAATGTAAATATTAGCAAAAATTACATTTTTATGTGATTTCACTGTGTAAAAACTTGTAGGGACAATTTTGTTAATTACCTTGAAGGAATAAATGGAAAGAACTGAATTAGCTATATGTAATAATTTAAATATGATTTTTCAATATGAATTGCTAAAACTATTTCACCCTTTAAGGATTTGTTTGAAAAAAAAAAAAGAAATGTGTATCTTAATTCTGAATTAACAACAATAATTCCAAAAAGTTTGAAGCAAATCACACTACGCAATAAAAAGTTTCATATAAAAATTATTTCATACATATCAAATATATCAAAAAGTAGCCTTTAACCATCTCTAGAGTCACAGCTATTTCTATACCTAATTTCATCATAATCGATCCAGCGGTTTCGACGTGAAAGCATAACAAACGAACAAATAATCTTACTTTCGCATTTACACTATGATAGTGTAAATGCTAACTAATGTTAGGCCATACGTATTAGCAATTCTAAGTTATTGTACATTTTATACTATACATAATTATGTAATGTAATAATTTTGTTATTCTTATAATAGTAGAGATTTTTCTGTAGTAGAGTAATACTTATTTTTTTTAATAATTACTTTCTATCTAGTAACAAGGAATATATATAATTTTAAACATTATGAAGGAATATAATAATGAATGTATTTATTAAGATTTGTTATATACACTAATATATATTTGTTATATACAATAATACATCATTGTAGTCAGTCTTATAAATCAGTTACTTCTATCTTGCAACTACTTTCAATTTGGTCAGATATAAAAGCGTTATTCGGCACCAGAATAGGATCCTGTGTGTGTGATGGAACTTCAATTACAGCAAAAGTTCTTATATCATGATTATTGTTATCGACAATATTAGCCTTAGTATTAAAATTGTCATTTCTGTTGCTATCGACATGTTTGTCCATTTCTATAACTTTACCAATAATATCAGTACTACTTATATTATTAGAGTTCCGTGGTGAAATGCCCTTGCTATCATCCACGTTATGTCCACTGATTTCCATATTACCTTCGGATTCAGTACCGTCATTTGAATCAACAGTGTCAGATGTCACTTCAATGTTGTGAGTTATATTTTGTGATTGTGTATCGGAAACCTCACATTCAGATGAAGTATAGCTATAAATACTATCTCGAATTTCATACTGATTCTTTTTTTCTATACGTTTGTAATAATCATTACTTTTTTCTATTCTCACGGGATTTAAATGTTCATCAAGGGGAACATAATACGTCTTTATATAACCAGCTCCTTTTACTAATGTCTCTCCTCGATATGTTGTCAGAATGCCACAATCCTCTAAAATTAAAGCAGTGTTTTCTGTCACCTGTTTGAAAAATATTTTAGTGTCTTTAACAATTATATTATACATTTTTAAACGTCAGCATTACGATATATGTATATGAAGCTCAAATGTGTAAGTATAGAAAAATGTGTGTTTTTTTGGATTTGGATATTATAGTAGACACCTTTATTGATTTTGTTGTATTATGGATATTCAAATATAGACAGGATAAGGGGAAGGGATTGTTAGTATCGGGGAGGTTAGTCCCCGTTACTATCAATGTACCCTCTAAGGTCGACCTCTCCGCGGTTCACCCTGGAAACTATCGTGACTAATTTATCGTTGAATTCATCATGATAGGCTAACTGACCTCCCTTTGCATCCTCACTTATCACCTCTCATTGGTATCCAGCCAGTATATACTGACAGCGCAGGCGGGGTTACCATGCCATTTTCACCTATTAAAAAAATATATAGACGGGATACATATACTTATCTGGAAATTTTTGGACAGATAAATATTTAAAAATAATAATAAAAAAAGATACTTATTAAACTTACTTGTATTTTTCCTGTTTCTCCAGTAGAATCCATTCTAGATGCCATATTGACAGCGTGACCCCATATGTCATACAATGGTTTAGAAGACCCTACTACACCGGCTGCTACTTCTCCATTAGATATACCTGATAATGTGTTAAAATATTAAAAAAAAATAGTATTAAGTAATTATATGAAATAAATACTAAATAAGTAGTAAATAAGTTGATAATACATAATACTGGTATTATTTTGCACTGGTATAATTTTTTAAGTTTTTTTTTTAATTCTTACCGATTCTCAAATTCAGCCCTTCGAAGCTCTGAAATGATCCACGATTAAAGTCCTGCAGTTTCCTCATCATTGCGGCTGCAAATTCTAGCATCGTCATTATTATAGCACGATTATATATTGTATTTTGATTTTTAATATTAGAGTTTATTGATGTTGAATCAAATGACTGTCTTTTGCTGGGATCTAAACCGCAAGCAGCCATGTATGTCCATCCTGCCATTTTGATTTTTTCTACTTTGTAGGCTGAACTTCCGGTTAATAGTAACTGCAAATATAAATACTCACAGTTAGAGTGTAATTGTTCTATTTAGTTAATATGTATGCATGACATAATTATATAATAGAAATTATGTACATACCCTATCAAAATCGGATATGACACTGTCTAGCATACCCAACACTGTTTTGTCGCTCAAATCTGCATCATCTTCTACTCCTAATTTATAATCAGTAAGCGATGCGAACATAACTGCTACATTATCATATTTTTCGTAATATAGTTCGTCTATTGATCTGTTCATGTTCAAATAAACTTGTACTGAAAAAAAAAACATTTATATTATATAAATTGTAACATTTGTAACTACTGTTAAAGCAAGATTTTAGTTTTAGATTATTATATAAATATACATTATATTATTTTCCTTACCCACGTGCCCTGGTAGTATATTTTCCAAAAGCATGTTATTGACTTTCAACATAGTTTCTGCTTCTTGCTGTTCCTCGCCAAGTTGTACTTGCCACAAATAGTCCAATCTGTTTCTAAATTCTGTCATTCTATCTATCCAATATAACGTTAAAGTTATTGATACAACAGTTAATGTATGTGAGACTCTAGGATCGAGTCCTACGTTCCATGTGACGTCAGCGGCAAATAAATCAGTTTTCATTCCCCACACCATCCATAGATAGAATGTTGTCATTCCACCAGCGACAATCCATTTAAAGATGAAGAAAACTCGACTGAATAGAAAGTTTAATAATAGTGCCAATCCCCAGCACTGGGTAACGTGCTGAAAAAATGTGTTCGGATTGATACGTAAATCATAACTAGAAATATTTTGAATGCTGTTGCTATAATTTGATGATGATGAAAGAAACTCCAGAGATACGTAATATTCACTTCACTTATCTCAGTATTAAATGGATATCATTATAAATTTGGACCCGTAAAAAAGGATAATTAAGCCTTTAATTCTAATTTTTACATTTTGTTTTAAAGAATACTGTTAAACTATTTACAATATGCCTCGACGTTTGTTGTGTCTTACGACATAGCCTTCTTATGACAAAGCCTTAAACTGTTATCTATCAACTACCACTCGTAGCCAAAAGGGACCTAGGGTCACATTCAGGTCGTCTTTTCATCTTTGCACTTTACGACCTTGGTTCCTAAAGCAATTTCTCGTATATTTGTTTACTTCATTTTTCATATTTACAATGGAGCATATGTCCAGTCCGTGTAGTCTTAGCATACAATGAGCGACTCCTCTCATTTTCGTGGGTTACGTAAGAGACGACTAAGGGAATTTAATGGTCGAGGAATGGGCAGCAACGTTTAATTTAAAACATCATCAAAGCTTAACTGCGGTGCCAATCCGCCTGCCAAACGTGGCAACTATTGGCATAACTTTCCTCTTGTTCCCTTATAAGGAAAGGCCTATGTCCAGCAGTGAACAGATAACTGTTGATATAATGATATGCCCAGTCCATTTCCATTTGAGTTGATTTACACGTAAAAGCATATATTACTTTTGTTTTATTTCCTATGTTTATGTTTCTGATTTTGTTTTTAATTTTTAATCATAGCATGATTGACTCTGTGGCTTTCCAACATTTTGCAAGTTTGTCTCTTGCTTGCCTTTTTGTCAGCGCGTACCATGGATTTCAGTACTTTTGGGTTTTCCTCCATTATAACTAGATCATCGGTAAATCTTAGATGGTTTAGTCGCGATCCGTTTATGTTTAGTCCCAGGTGATCCTATTCCAGTTTCCTAAATATTTTCTAGCACTACTTAAAACAGCTTCGACGAGAGTGGATAACCTTACTTGACTTCTCTGTCGATTGGAAAAGCACATTCTACAGATTCCAGCTTGACATTAACTTTACTTTCACTGTAAATATTTCTTATAATGTTTACATAAACGTTTGGAATTCTTTGCTCCTTAATACTTTACCATACTGAATCGTGTTTGTGGTTGTTGCTTTCTTATAAAGAAGTGTATGACTTTGCCCATTGACTTGGGATGTTGTTAAAATAGAGTATTTTATTGAAGACCTTTGTTAGTATCAGGCTTAATTCTTCTGTTGCCTTATGCATAAGCTCGTTTGAAATTTTACCTGGACCAAGGAATTTTGTTTTTTGGTTTTTATGTTTTCGACTGATATATATTTTTAGTATAATACGAGTATTAATATCTCTTGTCAAATTTTCCTGGTTCGATTTGAGTATAACAAGCGATAGCAGGCTATTTTTAGGATTTTATATTTTGAAGCCGTTGACAATTTTTTATTTACCTTTTTTATTAATTTCTTATTCCGTAAAAAGTTCTTTTACGAAGTTCCTTAAGAGCTTTTTGTCTGTCCACCGTTTTATTGATGCGATTTTCTAGCGTTTTTATTTTTCGGTAGTTCCTATCTTTTCTCACGTTTTACCGAATCTGTTTACTTGAGTCGTGCGATAAGAGACGTCAACGATTATTAGACGGCGAGAAGGGGCTTAAATTAAGGGTAATTTATGTGGAGACTTTGCTTCTTCTCGCATCTTCTACCGCTTGTATATTTTCTGAATTGTGTTCTGAAGAACTTTTCAATATGCTGCCTATAGCCACCTTTCACTATCGCATTGCTTGTCATCATCAGGGAATCCGTCATCATACCTTAGAACCAGAATATTCACGAATAATGCAGTTTCAGAGGAGCTTCTTCTCACAAACACGCAACTAGTGGAATGCCGAGGCTTTCCTTAGAAATTACAGCATGGGGTGCAAGGATCGACAACATCCATACAGCTACAGTTCTATTTACCCTTAGACGACCTTATAGGATTTTTTGTTCTTACTTAGTTGTACTTTCATCTGTTCTTTGATACTGTTTTATGTTGTAATGTACTTTCCACTTATTCATCATGTATTCTGTGATCTTATTTTTGACCGCTTTGGTGCAAAGCATGTGTTTGTGTGAGTTACTTTTGGCCTAGGTTTTTTGTCCATATTTAGACATACAGCAATATACCGTACGATGATTGATATTGAAGTTAAAGTTTTGTGTTACGTCTGTATTGGTAAAGAACCTAGCATTGTTTGTTAAGACATAGTCTACAATCTTACTATTTCATTTTTAACTATTTCATCTGGGGATATCCACGTCGATTTCGTTTTATACTTCTTGCGGAATATGGAAATAAGCAATGGTAAGTTGTGTTTTAGCAGGAATTCTAACAGTCGTTCGCCATTTTTGCTTTTTTTACCTCTTCTGAATATTTTATATTCTTCATTGGCCATTTGTGCACTTTGTGTTTTCAGCATATTTTTCGATAATTTCACTTTGTTTTAAAATCGTTTTAAAAATTGTCTCTATTTGTTTTGGTAGGCGACCATTTCATTGTCTTCTAGCAATAGCTGTGATCTGAACCTGTGTAGCATGAAGAGGGTGCATGAATGCACGATTTTGAGGAAGAATGTGCTGGAATACTTCCACTGAACGCCGTTGCTATTACGGAGGAGGATGTTGTTGCTGCAATTCGGCGGGTTCCGTATTGGAAAAGTCCGGATATCGACAGATTGCAGCACTCAATTATAGCAAGGTACACAAGTACCTCACGTTCTGTAAATGTAAGCGTCCAACGCCCTACAGAACTGTTAAATATCGTAAACGATTATAGCAGCTCTGTTAAGGTGAACCGCAGAACAGATAAGCGTTCTCCATGTGCAGAGGGTATAGGTCACTCAATCTGAAAGGAACGCTACATATCTACCTATCATACCTCTAGTATCGAAAATCTATCCGAGGCCAAAACATATCTGTATCAGGGCATGGCACAAAATATTGGTGTAAAGGAGGCGAATATGAGACAGTTTGTTTGCAAAGAATTTATGCACGCCTTACAGGAATATTTAAAAGTTCCTTGTCGGGTGTGAATAAAGTTTGAGCTTATAATGGCAACCCCTATTTCTTTACATTTTTGGCATGCTCGGATGACCTCAACCCGATCTTGAAGTCCTCGATCGGAAAATCCGCACAACTATGCCTGCATCACCCGAAGTCGTCAGTCATAAGGATATTCCGCGGAAGGCTGGTGGTCAGGGCTAAGCATTTAGATCATGTAAAACCGGACATTAGGATATTTTCTAAAGAAAAAGTCGAAGATAGAGAGGTAATAGAATGTAATAAAGGATTTACCACTTTCTTTGGCCAGAGAGGACTGGCAAACCCCGGAATAAATGAGAGGTATCTTAACGGGTGGCCGTATGGAAAGGGAAGGAGATGCAAGTAAGGTTCTTCAACCTCTGTGCACTTATTATAAATCGGTGGTCTATACCGAGGTTTGTGTCTGTGCAATACAGGATCAGGTGGTTAAGACGAACAACTGCCGAAATAGTATTGTGAAGGATGGCACTGAGGTCATCTGTCGGGCTTGTCACCATATCGCAGAGTCACTCAGAGATTTGATTTTGGGTTGTTCAGCTCTTATTAACATTGAGTACTTGCACAGACATAATCAGGCAGCTAAAATACTCTATCAATAGTTCTTAAACTTTGCCGGTCCTCGAAAGTAATAGCGTTGGGCTGTACTGGGACTGATCCATCATCACAAACAATACGGTTCCTGTAAACAAACCTGATATCGTGGTGATGAATTGGGCACTTTCGAGGGTATTATTGGCTCATGAGGTGACCGAAATGTGGGGGGGGTGTGATATCCAATATTTCAGTGTAACCCAATCGTTCCATCACTGAACGGTCTTATCCCAATCACTGTGGAACAACATCTCAAATGGTTGGGATACTGGAGCATATCTCTTTCGGAAAAACAGCAGAAAGTGGTGCTTTTGGATACTGTTCGTATAGTACGCCGATTTTTTCCTGAGGCCTTGAACCCTGGCCGACTGGGCTTCTCCTAGGGGTTAGTTTGCTATCTCCATTAGAATTTTTGGATATATCTAGCTCACAGTTTGCACAAGTATCCGACAACACCATTCGCTCCCTCTCGTTAACATCATCGTCTTTGAGGGCCGAAGTCAGCATGTATCATAAATATTTAACGTTGCACGCTCTTGTAATTGCTGTACAGTTCAAACTAACTACTAAAAAATTTACAAGTTTATTTTTACTGATCTCTAAGACCATGACTTCACTTTTTTTTACAATATGTATCAGTCCATGTTCAGCATAGGATTCACAAACTAGGGCAAATTTTCTAAGACCACATACTGGTGTACTCAGCAATATCATATCATCTGCATAGCTTATATTATTAAAATTTACTCCATCAATATAGCAGCCAATGCGAGTATTGCTGAGCACAACGATCAGGTCATTAATGTATAGTTTGAAGAGTATTCGTGATGATAGCCCTTGCCTTACACTATACTCCAGCTTATATGATTGTGACAGATTTACCGTCTATCAAACTCTGTTGACCTGATTGCCGTACAAGTATTTACATATATTTATAAGTTGCATTAATACTCGAATATTAGAAAATATTGTTACCCAAGGCGAGACGCAGTTTGATAGCACAGTCTTCGTTGAAGGTTCAACTTCCACTTCAGTGCATCCAATTACATTAACGATCGACATCGCAGCAAGTCCTGTACTGATAATCATATATATTGCTGTTCTTATTTTAGCAGATCTTATTATATTTATTGACAGGTCGTAAATAGAACGGAGATATGGATTTTTTGGTTCTTCGATGCCGTTATGTTTTAACCATATGATATGAAACCAGGTTAGAGGCTGCATGGCAAGCAATATTAGTATCAGTGCTCCAAAAAGAGTCCAAGTATACCAGTGAAAGCCATTGAACCTTAAACAAAACAGATTATTTTAAAAAAGAAATCTAATTATTGAGAAGGGTAATTGCCCATTTACAATTAATCCTTACTAATATTATAAATGTGAAAGTGACTTTGTTTGTTTTTTACCTTATAGCGTCATAACAGCTTAATTTATAACTGTAAAATTTGGTATACAAATATTATATGTGGAGGAGAAGGATATAAGCTATTTTATCACGGTTAGTGAACACATCCCAATCACGTAGATGAAGTCACAGGTAAAAGCTAATATAGTATAAATTAAACATAAAAAATTGTGTATTTAAGAACTTTATAAATAGTTTACAATACAGTTTTTGAAATTTTAAGAGACTTCGAAAAGAATTTGTAGATAGTTGTTAAATTCTACCATTATTATTATATCGGTAAATAGAATATTCCGCGAAGAAAAAATTAAAATATGTGTGTAATAGTATCCACCAAGCAAAAATAAACTCAAATTAATATGCTTATAATTGTAATTATAGGTAGCATTTTGGTCAATTGTTGTCATTTTATTAAAAACTAGCGGCCCGTCACGGCGTCGCACGGATGGACATTTTTACATTTTAACCCCTGACGGGTATTGTGGGTCGAAACGACCCGGCAGGTAGTTCGGCGGGCCTCAGGTACACTATGAAGGAACTATGTACAGCTGTTTCCTCCACCACAATATTTTAGTTTAGACCTTCAGAAGACGAATGGAATTGGTTTTATATTTATATTCATCTTAGTATTCAAGCATATAGCTTGAATACTAAGCGTCGGAAAATTTTACTCTGGGTCGCTGAGACCCTCAATACCTAGTGCGGTATATTTTGTTATTTTATAAATGTGAATTTGATTTTGTTTGTGTATTATAATTAACATTATTGGTAACTAAAACTTGAATTAATTTCCTCCTTTACCAAATGTAATTGTTTATTATATTTAAAAAAATCAATTCTTGCTAAATTAGTCAGTAAGAAAAGAAATTTTCGAGTTTCGTGTCTTTTGAACATGAAATAAATGATAGTTACGAATAAAAAAACCTTATACAATTGTCAGCAAATGATTTCAAAAATATTTTATTAAAGAAGTCTGCCACTGACGACGATCTGACGAAACCTCATCTCCAAAGACGTTACGAATGTCCTCAACTACACTTGCTGATAAAAAAGTATTTAAAGACTGTTTGGGTATAGTTGCGGACGAAGTACCATATGAAGAAGTTTTTGATTTAGAAGAAAGACAAAAATGTTCATATTTTCATTATTCATTAGGAATAAAAACTAAAATAGAATGCAGTGAATGCAAAAAATCCATGTGTAACCGACATCGAAGTACACGATGTGTTGTATATAGTTCATAAGTTTGCAGACAAATAACCTTCAATGGGGAGTTACTTGTTATAATACGATGATTTTTTTTATATCAGAAAATATAAGTTTTCGAAAAAAATAGAGTTTTTACGTATATTTTAAACATTCTTAAACCCTTTTTACTACTTTTACCTACTTTCATTTTTTAAAATAATTATAGTTTTTGAAGAACTCAATAAACGTCCATACGTTTTTAAACTACACACTTTCAGATTTACAATGATATATAAATTTTTATTTCTAACGTTAATAAACGTAGAGTTATTGAATTTGTAATAAAATCTCGTGCAATGCGCGTTTGCGAAGCTTTAAAGCCGAATTATACCTATTTAAATTATTCAAACTTTATTTATTTATATTTCATTGTATTTGCCAGAGTATAAACTTTAATTTAAAAAAAAAGTCTAAATCGGTGTGCTAGAAGCTAAAATATTTAAGGAAAAAGTTGTTTGGGTTGCAGCGGCCCTCAATACTCGTTGTGGGGGTATCCAAAACATGTATACCCGTCAGGGGTTAAAAAGTGGCCATTTAGGTTGCACACGCGACGGAAGCTTAAAAATAAAGTAACTTCTCCCATTTTCCCAACATTTCCCTTCACTGCTCCGCTCCTATTGATCGTAGCGAGATGAAAAGTATACCAGACCAGGAGTATGAAGAATAATTGTACCTAGTTTCGTTAAAATCCGTCAAGTAGTTTTTGTTTCTATAACGAACATACAGACACAAAAATTTTACTGGTCGCATTTTTGGCATCAGTATCGATCACTAATCACCCTCTGATAGTTATTTTGGAAATATATTTCATGTACAGAATTGACCTCTCTACAGATTTATTATAAGTATAGATAGATAACACTGATTTTAATATGGATAATATTTGACCAATCATTTTTTAATTTGACATACCAGACTAATAATAGAATCTATTGTCGATTTTTGGATTAATTAATTTCTATTTTATTATTGACAATATTACTTAAACTAATTAAGTTTACTTAAGTTTCTTGGAGTTGGTTAAAAATTAAATATGACAGAATATTTATTGTTCAGTTTTCCACTAGTGATTCCATCGCAGCAATAATTTTGTAAAAACTGTTTAATATTTAATCAAATATCAAGGTATGTGTTACGAATTTATTCACTCCTAAACACAGAAGAAAAAATCTATTTCAGACATTTCATGCAGTAATTTTTGTGTATATTTAATATATATAAATTGTAACTATTTTATGAGATATTTATGAAAAATAGATATGGAGGATCTTAATGAGAGTTACAGAAGCCAAAACAATAATTTTTAGAAATTTTGTCTTCCTGTTTGTAAGTTTGTCTCGGCATTACGAAAAAACTATGGCACAAATTGAATGCAGTCTCAGTTGTATTCATGAAAGTGTAAATTAAAAAGCAGTGTATGTTTTATCTTGATACGCTAACTAGAAATTGTCGATTTTATTAATTTTTAAACAGTATCGATTCAAAGTATCGACCAATGGCTAGTTTGGTACATAAAATCTTGTGACATACTGTTTTACAGGAAACTAAACTGCTTATAAAATAATCTTACCAGTCGGTAGTAAGGCCATTAATTAGGAATGTCAGTAAAAGAATGAAGAGGCAGCATGTAATGTAGTACTTAAACAGTGGATCTGCTTGTAGAAGAAAAGACTTCTCCATATCGAAATTTTTAAACATCAGTGTTATTTTGTTCAGTCTGGATTCACTCATTATTTGATTTCTAAAATTTGATAATAAAATAAATTAAATCAATGTAAATTCATATTCAAATTTAAATTCTAACACTGATGAAATGACGTACAATGTATAGCACTAAGAAACATATATCACTATCATCATTTCAAAGACTCTCATAGATTGTTTTAAAGAACGGTTCCGAGTTACCAGTTCTCTGAAAATTATTTGTAGTCATAGTTCTGTCTAGCAGAAGGGCATATAACAGTTCATTGCCTGTTGGGCTTGCTTATCCATCAGTTAGTAGTATGAAACCATGTTTAATTATTTGAATTAATTATAAGGATAGCAAAAATATCAGAATATTCATAGCAACTAACCATTTGAACAAGTTAATAGTTCAGATTGTTGGCACTTGGTAACACTTTGTGTATATAATATATTGATGTTAGTAGAAATTGTAAAAGAGTATTTTCTAATGATATAATTTTTACGAGTCTTATAAAATTTATTGTACAAAAAGTCTCAGATACCTTCCACTGGTCATATCTTCAATTTCTTTCGCCATTTGAGCGTCTGCTGCCTTCAGCATCAGCTGATACTCCACTAAGTTGTCATCAATGAATGACGTAGTACGTCTGTGGTTTAAATTTCTTCTTTCCGATAACTACTGAAATAGCAATTAATATGGAGAAGCATATTGCATGGTATATGAAATTTTGGAAAAATAATAACGGCAAATGGCAACTTACTCTCGAGGTTGTTTTGCTAATGATTCTATTTAAACCAACTGAAGCTCTATGAAAGGGTTTATAGTCGACGGGCTGAAAACATAACGATATATTATGGTCAATAAACATTCTCTATTCAAATAAAAAATACATAAATATTCACAGAGGGATTATTAAAAACTTAAAAAAAAAAAATACAGGTTTAGTTTATGTGTTTACAAAAAGACCAGATTTTACTTTTTTTTTGTTTATACTTTTGCAAAGCAGCTCAAATTATTTTATAAAACTATCAGGTTTTAAGCGATCATAATAATCCTTCAAGAAAGGCCTTTATGTCTGTAGGCGATGACAACCACTTCTTTTCATGCGGGGTCTCAGCTAGTTTGTCATTACAATTTGCATAAAAATATCTACAATTTTTGAATTACAATTACCATTGAAGGTCGTGATAGTAGATAAGTTTCTAGTTTGTTTTTTGTTATAAATACATCATTTTGACAAGCAGAATTCGGTTCAATTACGTATTCTCTAGCAGAACCTTGCAGCAATTCAAGAGTCTGTTTAGTTACATGTACTTTCCTGTAACAAACAATAACGAGATTATGTGTTTAACTTTCACATTAATGAATGCTGTGAGAATAAGAACAATTTTTATTCAAGTAAATATATAAGCATTTCTGAATGGTCATTTTTTTATGATTTTTATAATCTATATCTTTGCTTACAAGTAGAATAATATTTTCTACATTATTATGTAGAAATATTAATACATAAACTATAATGTTAATGTAACTGTTAGTAAATAAAATGAATAAATAGTAGGACGTTACAAAATTAAAAGATATATAATGTTTATACTCTATTTATTCCTTTTCGTCAAAGATTACGATAGGTGCGATATATATACCCAGCTTGTCCTGTAGACTCCATTTTGTTGGCAATAGTAGCGTCCTTAGACCAGATATCATATTGCCATTTTCTAATGCCGATCAATCCGCTTAGGATCCTGCCTGAATGCACGCCTATCCGCATATCGATGTTTAACGATCGCTTTTCTCTGAAAACCGATACATATTATGCTCAAAACATTTCCCTAATAATTTCTTTTACTTGCTTGTTTCTTATAATATACCCCCCTTATATAATACTTATTACACCTATAAATAAGTTCTCGGATCAGAGAGGGGGGGGGGGGGGGATTGCTAGTAATAGCTAATGGCCCTATTTAAAATAACAATATGTACTATCAGCATTTATTATCATAAATAGACATTTTTTCTTTTTTTATGATATGATTTTTTAATTATTGTTAAAACAAAGTAAAATTTTTAATGCTGATTAAGAAAAAAAGAAAAGTAAATTGTAATGATTATCAAATTTAATTATTGTTGTGAAACAGCGGTTTCTCCTAACACAAGCAATTTTTGCTTAACAGGAGATACCAAACCCTGTAATGTAACTAACTACCTTTGTATAAAGAAATAAATTTATTTATTATTATTATTATTACTATCAGTTCCTCGTGAGTTCATAATAACCTATGATATCTATGTTATAGCAGGCTACTATTCAATATATTATTTATCAATTTATAACGAATTTTCTGTTATCTAACATAATACCTTACGTCCTTGATGATATGAATCATTTCCAGTCCTAGGTCTACACAGTTCTTTGCGTGCTGCGCGTTGGGCTTAGGTATACCACTAACGCAATAATAGCAGTCGCCAAGAAACTTTATGCGAAGAACATCGAGCTCCTGGAATTAAAAATAATATAATATGAAAATAATATGTCATTATTTTAAAATAACATTATTTAATTAAATCCGTTAACAAATAAATAAAAGGAAGTATTGACAGTTTTTAGACTTGGTAAAAATTGAGATCTTTACAAAGTACGTATGTTACGTACATGTATTATTTTATATTAAAAAGTAAAAGATAAGGATTTAATTTTTAAAAGACTATTCTAAAAAGAAATTAAATATGAAATTTAAAATAAACGTACAATAATTTCAAAGATTAAATGGAGCGAAAATTTAACCATGGTATAAATGAAATTGTTAACTTATTTTAATACATATATAGTTGTGAGGGTATTCAATAAAAAAAGTTTCGTTTTAACGTCTAAATACAATTAAAACTTCTAAAAATTACATACCTCAGAAGCTTCGTCAAATCTCCCAAAAAGCTCATTCAGTAATTCTACCATCCTCATTGGAGATAAGGTGGTGGAAATTCTGGTATAATTTACGACGTCGGCATACAATATGCTGACATTATCATGTTCTTCTACATATCTATCACTATAATTAAATAGATTAAAAATATACAATAGCTCAAAATATCACAAGAAATAGGCATAATATTGAAACAAATCCAAGATTACGCAAGTTTGTTTTTATGTTGAAATAAATAAATATATTATCTAAAAGAATACAAAATTTAGGTCAATGTCAATAGTTGGAAGTTCAAGAGAATGATAAGTAAATACTCTTTTTACTGATAATTTTACAACTAATAAATAAATAAAAAGCTTATCAGATATCGCAGCTTACTTGTAGTAAATATTTGTATTATACCTAGAACCATACAGATATTATACATACACATATATAAATTACAAATAAGGATATTACGTACATTAATATTTTATATATTGATAAACTAATTAAATGAGAAACATATTTCTATCTTGACAAGATCAGTATAGGACTAACATGGGAATAAAGAGTATCTACTGCAAATTTCATGGAAAACGCCACTTGTTGTAATCAAGCCACAATCGGCGAAGATATCGCCATAAAATAGTTTAAAGACGTTAAATACGGTTACAAATTGCTCTGAGTTTTGATATTCTAGATTGTAGGTAGATATTAATAATATAGCCTAACAGATACCTACGCGTATTCGTAACATAGTCATATTTATCAATTGTTTTGGACAAATAACTAAATAAGAAAATGCAAAATAATGTTAAAAATTACTTACTTGAATGATTTGATATTATGAACGAGATCGTGCGATTGTAAACTAAGGTATATGGATCTGATGTCTTGTCGAACTTTGGATACAATGTGTTCTGGTAAAATACTCAACATAAGGCGCTCCTGAAGTACAAAAAAATTATTTGAACATTGGTGAAATAAGAAATATATATTAATATAATATTCATATATATTTTTACTTATTTTAACATGTTTTATGTTACAAGAAATAAAAAAAAAGGTTTTTATTCTTCAAATTTGCGTTACTTATAAATGACATATATATTTAGTCAATTTCATTACATATACATATATTGTGAACTAAAAGCAAAATAATTTAATTTATTTATTAACTAAATTACACATTTACTTTACAATTTTCAAATTTTATTGTGTATTAATATATAATATTATTACACATACATCTATACCAAGTAATCCTAGTATAGAATGAACTACGCCTTCCTTTGCCGTGGGTGTTATAATAGATAATTAAGGGAACTTAATAGTCGAGAGATGGGCAGCAGCGTCTTTCTACAAACAACACTAAAAGCGTAACTGCGGTTGTCAACCTGCCTGCCAAACATGACAACTACTGGCAAAGGCTTCCCTAATGGGAGAAGCTTAGGGACACTAGTGGACAGTTGTATAAAAAATTTGATAGAGTTACTACTTGTAATTAAAAATTTACTCGAAACAATAAAATATATGTAATTATATACCTCTTGAGACTTTACAAATTTCAGTCGCCAAGTACTTTCGACACATGCTTGCCTATCGAGGAATGATCTTCTTGTTACAATTTCATTCATTAGCCTGAAGTATGTACCCATTATGTTGACACCTACCATATAGATTATGTCCGAAGCGATCTGTTATCAAATTAATATTATTACATTTATATAATAAAAACAATTATGATGAATTTCATTATCACAAATGTAAATTTGAGATATCGTGAGAACTTGAGACGACTCTCACAAATATATTTAGAAGACATCATCTAAAAATAATCATAGTTGGATTCGTTTTCAATATGTTGTTTACTATAATTCAAATTATATGTAACTTAGAATCATAACAAACAGTAGAACAAATAAGCGGCCTGCCACATGGAAAGTGATAAATGTCGCCTATAGAAGTGAACAACACCATGGGCATAACAGAGTATATTGTGTCGCCTATGATACCCGTCATGTATTGAAATTAATAATATAAATTAATATTAATACAAATCCTAATAAGTAGCTAAATAATAATTTGTTATATACTATTATTTTATTGATTTTTTATTATTCTACCATCTATCATTTTATCATATCTATAAATAGTTTGACTTATTTCTTCTTATCACTTATAATTTTTATTTGAAGAAGTTTAATTTCTATCTTTTATTTATAAATGGCTTATAAGAAAGACACAATGTTATAAAAAAGTATGAAAAAAGACAGTTTTATTTTATTTCATACGAAATTGAATGGAATACGACATACAAAGGGTTTGAGTTTTATTTGTTCGGCTAGGATATTTATTTATAATTACTATTGTAAAATTGTAAATTTTATTTAGGTATAAAGCAGTGAAAATCATATTTACATTTTCAGTGTTTTCTTAATAAAATGTAATAAAATCAGCTTTAAAACAATGACGACGATAACAAAGTCAAATGTATACACGTATTGAAATCATCAAACATTATTCTTACCACAACTCCAATCTGAGGATTTTTGTAATATGTGAAGAATGCGTAGATTAGTACATATACAGTGCTCACTAACACTCCTAGAATTATGACTAGGTAGTTATTCCTCAATGGTAGAAATACATATATTGATAATAACACCGTGGTAGAGTATGCTGGTCGTAATGCGATCCCTTCTGAAACGCTGTGTATTGGAACCGTAACGTCTAGGAACATAAAAAAATCAATAAAAATAAATGCCACAAATAATGGAAGATTTGCAATAACAAATTAGCTGATGGCAGTCACCGCTAATGGATAGGAATGTTACCATAAATAACATAAAATATCTGTAACGCCCATAATACCTTTCATGCGTCGTATTAGTGTTAGTAATTCTATTACACCTGAGTAGTTTCTTTACCATATCTCAGTGAAAGTTCTGCTTGACATACAAATGGCAAAGTTAAATAAATACATTATATTATATATTCACATATTGGTTACTACCTTTAGATTATATAGATAGTATCTCCATACAAATGCTTCGAGAAAAGCGGGTCAACTTTTTCATACAATTTTGTGTGATAAATAATCAATAACGTTTCCATTGTAACTTCTATATTTATTTTGTCTTATAATTTCTGCATCTTTTTAATGCGTAAATACATAGTACGCGTAAATATATAGAAAACTGATAAAAAAATCGAGTCGGCTAATTTGACAATTTACTAACAAAAAGTTGACCCGTTTTTGAGGCTCGAGACTCTATCTATATAATTTAAGGTGTATAATCTCTATAACTACCATATGCAAATCTATTGATTTGCATGACTTAAGGTACCACTAGGTCTTAGTTTGTGGTTAAGTAACAAATATTTGTATCGACTACATAATAATATGTTTATAGCAGTATTTTAATCTGAATAGTAAGGTAATCAGTGTAATTACTGACACAGGAGGTAATAATAATGAGTAATATCTTATACACAAAACTATGAGGTTGATATCGATCATATGTTATGCTTATTATTTTTCATCAGAACAATCATCACTTGCTTGCCTTAAAAACTTACTTTACACATGAAATACGCACTAATTCTACGATTACATACCAGTAACGACAAGATCTACAATAATAATAAAGGACACAACGATTGGCATCCAGAACCATTTTTTCCGGTTGGGATCATAGAAACATTTCCAAAGACATAAAATCGGTAAAGTGATCCTCAGAACGTACATCCCCATCGATAAATACGTTGATTGTGATTGAACTTCCTGAAATTAAAAAGTCCTCTATATAACATGGTGAAGGTATATGACAGAAATTATTATATCTGTAAAATCATCATGTACATATATTTATATAAACTTTATATATTATTGAGCGACGGCCTTTTACTTAGCAGCGATGTTTCTTTTTCCTAAGGATATAAATAGTAATTTCTAAGGAAGATATATCGTTTGTGTGAGTGTGCTATGAATTTTAACTCTAATATTATTAGGTATTTTTGATAAATTTTATCAATGATTTTGTTCACAAAAATATGTATACATATCTTTATTTTGATATTTGATTTTAAATTATGATTGAAATTCAAGCGAATGAAGTCATAAAGTAAAGCAAATGTAGTAGAATAAGTTTAAATAATATAAGTATCTTCTGTGTTATTATTTTTTACGTAATTATTAATTTACATGACACCATTTTCTATTGAGAAGTGTATTTGTCTAAATGTTAATAAAATTCAACTTACCTCTGAATACGTATACACGACAACTAAAACAATATGTACTGTTGAGAAAGTCAATAATAATGTAATATAAATATAAATAAGTGATTCCCTTAATTTGTCGTCATATTTCCTATATAACCCTTCCAGTTCTTTCTGGAAAAATTGATCCTGTGACAAAAATAAATACTATTTTACCCGAGGTAGACTATATATAAATGTAATCTGCTTGTATATTTCCATTCTACTTTTGTTTCTACTGATAAGCAAGTGTGCTTGCATCACTGTGTTTTGGGCTCAGCATTGTATGTTATGTCAGAAAAATGAGAAATACATGAGGTTTGAAAATTTATTTTCCAAGTAATTAATTGATACAAAATATTTTTAACACATTACGTAAAATACTATACATATACATACATATATATCTGTCACGCCTGTTTTCCATTAGGGTAGGCAGAAACAATGGAATGCCAAATGCTTTGATTAAAACATTTTTTACATGTCAATAACCTTTTGTGTACAATAAAGAATAAAAAAAAACAGATCTCTTTCGCTTCGTCTATTTTTAATATAAATTAAATTTTAACACAGAAGAAAAAATATGTACACAAATCGACAAAGCAATATTTATAGATAAATCTAGAATCAATTACAGCAAATAATATATTATATTTATTGGTATAGTAGTTTATTATGACTACAGAGCATATTTTAAAACAGGTACTATTATAATATCATATTCAATGACAATATTAAACGATAAATATTATTACAAAGTGAATCAAAACAGTACATAGACAACGTATATGAAGATTATAGATATATTCATTCAATAAAAAAGACATATCTTTATTTACTCATTTAACTTTACCTTATCACTTACCTAGCATGACGCTTATAAGCATGTCTGTAATTCAGCTATAGGTAAGTAGTATTATAAAATAAGTCTTAATCTTTTAACTATTTAAATAAAAATTCAATGCTATTTCTTAGTAAGCGAGGTCGCTTGAGAACGAATGAATTAACGTTTTTCTAAGATTGATTAAACTAAGATAAACGTCAGTCGAGTCAGTTAGTTGTAGTTTTATAAAATTAATGATAATTATACCGCATATATAAAGTACACGGTCTCTTTTAAATCAAAGAAAATAAACTTTTTTGCAAGTTTCTGAAGAAAGAAAAATGTAAGAGAAAAATAACTCACCCTTAAATATTGCCAGTTCCACTGTTTACCACCTGTTTGTTCATTTTCCTTATTCCTAAAGTCGGCTAACGACGATAAAATGCTGGTGGCCCTGGCCGTGTTCATAGAATATCTGGTGAGCAGTTCCAGGCCAGCTACCTGATGTGGCACAAAGCCTGTTGTTCGGGAGAGGTCGTGTTCATCCTGTTAACATGTAACGTGTAGTTATTAAATTCATATTCATAATATCACTGTTTTATATATATGTTTATACTACTCATTTTAATATTATACTAAGGAAAAAGCGCGTAAAGGAATAAAGCATTCAAAATAAATCTTTATACCAAAGTCGCTTAACCAGCGCAGCGTAGTAGTAGTAACGTCATACCCGTATACCTACTTATCTTATGAGAAAAGAACCATGTTTAATGTGATGTTAGAAAGTTGAGGATGTAATTTATCTCCGTAATTATCATAAAAAGTAGTGTTTTTGGATATACGGACGAAGTTTACTAAGTGTGTTTTTACATATTATTGCGTATTCGTTCATATGCTGTTGCATTTAAGCAAATTATTGGCGTAAAGTACAGCTTTGCCACTTGTAGCTTGATGGCTGTTAATAATATATAAATATTTATTTTTAAAGAAAGATTATAGCAGTTTTTTGATTTGTCTGATGTCAGTTACCTATAAGTGGTTATAAACTATCTTACTCATTTGTTATCAAAAATATTAACAATAACAAATATTTATATTAAAACAAAATAGTATGTTCAATAATAGGTAATATAAATATTATCGTAAGCATTGCTGAATCATTGTTAATTTAATTCCGGCATTGCGAGTGTGTTGTTATGGAACGTGTATCTGTCATGTTTTGTACACAAGCTATCATCAAATTATCATATCAATCATGATACTATCATTGGATTTTGGATTCTTATAGCCTTAGATTATAGCGGTACACACACACACACACACACACACACACACACATACACAAATGTCGAAAACTACATTTACCTATATTAGGTTTAACTTTCGAAAATAAAAAAATTAAGCATTTCAATGACGCGCATTACAAATACGTTATTTGAAGAATAGTATCATAGTATAAAAAAAATTTGTATATTAGCTTTAAATAAACAATAAAAATAAAAAAAAAAAACAAAAAAAGTCCGGTGTTAAGTCCGCCAAATGTACATAGAATTTTACTGTGCATTAAAGTTTAAATAAACAGATAAGAAACAAATGCTTTGTAAAATACAACAAAAATGCGAACGTAAGTAGAGCCCACAGGATATGTTTTTTTTATGCAACTTAGAATGATAACCCACCTGATGGAAAGTGATAACTGTCGCCTATAGACATGAGCAGTGTCATGAACATAACAGAGTATACTGTTTCGGCCATATTACTCCATATGTGTTGCCATTCCTGAGAACTTAGGTATTATTCCTTTGTACTCTATAAATTCATTATCATATTCCACCCTTTAAACCGAAACACAGCCACGAAAACACAATTGCATCACGGTGGAAAACGAAATGCATAGAGGTGCTCAAACAAACGACTTTTGTACAAAGTCTCCCTCTGGTAAAACCTAACCTAACCAGGTTGCTAATAGGAGGGTGGAATTCTTCTCTTATAGGGTAAGAAAGACATTATGAGGACATTTAATGACATATAAAGTAAAAGTTCTTGCAGTATACATTAATGTTATAACTACGAAATAAATACCAATATATATACAGCTCTGATATTTCTAGAACTTTAGCACTGCTTATTTTTTTTGTTATATTGAATAACAAAAGTATCTTGTCTTTTTTTCGTATTATTTCATATAAGTATTTAGATTTGTTATAGGCAATAAATTCATAGAAAGGTAAATGAATATTTACTTACCATTATTGTCAGTTATCCTTTCTCATTACGATCAGTAAAACACTAAAAACAATTACACGAAAACGCAAAAAGTCCGTTTTTCGGCAATTACCGTATATTACTGAACTGAGTATATCAATTATTATGCCGAATGATTAATATTGATAAAAAATAGGTATTCAGCGGAAGCGATTATGATAGTGATTATCGTATTAGTTTCAATCAGCCATTGATAAATGTAGCTTACACGTTGATTAGCCACGAATAGAATAGTCAGTTAGTTCCTTTTATAATTAGGAGATAGGTAATACGAGAATTACCATATTTTTGTATATAATTAAGATTTTGTTTTATTACAGCATTAACTTAAGTTTTAACTAAATTACTGTCCAACTAACAGTTAAAACTATTGGATATTTAGTGAAAATTAGATCAATTCAAAATTGACGAAGGTACCGCAGAAAATATATAAGTATATATACACACACACACACACACACATACACACGCACACACATGATTAATAAATGCAGAAGAATTGAGTTAATCAAAATTTTGAAATGGATTAAAAATTATAATATTTCTTAGTAAACAATAGTTTCGTTTAAAGCATTCAAACGGAATGTTAAACAATTACAAGTTTGGTACTTGGTACTTTTAGAACTGGCCGGTAATTTTAGGTGTAAAGATATATCCGCGCCTAGTTACAAATTTTAACTAAAAACTTCATAGCGCCAATCATTCATCTTCTTGTAATTCTCATAGCTTTTAGGGGCATGACCTCCAGATTTGCTATACCGCTATTGGTTTTATTATGTTTAGTTGCTGTTGACTTTATGTGCTGTTCTATAACAAATTTAAGAAAAATAATGATTATTTTTCTGTTATTATTTTCTACGATGAACTGGTATATAACGCCATATGTTGTTAATTCCGGCATTTATTTTGTATTGGTGTATTTAATAAATAAATAATTAAAATGTATTATGCTAAGGGTAAAGGTACTTTCCTATATTTAACTATCGACGACTTTTTGAATCTATCAGGAATTATCTGTGAAAGTATGTGTATAATTCATCAATGTATTTTAATTACAACTTAATCAATACATGATTATAAACATGTGATTTATTTGTGTGCTATAGATGTATGTTTTAATTCGTTAATTCTTTTTAATCTGAATTTATCGCAAAGAGAAATGTATAAAATATAATACTCGTAAATTGTTATAAAAATTTCTTATATTATATTATTAAATTTATTGATTTTATTTTATTGTATTTTTTTTAAATATATTCCATATAATTGTATTATTGGCGTATTAAATAAGTAAATAATATTTAAATATATTGAATAAAATATCTATATCTACCTACTATTCAAATTTTGGTCGTCATAATATTCGTGAGAATGAAAAACATGTTCGTTTCACAAATTATAACGCACTTACTAATTGACTGTGAAGCTCATTTGTTCACTATGACGAAATAAAACTGATGAATTGAGTAGTACAAGTCTTATGTGTGTTTATATCTTAATTCAAGTCAGGGTTACCGAATTTAAATTTTATCCAAACGACAAATACTCTTTCTCCAAGTCGGTACGATTTCTAGGACTTACCTTATCACAAAGTTCTATTGTTTTTCATTACGTTTGCCATATGCCACAAAATAAACGACGGAAAAATATTAATTCTGTTCCTATTTTAAGCTTATATAACCCTCTCTTTCTCTTATGTTGTCTGTTTTGACACTTCTATATACTTTACAAATATCAAAACTGACCAAAAAAAAAATACTTACATTTCTCCAAAACCATTTTAATTAAGAATTATTCCAATAATTTATTTTTTCCAAAATTACGCGTTCAATAAAATTTTAGGAGCCAAAATTGTGAAAAAATAACCCAATCTGGCAATGCTGACAAATTCCGGACAAAAGAATTACATATTTAACAGTGATTAAGTTAAAATAAACCTCTTAAGTATAGGAAACTAAAATTTGGTAATAAAACACATATCATACATTCTCTTATATTAATTGTCACTTACAAATAAATAACTCTTAAAACTTTATTATATTCTCTTAAAACTTTTGTTATATACTCTTAAAATGTTACTGTTAGTTCCAAAGCCTAACCGCCTCCCAAGCTTGCCACCAAAGTGCAACCGCAATTAGTTTTTGATGATGTTTTAGGAAGAACACTGCTGGCTATCTCTAGACCACTAATTTCCCTATGTCGTCTTTTCGACATCCACGGAAAAGGAAGTGGGCAGTCGGCCTTTTTAAAATATGCATATTATGTGCTCTCAGATATGTCTTTGCGCATAGCTGAAAGGTCCTCTCGCGTTTTGAGGTGGGCACCAGACAATTGAGGGACAGGCACAGCCCACTTCTCTCCTATAATAAAATAAAAAAAAACCGAAAATAGGTCAATCGAAATGTTATCCAAATTATATACAACTTTAATATAATGCTAATAATATTATAAAATAGAATTGAATATGTATATACATAAATTTTGTAACTTATAAATTGAACAACTGTTTCGCATTTCATTTACATCTAATATAATGTGAAATCAGGAAAGGTAGTTCTGTCACATTTCTTATTACCGAAATTACAGTCAGCCGTTAAGTGTATAGTACCATTTAAAGAAGTAAGTAGCCTCTTTCATAGGTTCGTAGTTTTTTTTACGCAATCTTAATTATTTTTCTTAGAAAGGGAAAAATATTTTACGTATCGTTTAATAATTTTCAAGCGTGTAAGTTTTATTACACTGTTTATATTTCAGACCTAATAATAAAATATTTTCTTTATATCAACATAAGACTATAATTTTGTATTACAATAAATTAGTATTTACAATTTTAATATTAATAAGATAGCGCCACCTTACGAAGGGCTATGGAATCACATGATTTTAATAGAATTAGAGCACTTAACAAAATACAATGTTAACGTTGTTATGATTGTGAGTAGTAACATTAATAGTTGTGTAAATTGACACTAGAGGGAGTCTACAGATATTTTAGGATAATTAGCAATTATCTTAGTTTTTAAAGTTAATTGATAAGTAATATATTATTTATTATAAAAATAATAACAATAAGGTTCTGAATTTATAAGGAATTGAGGTTACGAAAATAAAAAAAATCACGTATTTGTTATTATTTTTATTTAAATTATATTAAGTTTTATTTAAATTACTTTATTTCTGGTAGCTCTACAATATAACATTTAAAGGAGTAAATGTTTAAAGCATACTTACCTAAAAGATATGTAATTAAAACAAAACACAAATTCTTTTTCTTTTAGAAAAAAGAACACGGATATATCCGTGTTTTGTTTTTAGTTATAATTCAAGTTAGAAAAATTGTATTATATTCGGACACAACACATTTATGTAACTCTAACCAACTAATTACTTTCACTTCAAAATGTTAAAATAACCAAAACTTATTTTGTTCATACTTCCATCTTGTTATATTTTTATCGAGCTTATATTTTGGACGTGAACAATCCTGTTTGTTTGTTTCGCTTATACTCGTACATTTGTTTTTTTGTTTGTTCTATTTTATATTAGTAATGTTTACAATTTTTAAACTAGGTATAAACATAAATGATTAATTGTCGTTTAAAAAACTTCACAATAATAATATTAGTTAGATTGAGGAATCTAACACAAATTGAAACTTTCCTGTAGTTGTTTTTCAGAGGAGAATTAAACAAATTGTGTCATTGTAAAAACATGGTGAACGTTGCGTGCAGATACTCTCAATATTGTGACACAATTGGTCTGATTTGGGATAATCAGTAGGTAAAAGAAAATACTTCTAGCTCAGAAGCGAAGACATGACAGCGTTACATCAGTCTACTCCCGATTATGGCCGGTGTAAATATCGATATAATTCAGGTAAATTATCATATTTTATATTAAGTTTCTTTAAAAATATGTTTTATTAATATAACATTATAAATGTGAAAGTGAGCGTGCCTGTTTGTTTATGGACTGTTATTTACTTACATTGTTACAACTTGTCTGGGGATGATGGCCTGGCTAGCACAGGTTTTCCTAATTTAGTCATCACAGTTCAGAATACATTCACTGAGTATTTTTAAGTAACTAAATTATATAAATTGTATAGCGCCTTAATAGCTTAACCAATAATTATAAAATTTCGTATACATTTTCTAAATGGGATGAAGAAAAATATAAGCTAATTTTTATATATATTTTGTATATTAAGTTCCTCTGGATTGAATATTCCAAATCTAATATATAGTATAATTATTCGATATCCGGTCAATATACTTATAGATATTCTAACTATAGGTGTACGATATATATTGCCCATCCCTACTTATAGGTCCTAAATAACTTTATTGAAGATGTATTTTATCTTTCTAAATATCATTATAAAAGTTATATATCTTCCTTCGCGTGATCTAGACAAGAACTGTCTTCAAGTACTAATGTTTTCAAAGTGCACCGACTTATTATTTCGTAAGAGTGTACATGAGAATTTCGATATGGCGAGTTTGGTAATGTAGTGTTTTAACACTCCGCCATACTTTCTGATGGTTGTGGATTCGATTGTGCCTAATTTTATATAAAATGAAAGCAAATGAAATCTATTTATCCAAGAATGCAATTTATTTACCCAAAAAGAGGTGGATTATGTTTTTCATATCTAAGTGGTGTTTATGTCTGTAGCCCAACGTATCTATACAATTTAAGATATATATGTATTTTTTATATAATGGAGTGTTACATCCCTGGTGTTGCAGGCGTCCATAGAATATATTAACCGTCACACACACACACACACTTCCTATGGCACTGTGGTTTTTTTAATGAATGATAATAGAATAGTAACCCCGTCTGCGCTACCGGGATATGCTGGAGAGGCACCGAGTGATGATAGATAAGAATAAAAAGGCAGGTCAGTTAGCACATTGTGATGAATAGTGAAATTCAGCGGGATGGTTTCCAGAAGGTCGACCAGACAGGATATATTGCGAACATATGGAATATGGACCTTATTGTGTATTCAGTGATATTTACTATTTTCTATCAGGTGGAAAGTTAGCTTGTTTACTTAACTAAGTTGTCTATAAAATAAAAATATCC